ATTGCTTTTTTTTTTTTTTTTTTTAATATATATAAATGTATTTGCCGTGTAGGTGAAGACTCCAGAAGGCAAATTTCAGGTGACAAGAGCAGGCGCGGTGAAAATGCAGCCAAAAGCCGAAGAATTAAAATTTGTTACAAAGAATGACGGTTATGTTAACATTCACCCATCTTCAGTAAATTACCAGGTCAGACAAGTGTTCTTGAAGTCTTTGATTATTTATAATACATACCACAATGAGTTACATTAATAAAAATGTTATGAACAGGAGAAGTGGAGCAATGTTCCAAATTTGAATAATCACCACCGTAACCTTAGGCATTCAGGTGAATTGTTTTTTTTAGAAACACTTCTATAAAAAGCCGCTAGAGTGTCCTCTTACAGGGTTACTCAAACCAAAACGAGTGTTTTCATAAACTGTTTATCGTGCCCCCTGATGTGCTGGTCTGCCCACCTCCCTCTATGCATAAATAAAAGCATAAAGGCCCAGTTCTCCCTGCAGCCTAATCCTCCACGGATGATGTCACACCAAGCGAGGTCAACAATGGCGGGATGATGGGAGGAAATTGGCAGAACAGGGGGTGTGGCGCCACTGGCTTTCTGGGGTTAGATGCCAATTTGTCACAGGTTGTTTACATTACCCACTCACCGTTCCAAGTTGTTCTAATGGTATCCCAATGATGTGGCTGAAAGTAGGCTGCAGGCTTCAAGAATTTAGGCACCTTAATCACTTCAAATCAGTTATGGGGTCACGGTGCTTGGAGTAAACTTTTATATCATTTTTAAACCCATCTCCATTTTTTATTTGCTTCTTAGGTAAAACATTTTGAAAGCCCGTACCTGATCTATCACGAGAAGATAAAAACCAGCCGTGTGTTTGTTCGGGATTGCAGCATGGTATCAGTCTACCCTCTTGTACTCTTTGGTGGGGGACAAGTTAATGTTGAGCTCCACAGAGGTGAATTTTTGATTTCCTTAGATGATGGATGGATCCGTTTTGCAGCTGCTTCGTATCAGGTAAAGATTCCTGTACACTGAATATCCTATTGTGATATGTGAACAGACAATTCTAGAATTTGAAAGTAAATTTTGCATACACAATTCATGTTGGTGACAAGCTTATCTCCAAAATGTACCAAAAAAGCATCAATTCAGAAGTACTTATCTGACGATTATCTCTCTGGGGTTGAAGCTGTGATGCTTATCTCTTCTCTTGGTGGAGGACAAAGTGCAATTAAAATCAAAATGTCAATAATGACCTGATATGATTGAATTGATATGATTTCTTTACACTTTTTTTGAAAGGAACATTTCAATCAGCATAACAACTACAGCGAACTGTAGTGTTATGGTGCCAGGAGTGCCTGGCACCCTACGATGTAAGCAGTCATACCATTTGAAAACTTGCATGAGATTTGCTGGGTGCCAAAAAATAAATGAATCAGCTGTGGCAGAGGAAAGTTACTATCTCAACAAAAACCTGTATCTATGTGTGGCTTGCTCAAATGGGGAAAAACCTCTGTATTAGATACCAAAATGATACACACCAAAAATCTTCCTCTCCACCGAACGCATTTCGTGCTACCCTAAGCACAATTATAGGCAATTATAACACTCACACGCATGCCTTATTAAAGCCCCACATCAAAGATCAATTAAAGAAACCACTGAATGCCAACCCCAAGTATACCAAATATCTACAGTGTTTCATTAAAGTGACATTGCTAAAGAAATAAAAATAATATAACAAATAAATTAAATAAAAATATATAAAAATGTATAAGGCACTGACAAATCTGTATTATTTTAAAGAGATAAAGCAAGAGTGAAAAAGACGAAGTCTCTCAAATACCTTTTTTTTTTTTTTAAGTGAAAAAGAGACCTCATTGAAGTGGTCTCAGTGCAGTGTCCCATCCCTGAGCATGTAATTATTGCAGTTTTTAATAAACTAAAAACCCAGACAGCCACTAGAGGGACTTCTGGGTTTTTAGGCAAGTTTTGGTCGCCCAGATGAAGCTGGACGTCCTCATGCTAGGCATTGAAAAATATTTTCCTATGGGGAATCCTAATGCGAGCGCGGCCATTGCTGTGCATGCCCATGGTCTCCTCTGCCGGCTGACAGGCAGGGGCGGACCCGAGACAGTGCTGAGTTATTAACCCCTTTTGCACCGGGGGGGAGGTGGGGGCTTGACGGAGGAGGAAGCTATAGTGCGAGGAAACAGTTTGTTTTCCTGGCACTATATTTTTACCTTTTAAAAACTAGGGAGCCCTTGGGATTAAACTCTGAGTTCAATGTCCCATTTTTTTTTGGCTAATTTATTTTTGTGTTTGTGTTAGGTATATGAATATGTAATGTGTTATACTTACCTATGACTACATGCTTAGGGTAGCACAAAACGCGTTAGGTGAAAAGAAAGCGTCTCTGGTGTGTATTACATTTTTGTATCTAATAAAGAGGGTTTTTCCGCTTAAGCAAAACCCCACCTGGATACACTTTCTTGTTCCAATCCAAAGTTTCCTCTGATTCATTTATTTTCTACTGCTTGTGCTGTGGACTGTGTTGCTTGCTGGAGATGCGGCTTTGCTGGGAGGATCATGGAAACGCTGGCAAGGTTTAGCGCATTTGTTTTAATATGTTGCTGGGCACTTGGTGTCTATATTTTTATACTTTTGGTGCTGGTCACTTTCTGCGCTGAGAGTTGTAAAATCTGGTGTGAATTTTCTGTTCTGAGCTAAACCCTGCAGGGAAAGCGAAAAAGCTGAGTGTCAGCTGATCGCTCTCGGCCAATGAGGTAAACAGTGCACTGCTGGGCATAACTCGATGCAGAGAGTTTCCGGCTGTCATAGAGGATGTATCTGACACCAGGAAGACCAAGGTAAATTGTCAAACCAGTAGCAAACTGACCACTTAAGTTGGGCACGATTATCGTGGTTTGTGTTTCTTGAATAACAAATTCCAGTAGTTGGTATACATATTCCTTTACCACAAGGTCCTTATTCTACCCTTTTCTTTTTGAGTGGAAAAGGGGGTTGTTCGTATTGGTTTTTCTAGTGGTATTGTCACCCTATGCTCACAATCTGTTTCTCTTCCTTACTCCTAATCTGGTCTTTATTTTCAATGTATTGCTCCGCCTTCTGTATTTGCCTCCCTTGGACAAAAGGCAGAGCTACTTGAGTCAGGTTTTGTCACTTCGCTAGCGACAGCTTGTGGAATAAGGCATTGTCTCGCTCATTCCGAGACAATAGCTATGGAGGCTCCTGTAGTCTTGCAGGGTCCTCTATACATCTCTTTGCTGTACTCTCATGCATGTACGAGAGTACGGCACTGATGTGGGGCTCTTGTCAGATGAAGTGCCAGGAGCTTAAGAGGAACCCCTGGATGCTGATGGTAAATGTTCAGACAGACAGCTTTACGTAAGTAAAACTCGCCTCCCCCTTGCATCCCGGGGCCACTGGACAAGCAGCTAGGTCACCATTCAGGTCAAATTATGCAAAGCCCACAGGTGACAGAACCACTCTAGAATTTAAAATTTGTGAATTTACATTTCCAAATGTGCTGCAAATATACATTGTGGTATAAAACATGCCAATAAGATTAACCAATTGAAGAAAGATGAATTAACCTTTTTGTGTGTGTGTGTTTTAATTCCCTTGTAGGTGGCAGAGCTGGTAAAGGAACTACGGAGCGAGCTTGATCAGCTATTACAGGATAAAATAAAAAACCCAACTATGGATCTGTGTACCTGTCCCAGAGGATCTCGTATCATTGCCATGATTGTTAAGCTTGTCACCACTCAGTAAACCTTCCAGTGCAGTCAGAAGTTTTCAGTGCTTTTTAATCATAACACAAACAACGTGAGCAGAGTATGAGCTGTGCCTCTGCTTGCACAACTGACTTAGAAATATTTAAATAAATTATATTTGTAAGAAACTATGACCGGTACAAGTGAGATAACGGTAGCAAAATACTTGCAATATAGATAATGCATAAATCCATATCCTACTGCAGGGATAGAATTGCCAAGTCTACTTTCCACTGCCAGCCTTGTGTATACACTGCACATTTACCAGGCATGAATTTCCAATGGAGAGTTTCATCCCTGTTCTACTTGTAATGTTAATACAATCAAAATGTTAATAAAGGAAAAGTGAACTGTGGAGCAGAGGTGTTTGGGACATGCAAACAACTTTTTCAGTTCCTTGAAAATTTTGCAACTCCAGTCAAGTGCAAGTGTGTTTTCTCATGTCAAATTGAAGGCCTCTGTATTACACTTTTTTATTGTAATATTTTAATGTCATTTTTCTAATATTCCACTATGCAGATTCATATAATTTTTTTTTTATTGCTTAAAGAAAATTTTTTTTTTTTTTTTTTCATGTAGAACAGAAACTATGGAGAGGGGCGGCAGTAATTATTTTTGATAACTTGCAGAAAGTGAAAATAAAGTCTATTATTTGGCTACTGCTAAATTTGATTGTTTTGTAGCACATACAAACATTATACCCAGTGAGTCCCTGCACATATTTAATCTATTTTATATGCTGCATAAAAACAGGTTTGCTTTAATAAGAAACACAAAATGCGTTTTGCCATTTTCTAAACTGGTTATACCATTTTTAAGAACTAATAATTATCATTTGCATGGCCTTGGGCTCCTTTCACTACGGAGCTAAGCAAGAATATATAGCATTAACTTTAGCTCTGCGTGTATCTGCCTTCTTCCGAATAAGTGTTTTTTTTTGTATGCTTTGTGGGGAATAGAAAAATCAGGATCCTTGTACAGGGCAGCAAATATCCTTAGGACATTTTGTAACATTCCCTTTCCTAACCATGAAAGGAGTTGGATCTATTCCTTGGCGCATAGGTTTTTGAGTTACAGTACCCACAAAGCGATATGTAATTCAAAATACTCTGTAAGCAGTTCTAAGCCATTACTGTATTATTAAATGAATGTCAAGAAAGGTAGGAAATATAACGGTTGGACTGTTTTAAAAAAAAAAAAAAAAATCAAGGTTGTTTTTTTTTTTAAATTAATGTAATGAAATTAATTTTTGCAAACACCACAGGAATCCTGGCTTCTGAGATATTAAGATATGTTTTATTAAATTAATAATGTAACACTGTTGGGTTTGAGATGGGTCAGATGACAATTGACTAGAAACTTGCGATTTAGTTGAGTGAAACATTTTCCAATCATGCCCTTTTGTGATACATTTGGATGTGTTAATAGATTTTCTAGGGAGATGTCCCAGTGGTCCTCGACCCTTTCCCGCAACATACCCAAATTTACAGCTGTTTCCTTCATCAAGCTATTGCTGTCTAAAATTAACATTTATTATTAAAATACTGTGCTGGTTACATGCTCCAATTACTGGGACACTGTTTAATATGCTATTTCTAAATGATAAACAGTCAGCGTAGTATCACTAGTTTTATCCAGGTGAAACTGGGAATAAGCTTAATTTGTTGTCTTCTCATTTTATTGTGTATAAATGATATCACATTTTTACAGAACAAAACAAATATTCACTTAAAGTCAGGAAAAAAAATCATATTTCTATGTAATTTAATAAGTATATTCATGGTAGAGTTTAACTTACAAAACCCATAAGCCAGCTAATTATCTAAATATAATGCATCCCTCTGATTTATCGTTGCCATTAAATGTTAATACAAATTACATTAAATACTGCCATCAATGTCTAAAACATTTTCAAAGACTTTGCAGTGTCAAATGCAATAAAGGAACACTATAGCATTAAGAATACAAATGTATTCCTAACGCTATAGAGCCCTAGTCACCATTTAGGTGACTGGGGCCCGATCCACAGCGAATAGTTAACCATTTATTTGCTTACCTTAATCCAGCGCCAGCACTGGTGACCTCTCCTCCATAGACGTCAGCTTCTGAGTGGAGCCGAATACGCGGCCAGAGGCGCACGAGCATTCAAACCCACCCATAGGAAAGCATTACTCCAAGCTTTCCAATCGGGATCTTATTTGACGCTGGACTCCGGGAGGACGTGCAGCGTCATATAAGTGCAACTTACTCAGTGTAAATCAAGGAAGCGGCCTCTAGTGGATGGATTAACTCTGCAGTGTAAACATAGCGGTTTCTCTGAAACTATGTTTCCAGCTGCAGGGTTAAAACTAGGGGGACCTGGCACCCAGACCTCTTCATTGAGCTGAAGTGGTCTGGGTGCCTACAGTGGTCCTTTTAAGGATTCAAGCACAGAGTGAAATATTTTTTTGTTAAATGTGACGGAAAAACCTAACAAACAATTTATAGCAGGGGTGCCCAATAGGTAGATCCCCAGATGTTTTAAAACGACAGTTTCCATGATGCTTTGTCATTCTACGCGCATGCAAAGCATCATGGAGTTGCAGTTTTACAGCATCTGGGGATCTACCTCTTCGACACTCATGATTTATAGTATGCAATACCAGAGGTGTAAATTGCTTTCTCAAACCTAATGGAAACAGACTTTGGAAATGTATCTGTACATTAATGGGTTATTACATCAGAAGGCATTTTATATTGATGCTAACATTTTCAAAAGATCTCTGCATTCTTTTAAAAATTCAATTTAAGTACTAGTTGCATTGGACCATATTTAGAAAAAAAAACCACATTATGTACTTTGTTTACTTTTTTTTTTTTATTTAAGGAATACTGCAGGCTGTAGAAATTATTCTAATGTGTATTTTGTGCTAATGGACCAGGGATTTAATCCTAGCTGGATTTCAATTGGCCAAAGACTGCAGCTACAATTCAAAATGGTATGAATAAATATAGGCCTGGGTTGATCACCGTGTACAATAAATGACATTCATTACTGTACTTAAAGATGGGTGGATTTGTTTGTATTTTCTATTCCTAGGATTACTGAAATAAGTGCATACATGTGAATGTGATACTGATGAGATGGGTACAAGATTTCAACACATCTGAGTTTTTCACAACACACAAGGCCTGTGGCCAATGTCAAAGAAAGACAAATAGCTTAGGATTTTGAACAGTTTCATGCCAGTCATGAAGATTGGATTTGGATTCACAGAAGACATGGAGGTTGGCAGACCCTTTGCAATGCTAGTTTGTGGTCTTTAGAAGAAGGGGAAGAGTCAATTTTTCCTTTTTCTAATCTATCTTCTTGTGGTTTTTAAGGAATGTTTCACATAGTAGAGGAAACCTGTAGCTTAGCTCATGCCAAGGTGGAAAACCAAGTGAGGATGCAATCATTGTCTGCTTGTGTAGCCTTCTATAAGTCCCTGGATCCGAGACAGTATGATTTCATTAGCACTATTGCAGTTGCCTGGCTCATATGGAGGGTCAATAGTCAGTACACCAGCCACACACAGTGTTCTCTGTGACTCCCCTTGTTCAGTCACAGGAATATTATTTTGCTCCAACCAAGTCTTTAAGTTCAGCTTCTTTGTTTCCAGATCCTCAGTGCTATACAAGGATGTGGCTTCTTGGGGGCTTAGGATATGCATAAGCCGGTTTTTCATTGCCTCGTCTGCTTCATTCAATACGTCTACTTGTAGAACAGCATGGCCCATTACCACCTGTATCAAGGTTTTCTGGTCATCTTGGAAATTAACCAACACAATACTGTAAACAAATAAATATATTAATTATGTAATATTACCCAAATCACTTTTTGTAGACCATTTACAATTGGTTGCTTACGTCATCTACATTGCAGTGTATTTATGGCCTGAGGAACAAACACAGTGCAAAGTACACCTTCTTCCCAAAATAGTCCTAACCACTGTGTCTTACAAATGATAGCAGATAAGCATTGGGATCTTCATAGTGATGCCTTGGCGGATTCAAAGTGACAGATTATCACAAACTGGTCTATTCACCAAATTGGGAGAACAGACAAGGGAATTGCAAGTTTTATGACAAAACAGACAATGGAAACACTATCCAACATTTTTTCCAATGTCATGATAGACCCCAAACAAAAGGTACTACAGGGAAGCATCGTGAGATCAGCACAACAAATACAGTATGGTAATACACATATAGAATGCAAAACAAAAACAGGTCTTATTTCTGGTATATCGTATGTGTATGGAAGAAAGACACATTTGCATTTATTTTCAAGTAAGAATTTTGAATAACAAAAGGTGTGGCAGTCTGCACTGTAAAATACAGCTTTGGGAGGTGACCTATTGTTGCCAAGAATCTTGCACATATAATTGAAGTATAAGAGGCTGTCTTGTTTCCCATGTCTCTAAGGAAACAATATGCAGCTTCAGTAACCGTCAAGGATTTACCACCTATTAAATATTATACAAATATAAAAAATTATGCATTATAAAAATCTTTAAAGAAACAAGCTTTCCTAAAAATAAGGTATACACATGTACCATTGTTTAAGCATGAATTTTGCAGTTCAGTTTTCAACTCACATCTAATTTATAGTAAAAGTTATATGTACCTGTACAAGCAATACAAATGGTAAAGAAAAATGAACCTGTATTCCTAACAGTAGTAAGGTTTTATACGAAAAAAAAAAAATTAGACATATATATCTAAAACCAAAAAGGTTACGGTGAAAAAAAAAAAAGGTGATTGAAAACCCTTTCCACCTGAAGTCTGTGGATAGTTAATACAATGTTAAACAAAAATCTGCACACCAGTCAAACCATAAGACTTGCTTTTCCCACATAAATCACAAATTTGCAGTGATGTTACTACCACAAAGGATTCTGGGTGGGCATATCCTTTGCTATGGTATAGTTTGCCTTGTATCCCAAGACTGCCCCATAATCATGAAGGACATCCTGTAAAGCCACCATAGAGTCCACTGGGCTCGTGAGCGTCAGAAGCACATCATCCGCGTATGCCGACACTAGGAAGTCTTTACCTCCCACATTGACCCTTTGTATGCTTGGGCAGTCCCAGGTCTTTAAGGTCATGGACTATTCCAAAATTAGCAGCGGAGTTATGCCGTATGTGTATCCCCTTCCCAGCCACGGCAAGGAAGGCAGAGCTCTTCAGGCTTTTACCCACACAGTCCAATGACCCCAGACCCAGCATGAGTTCCCCAGGCGGTAGTTTTGACTGCACAGGAGAAGTGCAGAACAGGAAGTCTCTATTAATTGCTTCAATTCAAGCCATTAGTGACAGCTTGACAGTGCTGGAAACTGCTCACCAGAATCCTCAGGCCTCTGCGGTTAAGCCAGCTGAGGATTCAGTCGCAGCAGTAGTCACACAGGCTGTCTATTTCACACATTAGACATTCTTGGTAAGGATGTCTGCTTGGTGTCACTACTAGTAGCTTTGCAGGGTATTATAGAGAACAGGAGATACAGCTACAGGGAATTGTCTGTGGTAATTAAGGCCAGGGTCACTAGACTAAATAAGAAATTATCCGTTCCAGAGTTCATACTCGCCTTTGGGCTCTACAGGGACGTTATGTGTTCGGTGTACCCCTCGAGGCAGGAGGAACTGGATCTCTACTTGCACAAATTGGTGGATTTGGGGTACAAGTATGGGGGATTTACTTTTGAAGACTATCACAAGTTGGTGTCTGCCAAGGCGGTAGCAGCTCTGGCCCAGTTTAATATTCAAACTAACTGGGGTCAACTGGACACAGAGCTGTTTTGAAGGCATTTCGCTGGCTTGAAGCCCCCTCCTCATGCGGTTTGTTTATCTTCCTCTCATTTCACCAACTTGTGCTCCTGCAAAGCTGAACCTTCCACTTTCTCACCCTCAGCAAGTGCCAATCCAGGTTCCTCTGTGGCTCAAGATTGGGGCCTAAAGGATAAACTGGGCAGACCCATCTTTTTCCTGGATAACGAACAGGTGTGCAACAACTTTAATGCGGGTACCTGCAATTACAGTGCGTGTCGGTTGCACATCTGTTCTATATGCTTTAGGGCACACACTAAATTAATGTGCCCCTCCAAGCTTTTTTCCAGGAAATGAGGTACAGAGGTTAATTTGGACAGTCTCACTTTTCACTTGAGATCACACCCCTCTCCTCACCTGGAGGATTTCTTGGTGTCGGGTTTTTCTGAGAGTTTTCACACAGGTCTAGTTGCACTCCCATCCGGCACACTAGAGTGCCCCAACCTCTTATCAGCTTACTCCGATCCCGCAGCAGTAGATACTCTACTGGTCAAGGAAACCCATCTTGTTTTTTTGCTAGGCCCCTTCACCCATCAACCTTTTCAGTTATGGTGCACGAACACTATCGGTGTTGTATCAAACAAATCTTCCAATTAAAAAAAAAAAAAAAAAGTCTTATTATTGACTTTTTGGCTCCTCATTCTTCACATACACCAAGCATTAATTTAGTCGTCAGTGTCCAAGTCTTATGACGAAAGCAGAAATAAACTGTAAATATCGGTGGTAACTGTGAAAGGGCGTAAAATTCAAGGGTTTAAAAGGATTACAATGGGAGCAACCCACTTCTGAAGAAGGCGCTTAGCCGAAATGTGTAAAGTGGCCAGTGGACTTGTGTAGTGTATGTGAGATCTGATTTTATATTATTTTGTCCAATAAAGTATCTTTTCTTCACCTATATATTGTGTAAGATGAAGGGACAAAGAATTATCTAGACCCACTTCCTGCATCCACTGGGTCCTCCACTCAAAGCTTCTAGTCTGAGCCAGCTCTGTTTAAAGGACCACTATAGGCACCCAGACCACTTCAGCTCAATGAAGTGGTCTGAGTGCCAGGTCCATTTAGGGTTAACCCTGCCTGCTGTAAACATAGCAGTTTCAAAGAAACTGCTATGTTTACATATGGGTTAAATCCAGCCTCTAGTGGCTGTCTCATTGACAGCCGCTAGAGGCGCTTCCACTTCTCACTGTGATTTTCAGAAGGGAGAAGACGCCAGCATCCATAGGAAGGTATTGAGAATGCTTTCCTATGGACTGGCTGAATGCGAGCGCGGCTCTTGCCGCGCATGCTCATTCAGCCGATGACATCAGAAGGAAGAGGAGAGTCCCCAGCGCCAAGGGAGCCCAGCTCTGGAGAAAGGTAAGTGATTTAACCCCTTCCTCTACCTTCAGCCCGGCAGGAGGGGGGCAGACCTATTAATACTATAGTGCCAGGAAAACGAGTTTGTTTTCCTGGCACTATAGTGGTCCTTTAAGTGGCTCAGAATCATGTGATTTGGACCAGCAAGTACATATTTTTAGATGTTGTTTACTGTATAATGCTATGGTCTTTTTTTATTGTTGTTTGTAGAGTCCACACAATTCAACATAACATAAAATCTTTCCCTCTACTTAATACCATGAATATGCCACAGGGATGGGTGCATTGGAAGCAGCTTAAATACATTAAAAAAAATATATAGAAGTAAGAATGTGATAAAAGAGGAGTGCTCAATCACCTGTGTGAATCACTCGAAAACACACAACTACAGTGAATACAATACAATAAAAAGGTGAGAGCACACAATATATATCGATAGTCCCATATTCCGAACTCTCAGTGATTTACTGGACACCCGACCATTTGACAACCACACCAACCAAGTAATTAAAACTGCCATTTATATAGCTTTCTACAGTTTCCCAAGTCCACGAGAGTCTACTGTAGCAAGACAAAAAGACATCCATACACACACACACACACTATATATATATATATATATATATATATATATATATATATATATATATATTTTTTTTTTTTTTTTTTTTTTTTTTTTTAAATTTATTTATTTATTTGTGTTCGGGGCACTCTCATTGGATATGAAATACGCTGGCGAAGAGGAATAACATAAAAGGAAATAGTCGGTTGAGGTGTGCCGAAACCGATGTATGCTGGTAAATAAAGTGGGCCCACATAGAGGAAAGTATAGCTAATGGGAGTGGAGGGTGGGCCTGTTCGACCAACGAAGGTAAGTAAGGGAAGGGGGGAGTCCCTTAAGTAGCTCTATAGCCCCTCCCACAACTTCAGGCCATGCCTTCCAATTTGTGTTCGGGGCACTCTCATTGGATATGAAATACACTGGCGAAGAGGAATAACATAAAAGGAAATAGTCGGTTGAGGTGTGCCGAAACCGATGTATGCTGTAGGCCGGTAAATAAAGTGGGCAAAAAGAGATAAATCAAAGATAACATTATTCAGAAAACATAGTATATCATTACATATTTAAATAGACATCTTAATGAAAGCCCACCTAATCTCTTGGACTGGGTTTGGGATGTAAGTGGTGTGTGTTGATGTTGTAGCTAAGAAAGCGTTGAGTACTTTCACCAGACACCAATTGTTCCCTGTGGGGTAGTAGGTTATGTGAACCGGTTCCCCCATCTGACTTGTTTTGGTCTTATGGGGTATGTCCAGTCAGGACGTAGTAGTCGGTGTGTTTCCTGAGGTAGGAGGTGAGGAGGCACCCTTGGTTATGGTGCTGGCCACTAATGGTGAATTCTCTTGGTCTAAGAAACCCATAAAACGCTAGATAAATGGTAGTTTTAATGACTGCATTCGTATGGGGTTCAAATGGTGCCTGGTCGAGAAGGTCGGACAAGGATTTGAATATTTTAATGTCAATAGCAAGTCTCTTGGGTGTTGAAGGGCCGTCCGCTTTTGCTATGCCTTTCAGTAGTGTTCTGATGGGGTAAGAAGTTAAGAATCCTTTGTGGTTAGGGAAGGAGCAATACATATGGTGTTGTATCCCCGTGAGGTACAGCTTAATAGTATTGTGAGAATTTAAAGGTGGCAAAAAGATGCAAAAGCTATCAGTGAAGAAACCTCAAACCAGTTGGCTAGGTGATGGTCGGACATGAATTGTTTGTACAAGTGAAAAGCTCTGTGATACGCGTGTTGGGTGCTGGTGGATAGGGCTAATTTGGTGAGAACGTGGCTGTGCTAAAGTAGTTAGTCTACTCCATGATAAGATCTTGGAAAGTTGGAGCTGGGGTTGCTACCCGAGCTGCCGAGGGTAGGGACAGTATGAAAGCCTGAAATTGAAAGCGAGAGAGTTGGTCAGCTGCCGTGTTGTATATGCCGGGAACGTGAGAGCATACAATGTGGAACTGATGGGTAGCCGCCAGCCATGGCAGTTTCCTAAGGAAACTCATAATCGCCAAGGAGGAAGAGTGACCCTTATTGATAATGTGGCATATTGCCAGGTTGTCAGAAAAACAGCGTACGGACTGACCTTTCCACAACCTACACCAAGTGATTGCTGCAGCAACTATCGGGTATACTTCAAATAGGGCTGAGTTAGTGTGAAAACCCTCAATGTCCTGAGTTTCTGTAGGCCAGGTCCCCCAGAGCCATTCTGTGCCGAAAATGGCCGCATATCCCGTGCATGATGCCGCGTCTGTCCAAATGACCGGTGAGTGTGAATCAATCTGCGGAAGGAATATGCTCCTCCCATTCCAGTCTGAGAGAAATTTGTACCACATCTGGAGGTCAGCGGTCGCAGGCCAGTCCAAGGATATGCGGTCATAGTCATTGGAGAAAGTGGGGAACAGGGCGAGGAGCCTAGAAATGAAAGCCCTGCCCTGGGGGATAATGCGCATGGCGAGATTTAGTGAACCCAAAAGTGATTGTAGTTCTTTACGATTGCAAGACCCCCTGTGCATGTAGTGGCTAATGTCGTGTAGGATATGAACGATCTTGCCTCTAGGGAGGCTGGCCATCATTGTTGATGAATCCAGCAGAATACCAAGAAAGTTTATAATTGTGTCCGGTCCTTCGGTTCTAGTGGGTGACACGGGGACACCAAGGGAGGTGAATAGTTTGGTTGCTTTGTCTAGGCTACGTGGGAGGTGGGGGGGGGTGGAATTGGATTCGATGAAGAGAAAACCATCTAAGTAATGTATCACATTTGGGCACCTGCAGGTATTCAAGAGGAGCCAACACAAGGCTTCTGCGAACGTGTCAAAAATCCTCGGACTACTCTTGGCCCCGAAAGTGAGCTTTGTAAAGAAGTAGTAGGCTTCTTGCCACTTAACGCCATGCAAGTGCCACAAAGAGGGGTGAAGAGGTAATAATTTGAAGGCATCTACAATATTCGTCTTGCTGAGCCAAGCCCCCAACCCTGCAGATCTGATAGCTGCAATAGCGTCAATCGTGGAGTATTGTAGGGAAAATTCTTCAGATGGAATCAATGAGTTTAGGCTGGGGGATGGCTGAGGAGTGGGGTGCGGATAAGTCAATGATGAGTCTCAGTTCCTCAGAATTTTGCTGGAAACCAGCCCGATAGGGTTAGTTCTCCAGCTGGAAAAGGGGGGTTAACAAAAGGCCTGATCCACTTCAAGTTGTAACAATGTGGTGACTGCCGTAGGGTGGTTAGTGGCAGACTGTAAATTGTGACACTCTATTACCCCACTTGGCATGTAAATGAGCCCTGTGTGAAAACCCTGGGTGAGACCTGTACATAAAAATTTCAACGAGGTGTGTGGAGGGGTGAGTGGACAGCATACGTGAGAGTAAAGGACTGTTCACCGGAGACAAATAAGGTTTCTGGTACATTTTATTAGGGCACATGGATTTCGCATGTGTCCTGAAACAATGCGAGCACACGTGTAGTAAGCGGCAGGCGCTGTAACCGCAGGAGCACTCGTTGAAATTATTGCAAATCTGAGATTTGCCTAGATACACTACTGGGCGACCCAGTTTGTCTCTATACTGTTTCTGAGCCTTTGGGGGATGCTGTAAGGATGAGCCGGGAGCGCTGTCCGGACAGAGTGGGCAGAAATTGGCTGCGTGAGCGGGTGATGTACATATGGCACAAGCTGGTGTCCTAAGCCCTGCGAAATGTCTGAGGAACAGTTCATTGTCCAGTTGGCTCCAATCCATCTGGATGCCGGTCTGAGACAACGTGGCCGACACTTTTGATGAAAAGGACTTGTGGTAGTCGTAAAAAGTATAGCCACCATACTTATTACCAAGATCCACCAGCTTATGCATATGTAGTTCCTCCCTCCTATGTGGTTGAGCCATGCATAGAATATCTCTAAAGATACCGAAGGCCAGAACAAAATCAGGAATGGGGAGTTCCTTACTGAGTCTGGGGTCTCTGGCTTTTAAAACCACCGAGATGTCCCCGTAGTCGTAAGACCGGTTTCCACGATATCCTGGGAGGCAATGAGCAGTGAGACTAAGTTAACGTCCTTGCCTTCCAGGATGTCCTTTTTAAGGTTGGCCGGAACCATGTGGGCAGCTGCCTTGGTGGATATGGAATTACCCGTTATTGCTGTGGGTATGGCCGGGATTATTCAGAGAGAGGGCCAGGAGGTTGTGCTGGGAAGCTACGGGCTTCCAGCCTCTCCAGCCTGTCGTTGACCTTCCCCATAGAAGAGATTAGGGAGGCAACCATAGCATGGAGAGTAGGATCTTGAGATCTGCTTGTGCCTTCCCCTACGTCTGTATTGATGGTATTGGTTCTTAGTAATTTGAACAGTTCTGCTTTCCTGGCAGAAGCCGGGAAGGGAATACTGCGTTTACGTAATTCTGCAGTGATGTGGGGGATAGTCTATTATCTGATGGACAAGGGACTTCCCGTGTTGCCCTTGCGGGTCGGAGTAAGTGACCTAGCAGGGGTGCTAGGGATTGACAAATCCTCAACATCATCTGGGAGTAGGGACATACTGAAAATATATAATAGACATGTTTGTAACCAGGGTTGGGAATTAACAGGTGGCTAGCTAGTGCCAGATGGCGAAAGATTATTCTAGGTTTGTGGCAGTTGAGGCCCTACTAGTGCCAAGTGGCTAGAGAGGCTCTATCTATGAGTTGGCGCGAGGGGCGTGGTAACCTATAGTGGTGATGGGACGTTGGCCTCTCCATGCGTAGGAGGGGATGGGTATTTGGCGGTGACTGGTGTCGCCCTCTCTATATAATTTGCGAGGCGACTAACTATGATTTGGCCCGAGGGGCGTATCGTACCTCGAAGTGGAGGATGGGAGTTGGCCTCGAGGACCGTTAGGACTAAGGGGCAGGGAAATTAACTAATCGGCCATGTTGAAAATAACGTTTAATAATAAAAAGTGAGCCCTGGCTTCTGTATAAGAGAAATCAGAGGTCTCTTGAGTAGGGGTGGTTAGCTTAGATGACCCGTCCGGGGGTATTCGGGGTTCCTGGGGGTATGAGAATTCAGATAATGTACTCTTGTAGGACATATACGCAAGATTGTCTAACTGAAAGTAGTAAGTGCTTTCGGGGGTGAGTGCAGGGAGTACTGTCCCCACAACAGACACAATGCCCCCAGTAGCCAATGTATTTTAACATTTAACCGGGGTTAATTATCTTAAGACTCTAATTTTACTACTATTAATGCAGATATCACATAACATATCTAATCAGCCGTAAGTAAAACATATACTATATAATTACCATGTTTGTCAAGCATATCATACAAAATATATATGTTTAACCAGAGTACTACTAGCAGTAATTGTATAAATAAGAACACCGTATTGAAAAAAAAAACATTTGAATTGAGATGTGTATATATTGTATTCTTAAGGCTGAAACTGGCTGAACTAGGGGTCAGCCAGCCACAGAACCGTACCATGCCCCCCTTAAGTTATGCCAGCCAGGTAGACTGGGTTTTACACAGATGACCCAGCTACTCCCCCCTTTTCTCTGTGTGTTGCCGGCAGGAACCCCTTACGATATAGGGGTCTGTGAGGCCTGTTCCCGCCCGTGCAGTGTATTTTGACCCCCCCCCCAAACCCCAATTAACCTTCCCCCTTAAGCCTGGGCATAGCTGGCGGCCGGGAACAGGGACTCCTAACGGTAATGGAGTCTCTGTACCTGTACCCGGGCCTGTCGTGCTATTTACCCAGGAGAAAAATGCCATGGCTTACCGACCCAACGAGCTGGTGGGGAGAGAGGCCGGTCAGGTTGCTGGCTGGTGATGCCGGGTTGCCAGAGCAGGTCGGGCCGGGCTGGAGAGCCGGTCAGGTACTGGGGCCGGTAATGCCGGGCTGAAATGCCGGTCAGGCCGGGCTAGAGAGACGGTCAGGTACTGGGGCCGTTGGTGCCGGGCTGAAGTGCCGGTCGGGGGGGGGGGAGTCCCTTAAGTAGCTCTATAGCCCCTCCCACAACTTCAGGCCATGCCTTCCAATATATATATGTTATATATATATCGCAATCTATCTCGCCACATCTCTCACTTCAAGGGGTCCCACTTACTACTGCTAAATCCATCTTCTATATCAGAGCCCTACTCCTGAGATTAGATTTTAATCCAGCATCATTCTCAGGTCACTCATTTAGAATAGGGGCAGTTTACGCGGATTCCGGCACTGACACCCCATTGCATATTATCAAATAAATTGGGGAGATGGAATCCTCCATCTATAATCAATATATTCCTCATCCAGAGAAATTACTTTAATATCTTTTGCCCTCTATTATTACAGGCCTACCCGTACGTTGGTTATGGCACACCCCAACCAACCAACCAATATTTTACATTGCAAAGTAGAACTAAAGGATCAATACAGCCAGGACGACTTCAGTGAGATTAAGTGGTCTAGGAGACCTTCTGGTGTTTGTTCGCTAGATTTAAAACTGAATTGTTAAAATAGCCAGGACAGAAAAACAGTTTAGTTTTGAATTCCCCAATACTCTGTTTTGTCAATAAGCTTCTCTGAAGGGCGGGAGGGGGTGGAGCATGGAGGGGGTTACACTTAAGAGCAAATTCTAGTGAATTTAAAAGTTAATTGTAGTCGGACATTTATTTTTTTCCATTACATACCATTTTTTGCCTAAATATTGCAATTCCGATTTTACATTTACTACAAAACAGAAATGAAAGAATAAACCTTGTTAGGGTTTATTCCCTGAACAGTAAAAGCCAAATAGCAAAATTCAAGCAGGTCAATAGCTTAGTTTGATTTTTACTATATAGTTTTCTATATACTTTTTAGTAAATAAACCCTTCACTTTTAAAACAACACTGCCTCCCTTAAAGGGACACTATAGTCACCAAAACAATTTTAGTTTAATTAAGCAGTTGTGTATAGATCATGCCCCATGCACTCTCATTGCTCAACTGTTTGCCATTTAGGAGTTAAATCACTTTAATCTATGTAGCCCTAGGCACACCTTCCTAAACACTTCCTGTAAATAGTGATCAAATGTTTATACTTCCTTTATTGCAAATTCTGTTTTATTTCGAATTTCATTTCTCCAGCTCTGTTAATAGCTTGCTAGACCCTGCAGGAGCCTCCTGTCTGTGGTTAAAGTTCAATTTACAGAGCAGGAGATGAGAACTTTAAAAAGTGAGTCACATCTGATTGGAAATGAAACCATTTTGTTTTCATCCAGGCTGTGTTTGTGACAGACAGGGGAGGTGTGACTTGGGCTGCACCAACAGAAACAAAAGTTATTTAACTCCTAAATGGCAGAATATTGAGAAGTTAAAACTTCAGTGGCATGATCTATACACCAAAACTGCTTCATTAAGCTAAAGTTGTTTTGGTGACTATGGTGTCCCTTTAACCCCTTAAGGACACATGACGTGTGACATTTCATGATTCCCTTTTTATTCCAGAAGTTTGGTCCTTAAGGGGTTAAAGTTAGTATTTTGTAAATATATAAATATATATGAAATACTGATCACTGAAATTCCAACCATTCGAGAGATATACAAAGACAAAGTAGGGACTACTTTTCTCGTTATAGTTACAGAGTCATTTCAGGCGACCATCACCAGTGATGGCTGTGGGGAATTGGCTCTGACTATGGAGAGTATCATCGAATCCTTGCACTTGCGTAATAGTTCATCAGTGACGTTGGCTACTGGTGCTTCAAGAGGAAGATAGTGGCACCTACAAGGGACAGGTTCAGGTAAGTAAATCTCACCTTTACCTGCCCACCAGGGGCGATGTCACCATCAGGGGCCTTTGCAAGGTCGTCAAAGTCCCCAGACAGTGACATTCCTACTTTAAAGTAATAAGACAGATCTGTGTATCTCACTGTGTTTACCTTGCAGAAACTGGATCAATTGTTAAGACCCATCCATGGAACTCATTCTTCTCATGGGCCAAAATTTTCACCTGTTTGTTGACATAGGATTGCCACTCCAAAGGATTTTTGTCAAACCATTCAGACATTGCCTTGCAGCTTCCAGTCCTATAGGGCCCGGGGATAAACAATTGTAGTAGACATATATATATATATATAAAAAAAAATTAAAAAAAAAGATTAATACACAAATAGAAGAACAAACTTTAAGTTGCTTATTAACAAAGCTGTGACCTGTGACTTATTTACGGAGAGATTAGAACCGGCATTATCTCTTCTATTTTGGCCTTTTTTTTAGACGTCTTCACAATTCCCCATTTATTGTGGATAGACAAAAAAAAATTGAGTTCTGCGCATCAAGTAGGTGGAGCACACCCACGTGCTACTGCAATTTATTAGAGGAAACAATATAAATAAACGTTTCGGGCAACAAGCCCTTCCTCAGTGTCGAGGACATTAGCACTGAGGAAGGGCTTGTTGCCCGAAACGTTTATTTATATTGTTTCCTCTAATAAACTGCAGTAGCACGTGGGTGTGTACTACCTACTTGATGCGCAGAACTCCATTTTTTGTCTATCTACTTGTTACACTGTTGGAACTACAGTAAGGAGACCCTGCAGCTCGGATTCAACTGTTCATAACTGTGTTCTTTAGCTTTGATATTCGGTGGGCATCACTGATGCCTCTGCCTCATCTTATGCATAGTGACCCCATTTATTGTGATTATACATTAAAGTGTGTTATTCACAAAACAACAAATTTTATTTTAGTGTAAATTACATTACAAACTAAGGCACAAAATGGCAGGGCCTGACCATCATGGCAGTCGGATGTAATTTGTGAGTGCTCCTACACAATCTGACTTAATACCCTCTAAGGACACTCTCATCCACTGTGGACGGAACCCGAAACGGACCCTGCATGGCTCAACTGCGGGCTCTGTCCAGAAGTTGGAGGAAATCTTTGCACACTTCTGGGCTAAGCTGGAAGCAAAACTCGCCGCCACTCCACACCTGCCTCCAGCAGATGAGCAAAGAGAAGAAGAGCATGGAGAGGTGAGGCCTGCGCCGGGCACAGGGACTCCAAAAGCACCTAGCGGTAATCATACTAGCCCACCCAGGCTGCGGACCCCAATGGGTTTTGCACCGAAGCATTGACCACGCAAGAAGAAGACCAGCACCACCAAAGTCTCTGGCTATTCCCTTAAAAAAGATGGACTTGGCCCTATGGATCCCCCAAGGCCTGGGGCGGAGAATCCGACCTCCCATGCTCCCATTACACTACCATCACCGGCTCGCCGGCTGGTTACAACTGCCCCCAACAAAGGACATTGGCTAAGGGTGACAGTTACCTGCTATGGGTCTAACACTCCAGTTAGCCATAGGTCTCACAGGCTATTCATATTCAGCTGCCATTAATATTGTTCATCTTTCTTGCCATGATGCAGCACTATATTTGGGCCCAGTGGTTTACTATTCTGCAACAATGTTTAGCATGTTTAAAACAGTTGATATTCCTACTAGCACTCATGTCTGAAGCAGCTTACATTACACATCCAGACAGATGTGCCTAGTTTACTTTAGATAAGTGTTTTTTTTTTTGTTAACATGTTTCTGACAGCACAGGGAATGTATTCTAACGTGCTCTTCATCTTCAAGCCTCGCATAATGATTACAAGTTGATTCAGCCTACCTGCTAGACACTATGGCTTCACCGGTTTCAAAAGAACTTTGCTTATCTTTCTAAAAACGTGCATCATATACATCTGCCATGTCTTTATATTACTATGTATGATGCTTAATTACCTGTCTATGCTGTTGTGGCATTGCAAGTACGCATGTTACTATTTATATGCACAACAAAAATAAAGATTGACAAAAAAATAAAAAATCTCTCCCACTCCACTAAAATCACAGTTCACTGCAATTTGGGGTTTAGTTAATTAACACCTAAATATGACTAAAATGTGCTGTTTTGTGCAAAATAAAGGATTTGGCATTTAACGCCTCATTTCCTGTGATGTGGCCTTAATCAAGCTAAATGAATCCTTAATTCCCAAGCTGCCCACCTGCTGCCTTAGAAGGTTACTCCAAGCTTTATAACCACTACACAGCCTACTGTAGTATTTATGATGCCAGGAGTACCCTACTCCAGCTTCCCAATAATGAAGCATATGATTTGTAATGGTTTGCTTCCATACCTGGGTCCCCGCCAGGGTTTGATGCAGAGGGGTTAATCTCTGTATGTGCAGCAGTTTGCTTTCTTACAAACTCTAGGCACCATGACCAATTAAAATCACCAAAGTGGTTATGGTGTTTGGAGTAGCCCTTTAAATTGCAAAAATGTGAAATGCTTGTTTAGAGTCATACATACTGTTGTCCTCTTTGGGAAATGCCCACATTACTGCCATGGATGTAGTGTATACCTGTGTTTAAATATAAACCTTGTGCCTCAGTTTATAAATGTAGTCTCTGGAGCCTTCAATTGTTAAATGTTAGAGAAAACAAAAAGAGTGCAGCTCATGTAGTACCAAGAATCCAGAACATGGGGGAAGATTTAAAACAATCCTCTTAATCAAGCTTTGGTACAAAACAAAAATCTATAAGAGGGTAGGTGCAACAAATATTGCAAATTCAATGCAATTTTCATTTGTTAACATGTAGAGCAAAATAGATGGGAGGAGAAAAAGCTATAAAAAAGGATTTATCACTATTTCTATACATTAATAACAGGCATTGTATGTTACTTAAATGAAATTAACATATTTTGGGTTACTCACGCAACATACTGAACTAACAAAAGAAAACAGAACAAAAGAAAGAATTAGTTTAAATGAAAACAGCTGTCTTGGGAAAAATCCATTTCAGATAAATGTGAATTTTACTTTGAATTTGCAGCAATTCATATTTTTTTCTTTTTTAATAACCCAGTTATTATTCACTTTTTATATTTACATTTAACAATATTATGGCTGAAGAATGGGGTTTGCAGTTTTCATATTTCTCTACTTGGACTCTCTGCAACAAGTGCAGTACTTTAACAAGATAGTTTTGCATTGAGCACTCCTATGATTTAACTTTAATATTATTTAGTAATCTCAAATAGTTGAGGCTTTAGAAGGCTGCATGCATGATTCTATATTCCACTGCACGACTTTCTGTAAACAACAAACTTCTGTGTTTCTCAATAAAAAGTCTGAATAACAACAAAAGGTAAAACAGAGATTACTTTTCCTTATATATTAATCCGAAAAAGGCAGAAAATTTAAATTCCTACACCTTTCAGTAATCACTCAAGGGGAATGTAAATCAAACGTGCAAAAACTAGCAATGTCTGCAGACATTAGCAGGATCATTACAGTCTTGCCAAATGGAGCCCAGTTTTGCATCCATGCATGAGAATACAACAAATGTCAGTTTCGGGGTGTTTTATTTACCACATCTATAACAGGCCTATCCATGAACCTTAAAAGGTTACCACTGAGTACGCCAGACACTAGCCCTCAAATGTTTATGCACTCCAACTCCCAATATTCTTTGAATGCAATAGATGAGCCGAAAAGTTTGGTTGTTTTAATTCACCATTTGGTATACCAGAGTTTAAAGGGACTCAACAGGCACCCAGACCACTTCAGCTCATTGAGTGCACTATCCAAGGTCCCTTAACACTGGAAAGGTAATATTGCAGTTTTTAATAAACTGTAATAATCATATTTGAGGGTTAACTCCACCTATAGTGGCTGTCTATCAGAGAGCCACTAGAGGGACTTCCGAATGGTTAGGTGACTTTTGGTTGCCTAACTGACGCTGGATGTCCTCACGCTATCCATGAGGACATCCAGCGTCACGTTAAATCCCATAGGAAAGCATTATACAGGCTTTCCTATTGGGGGAGTGAGGCCATTACCGCACATGCGCATTAAGTCTTCTGACTAACGTCAACAAGGGAGGAGCGGAGGCGGAGTCCTAACCAACACAGAGGGACATCGGCACTGGAATAAGGCAAGTGACAGAATGGGAGCTATAGTGCCAGGAAAACAACTTTGGAATATGCAACATACATAACAGTGACAGGTCTACATGCAAATGGTTTCCTAAAGATGTTATAACTCATATCTTACCTTAAAAATTATCAAAAGTTTAACAGTTCGCTGTTTAGACTGCCGCTACTTTCTGCAAAGAGAAACATAAGAACGAGGTAGTAAATACGCAGTTCTATACACAATATACATTACTAATAAATCTGTAGCATCCCAGATAACTATATTGCCATTAACATTAAAGACACAATCCATGGTGTATTTACAACCTATTCATTGGGCATTACACTGACAGTGCATTAATAAGATATCAATAAAAGACGCTTAAAACAGATCTGTCACCAAAAATAAACTTCATCTAATAATAATCAATGCAACTATGATGTAATTTTGCCCCAGAGCGAAGTTTCTCATTTATACAGTGTGATATCGAAACACATTTAGAGTAGTTTAGAGACACATTACTGTGAGTATTATTGCTGTGGAGCTCTGATATACACTATGGAGCTCCCAGAAAAGAGGAACACTATGACAGAAAAGTAGGACAGAGAGTTTTGGGCACAAAACTGGGACTATCTCCTAAATAATAACACTTGGGAGGTATGTATGAAAAAGGAGTTGCACTAAAAAGAGAATTTAAGTATACTTTGAAGGGCACTTTATTACTTTTAATACGTTAACTTTATAATTAATTAAATATTGGAGACATTTCACCCCATAGTCAGTCAGTCTTTTATATTTCTAAATAATTTCCCATTTTTTCCTAAACTGAAATGGTCGCCCACCTGGCTAATATAATCCCCCAGACACACAGTGATGCAGTTAAATTCCATGCCCCGAGCTAAATTCCCACTGCAGGCAAAGCTTTGCATACAATCAAATATACGTACAGCACCTAGCTCCACAGCTATCAGTCCAGATCCACATGCAACATGTGCACACCTCTCGTGAGGTCACTTCCTGTCAGCAATACCCGTGATGCTCTGGTTTTGTAGTTTTCTCTGAAAGTGAAACTGATACTAGTATGAAAGAGTCAGTAGGAGGATCTGCACATGTTAAATACACCACAGTAGATTTTCTATTCGTGGGAACACAAATAAAATCCCTATACTTCTGTTTTTATTAAATAAACACAATGCATTGTGGTCATGTGCTTGTATTATGATGTGCTTGCCAGATAATCTGCAAAATCTCCACAATTTACACTAAAATCTGAATGCATTATGGGGTGTGTGACTCTGAAACAGAGCTGGTATATAAATATTGCAGCATAATCTTTAACCAAAATGGCAGATACAGGAAACTAGAGAGTTTCAAATGCAGTTACAATGGGACAGGGAAGGCTAAACTATATCATTAAAACTAATCTGAAGTATAGGGCTTATTAACTAAGCACAGACTTGAAACAGATGGACAACATTTGTAAATGTAGTAACTCATATTTACAAATGGCAAAATGCATTAATTTTCACTGAATTTTGTCCATCCAGATAAAAAATTGTTGCTTAGTGAACAAACCTCATAGTTTATGTCAGTTTTAATGCCATTGGTGGGCCTTCATTGTCCCATTAATAGCATTCAGCTTGATCTATTCAGGTTAAAATCAGTCATTTTGACATGCAAATACTATGTAAAATATAGGACTTGCATATTTACCGAACATTAAATGGATACTAGGCTTCAACCAAATCTTGCCCGGAGCCAGACTGAACAGCTAAATACATTTACATGATTTTTGCAAGTAAATTTATTGAAATCTGCCCTATTTTTTTCCAAAGGACAAGATCTGCAACACCAATCAGCCATTTTGTTTTATGTATGTGGGGCCTAAAAAGGAATTTGTATTATTACAAATCACTAAGACTATTGTGATTGGATTGTGTGGTAAACTAACTAAGAAATTAAAGATTTTTTTTAATACATTGAAAACATTGCTGTGGAAAATTAGTTTTTAATGAGACCTTTACAGCAATGCAGTAATGTTTCTGCATTTATAAGAATGCAGGAAGGTTACATACTTTTAACAAAGTAATTGTTTAGATTAGGACAATACCCTGAATTAGGATATTTGGTTGGAGAGAAGTTAGCTGTAGGTTAAGCTTGGGGTGTCATAATATCAGGGCAGTTAATCCTAAATCCCCCAAAACACTAAAGAAACGACAGCCCCTTTAATACTAATTGTCTAAACCTAAATCATGGGGTACACTGTTTTACCCAAAATCATTATAGGACCAGGTAAGCAGAGAATATGCCCAGCATTATAAACAGCAATATAAAAAGGACATGCTCTTTTCAATGAGGCAACATTGTTGTTGCATTTCTGTTCATGATGGGAACGTTTTAAATTCAATAACAACTTCATACTATCAGCCATAGCCAGGGGGAAAAAATCCTCCATACATGGATGAGGAGTCCACCTCTCCTACAAGTTTTGTGACAAGCAAGCCTTTTTATTCCATATAGAATGGCAACAAACCATTACTAACGCTGAGCAGAAAGTAAAATATTTCTTCCATATTTAAGGCCTATACATCTCCTCGCTAAATGCCTAACTACAATCAAGCATAAAAAAAAAATCTAGAAACCACCACATGGTTCATGCTTGAGGTTCCATTGAATGAACCTCAGATTCCATAATAAACTTGACTAAGAGGGCCTAAAACATTTGGCCTTCTTTCTAGAAAACCCTCAAACTCACCTCTCTTCCACATGTTCTTTTATACTTTGGTTATGTCATACTTTAGTATGTCACGACTATATGTAAAATGTTGCCTAATATTTTCAGTGATTTGTTTACACTGGGGTTTTTTTTTTAACCTAAGAAGAAAAAAAAATAAGTATATCTTTCTGAATCACATTCACATGTGCACAATGTCTTGACGTGCTTGTCTATTATTATTTATATATCAGTAATCCCACACTAAACCGAATTTATGTAATTTTTCCCCTGGTATAATGAAAAAAAGGTTTAAATTAAAAAAAAAACATGCGTAATAAACCATTAATAAATTTAAAAAAAAACAGATTTAATTTTATTTTGTCAGTAAATGTCATGCATTTTTGCATCTAAGGCTCTTTTTTTTTCATAACCCAGGCATGGTAAATCCTACCAGAAACATTTAAATTTCAATATGCTATCACATGCTCATTTCTTTCGTTTATTATATGTTGTTTTTTTTTTTATCACTGTATTCTTAGTCTGTATATTTCCAAGACACCACATCCTTCTATATAATAGACTTTTATTTTTATTTATGTATATATATATATATATATTACTTATAACATATAGATATAAAATGGTTGATTTTCAAGTATAATGGTAACATATAGGAGACCATTATCACTGTATAACAATAAAGCAGCCAGGCAGGGTGCCTCCATAAAGGAAGGACACGTTCCTGTGAAAGCGGCTACAAACACAAGAGATGGCGGGGAGCAATAACTATGGCAACAAACGAACATTCCCGCTCCCCCTCCCAAAAGGGGGCGTTAGCAATGTTACGTCACTCGCCTCGAACCAATCGACATACGCGTCGTACATGTTCAGCGTGAACTCCCTTATAAAAGGCGACGCTCGGTGCAAGCGTGCTTCAGTTTCCGTCGGGGGTTAGAGAGCATTGTGCAGGATGTCTCGATACGGGCGGTACGGAGGCGGTAAGTGGATTCATGGAGGGTTTTTATTGATTTTTTTATTTTTTTAGCAGCGCGCTTTCGTGTGGCTGTATGTCGGCGTCGCTGCTGGTTGTTGGCGCTCCAGCGGGTGATGGCGCGGGTTTGGTGTGTGTGGCCGCCATTTTGTGCATCGGGCGCGTCACGTGCCTGCGGCTTTGTGTGTGGAGCGCAGCGGAGAAGTAATGGCGCCCGCGCAGCCCATGCTGGAGGCCGGGCCCTGTGAGCGGCGCTCCGGGTGTGCTCCATGCTGCGCTCCGTGCTGCGGCCCTGTCCGTCCCCGGCTTGTTGTGCGGAGTCATAGTAACCCAGCATGGCGGCCCTGGCTCTGCCTGCCTCTAACACGCTGTGATGGAGTGTGAGCTTCTCTGGCTCCCAGCCCACTGGGTGCTGTGTATACACTGCTGCCGGTGTGGACTATTGGTGTCTGATGGCTCTGCTCGCCGCACACACGAGCTACTCTGCCTCAATGGATCCCAAACCAGTCCCCAGGGCCCACCGTGAATCCAGGATTGGTGCATTTCCTCTCATTCAGTGGAGATACTGAGGATATCTGGTCTGTTGGCGGGCAGTAGGGTCCGGCTTGTGATGCCTCCTTACACACATGGCTTGCTGGGGCCTGGGGAAAAAATGGGAATTACATACTCTATGCATGGAATGGGTCTGGCTGATACAAACTGTGTGATATTGTAAAGGAACACTCCATGTAATCTGGCCGTATCGATCCCTCTTAGTGGTGATAGTGCCAGGTATGCCAGTTACTTTGTGAGCTAGATTAGCATGGTTTGATAACTTGCCTGTGGTCTGCATTTATGTTGTGATGGTATCATGCATTTTTTTAACAGAACTTTAGCTTGTATCTCTGCACTTGACTGTTTAATGGCTTGTGTGAATGTTGTGTTGCAAGCGAAGGCTACGTTCACAGCATACTTACTCCAGTGCATAGTATAGGCTTGTTGACGTAGACTCCTTCAACAATAAGCTCTTTACACTTTAGTAAAAGCTGGCTCACAAACTTAACTACCGAAAAGTGGCTTGCATTAAACTGCAGTCTCCAGAAAACTGTACTGGATATTTCAATTTTGACTTGTGTTGTCTAAAGTAACACTTAATGTCTTGACAATTCACATTTTGTGAGTAATCTTGCCTGTTGCCACACCTTAGAGTGAAATGATACACTTAAAATTAAGTGCTATGGTTAAAGTTACTTTCAGACTGTAAGGGTAGTTGTGGAAGTGTAAACAGGCCTACACTAATTCGGTTTTGTTTCTAACAAGCTTTATATTTTTCTTTTAGAAGCAAAAGTGTATGTTGGAAACCTTGGAACTGGTGCAGGAAAAGGGGAACTTGAGCGTGCGTTTAGTTACTATGGTCCCCTGCGTACAGTGTGGATAGCAAGGAACCCACCTGGATTTGCTTTTGTCGAGTTTGAGGACACAAGAGATGCTGAAGATGCTGTTCGAGGACTGGATGGAAAGTATGTATCCTGTTCTATAATTTGTACTACTCACTGGGATCTGTATTTCCCCTTAAGTGTCTGTCTAGAACATACTTTCTGGAGTGTATAAAAAATCTTAATTGAATACTCTTGGTAATGAGAACACTGTCCTGTCTACATCAGGGGAAGCATTCCTTCTATTCTTGGTATTAGAAAGCTTGTTTCTTGCTATTCCATTTTTTTTTTTTGTGGTCCAATATTGCTTGTCTTTATGCAAAATCATATTGTCTTGACTTTTTATCTTGTTTTTTTTCCCCTATAGGGTAATCTGTGGATCCAGAGTTCGCGTTGAGTTATCGACAGGCATGCCCCGACGATCGCGATATGATAGACCACCAGCACGACGTCCGTTTGACCCCAGTGATCGCTGTTATGAGTGTGGTGAAAAGGGTCATTATGCATATGATTGCCAGAGGTATAGCAGGCGCAGAAGGGGTAGCAGGTATTGGCCTAATTGAACTAGTGTTCTTAGGTTGTGTTTCAAACATGGTATCCATGAAGTGTGGTGTGGCTTTTAAAAGCAGCAGTCCTTAAAGTTTGTTTGGGTCAGTATTTAAAATCCTGCAAACTTTAAACACTACATATTTTAATCTTGAGAACCAGGCGAGTCTTATCTTATGAAGACTATGGTCACATTATCTTCATGAAAGCTTGGAGGCCGCTGTTCAATGCATGTGAAACCAGACATAGAAAATACAAAAGGAGAGCACCAGAACAATATAAGACCATGTTTAATTGAAGCACTGTTTCTGCAGTGTTTGCAATAGCAGGCTTGTTAGTGTAGCAGCGAAAGCTAATCATTGTGGACTGCTGCTTTCTTGTTCTGGTGCTTTATGGCTTGTGTAATAACTTTCACATGTTTAAAATATTAATAATCAACCTGGTCAAAACCTTACAGGTTTCTTCGTTTGAGTCAGTCGCCTTGATTCAGAATGGCACGAGCCTTAAGATTTCATGCTGAGGCGCCTTGCAAATCCGACTTTATGATTCTGCTAGACCTTGAGGTGATCAGCATAAGAGGCCAGATCCCCTCAAGCCTTCTACATCTAGAACCACCTTTAAGATTCTGTAGAGGCCAGGAAATCTATGGTCTACTGTGATCGCCGTATCAGTAAAATTGGCATACAATTGAGGCTCCCCTCTGGTTTTGAAAAGAACCGATTGACCACATTCCCACCTAGAAAAACCTTCATGCGTCAATCAAGCCTCACCTGGCTCATATGGCTGTCAGTTTGGTCGTCGTTAGATTGAAGAACTACAATAGATGCAGCGATCGGCTGGTAGATCCTTCTAGACCGTCTAGATCTTCTAGACCTTGGGCCAAAGAGGGTCGACCTGCAGACTTGCAAGGTTTATTTTACATACAAATTATAGTGTCTTAACTGAAATTGCTTTTAATGCTACTGTAAATTGCTTTAACCAGTTTCTCCTAGGTAGCTCTGTTCAAGATGTAGGTTTCCTGATAGTCACTGCTAAAGGTCTCATTCATAATAGTTACTGTGGTGTCATTGATCCAAAATAACTCCTTTTCATCTACTTAGGTCTCGGTCTCGCTCTCATTCAAGATCCCGAGGAAGGAGATACTCTCGTTCAAGAAGCAGGAGCCGTGGCAGAAGGTGAGCTTTATTAATGACTTGTAGAGTCATTGACTCATTTTTAAATTTAACTTTTGTGAGCATGTCTGTTCCAATAACTCAGGCCTTGAACATGTGCAGCCTTAAATATATTGCCTGACCAGTCCAGTATGCCCCAGTCATGAAGGGAGTCTAAAACTTGCTTTAGTGTTTTACAAGGACATTGTAAGAACTCAAGCAACTATTGTAATTTTTGGTGTAGAAATCACTCCCTGAAGTCTGGCCTCCCAATTCTGTCCACTAGGCATTTAAACCCCTTCTGTTTATGCAGCCCTAGGTGCATTTCCACTGGCTGTTATGAGTCTCATTAACACTTGGTACAATGTATAATTTAGTTGTATGTTCTGCTGAACTTCAATCACAAATGAGTCTTGACAGGAGATGGGAAACTTAAGCAGTCTTAACATGAACTCTAATATGGAAAGTCTGACATAGAATACAGAACTGCTGGTTTCTATGCTTTTGACAAATGGCTTTATTTAAATCTTTCTTACTATTTACATATGGGTATTAAGGGACTTAAGAGTGAATTACACTGCATTCTACATAGGGTATTCAGCAGCAGTAATACAACCGACACGGCTTAGCTGACTTTTTTTTGCCTCCTAAGATCCAGGTCTGCTACCCCTCGACGATCAAGATCAGTGACACCACGTCGATCAAGATCTGGTACTCCACGCAGATCCAGATCTGTGTCTGTTAAAAGATCAAGGTAATGTAAAATTTATAATACCAATTCAACCCTGCCTAGGTGGGAGTGGTATGTCAATAGGGATGGTAACTGCATTATCCTGAGCTTGTATTCTAATAGTATAACTTGCCAAGCTAAATATCTACCAAGAAGGAACTATCCTTTTGGTAGTGTTAGGAAAGGATTCTGTAGTTTCAGTTTACCAGTTACTTTTTTGGTAGCTCTCTTCTAGCTTTCTGTGTAAACTTGAAACTTACACTAAACCAGATTTCTTTTTATTTAATCTGCAGGTCAAGATCCAGATCAAGGTCAAGATCTAGGTCTGTGTCACGTCCCAGAAGCCGGTAAGAAAGTACCAGCCATTGCTGGAACTATTAAACTTAATGGTTGTCTTTAAGAACATTCTAGTCATGCTCTAAATCAACTGCAGGAGAACTTGAATTGCTGCAAATGCATAGCAGAACTGGTCATGGACAGTGCAAGCTCTCAAGCAACGTTCACATTCCTGCATCAACCATGCTTCCCTCTATAGATACTTTTTGTTAGCTTCTCTGGAGCAAAAATTGGTGGGTTTTTTCTGCACCATATCTACAGCAGACTGTAGTGACTAGGTAACTGGGAGTATTTAAACTGACTTGTTCTTGTCTAATAGAACTAGCCTACTGCAATACTCCAACTGTTACAGGCACTGTTTTTGCCATGCTAGGTAACGCATTTACTTTAAACCTGTACTTGCAAGTTGCTGTATGTGCTAGAAAGTGGCAATCTCTTCTAAACAGTGCTCATTGTCTTTCTGCAGCTCAAAGTCAAGGTCTGCATCTCCAAAACGAAGGTAAGTTGACTGTTTTTTGCACTTTTTACAGCTTGTATCTCTAGTGCTCAAAGGCTGGCTTTTGAAGTCTGTATCACTGAGCACCTGTCAAAAGAACCAACTGAGAGAATTTGGTCAGACTTGTTGGTCACGCTATTGCTAGACCATCTACTTTCCACTGACACTAAAGTGGACTGCATATTGCATTTGTCCTTACTGTATAAAGTGTTAACTCTTTCTGGCTTTTTTCCTTTAGTGATGTCATAGTGTCTTGCAGTCGCTCACCATCCAGAAGCCCTCGGAGGAGCATAAGTCCAGAAAGGAATGGATAGATGGCATGATTGTTTTGAAAGGAATTTGTTAATACATTCACTCTCCTTGTTAGAATTCTGCCTTGGACAATTTGGGTTTATTTTAAACTTTGTTAATTCACTTCAATAGGCTAGTGTACAACGTATGTTATACCTTCATCTGAAAGTGAAGCCTTTTTGTATCTTGGGGTTAAAGTGTAATTGTTAATGAATGAGTGGCTTGTCAAAGCTTGCAGGAGACTATGACCAAGCTGCATGGATTAAATATTTTAATGTATCTACCTGTATAAATTACATTCTTGATGCAGATTTTGCTGTATTTACGGTGTCCTTGCTCTTCCAGAGTGTTTGCACCCTTTTTCATGTATTCTTTTTATTCTGATAAGAACATTGCTCTTGTCACTTATCCTATACCAGAGTATTGGAGATGGAGATTTTTGCCCACCGAGCTTTTACTGTTTTTTTTTTTTGTTTTTGTTTTTTGCAGATGTGTTTAAACTTAATTTCAGCATTTATTTTTTTGCAGATGTTTAAAAACTTGAGCATTCAGCATTGTCTGAAATAAACAGTTTCCATTAAAGAGTCTCCTGGCTTAAATCAATCTAATAACTGCAACCGTCAACAGAGGAATGTTTATCTGCTAAACTTGAACTAAAAGCAGTAGTGTCCAAAGTCCAGCCTGCTGGCCATTTGCAGCCCGCACTCTGGTTTAATACGGCCTTGGTTAATTTGTTAAATCTATCTGTGGCCCCCCCCAGTGAATCCCCATGTGTTGCTCAGGACGCATGGGATCTCTGAACACCTCATTAGGAGATTCACTGTGGGCCAAGAGATCGGAAAACAGACTGAGGTGCAGTGCATTGTTGCAATCTGTTGGACGTCACTAGATTTGGTTCCTTCTCCCTGCTGGGAAAGAATGGACTGAATAAAGAGGGACCCGTTGGCAATACGATTGCATAAAATATTTTGCGTTCAATTTTAATGGTTCAAAGAACGTCAGGCAAAATGGTTGGCCCTCACACATGTGAATCAAATCCGGCCCTCTTTGAAAAGTTTGGATACTTTCCTTAAAGGGAATCTGGTCAACAGGACTACAGTTTGTTTTGAGTAATTCCCTTCACACTTTTAGCAGTAAACTGCTTTCCTAGAGTTAGGTGTTTACATGACACCTGGGGTTATGTCTACTGGCCACTTATGTGACTGCTAGCGGTGTTTCCTGGGGTCACTTGACTGATGCTCCTGATGTCTCCAATGCACGCAGATCAGGGGCAAATCCATTGGCCGCATACTGGGATAAAATTTTGATATATTTAAGGGGCTAGATGGTGTCACTGTGCCATTTGTTCCTGGACCAATGCATAATTTAACTGTGGGACTCAAACAACATGATTGAATTCAATCATGTACTAAAATTGGCCCAAGTCATAGGATTTATGCACAAAGACCTTTAACTTTAAACTTGGTTTGTAGTTAAAGTTCAGTCAAATGCTTCAGCTGAACTACTGACACTGCTAAAGATGCAGATGGCTAGGTACCCAAATCTCTAGTCTAACTCAAGACATGCAGGTGGACCTTTCCTGGTCTATGGGAAGTGGTATTTATGCAGTTCTGGCGCTGTCTTAGGGAAGATTGTAATGCAAAATTTCTTTATGCAATATCTTGCCTGGACACCAATCCCTGTCAGGAAAGCAGCATAGTACTCCACCAGTGTCCCTGAATTAAACAATCTGGGCACGCTTTACAGGGTTAACAAGCCTATAATGTTTGTATGGGACAGAACTGCTATTCCATGCTTTTCCCACAAACTGAGGGAATGCAGGTTTACACTTATGAAGGCCAACAAATTCTGCCGTAGTAGACAAACAGGCACTTATTTGTAACCAGATTAGTTGGCCGCTAAAGAACAGTATGTAAGGGCCCTGCTCAATGAGCCCACATTCTGGGAGTGGGTTAGTGATACATAGGATACATATTTTTATATATGACCATTGCAGGATAGTACTGGGGAAGGAAAGTGGTTTAAAAACTTGATAGGCTTTCCAGTAGTTTTCCATACTTGTAATATCAATTTTTTTTTTTTTTTTTTTTTTAAATCATGAGACAAATGTCAACTAGATGACAATTTGAATTAATTGTATGTATATAGTGATACCAGGTCTGAAACACATTCACTGAAATAAATATTTGATCTGGGTAAGTTAGACAATATACTGACTGCATGTAGAAACAGGACTCCTCCAGATCCTCAACAATAGAATAGATCATTCAACTTTTTAGAGTGCTGATGTAGTTTTTTTTTTTTTTTTTTACTTTTGGCTGAGTGACTGAGTGTAGGTTACAGTGGATGAGAGCTGGACGTAGATGGCTGGAAATAGAGATAGCTATATAGAAATTGATAGGTATAAATAGATGGAAATAGAAAGATGGATTGATAGAGATCAATAGATTTAGAAATTGATTGAAAAGAGATGGAAATAGATATATAGATGGGAAAAGATAACTAGATATAGCAATAGATAATTAGAAATAGAAAAAGATTAATATTGGAAAAGATAGTGATAGCGAATGTTCAATATTTTTGTATACAAACACTATAGATTTCTCTATGTAGTGTTTGCATGTTAACTGGGTTAGGAGGGGGCAGGCATAGACACCGAGCTGTCAGTCAGCTTGCAAATGCGCATACAGCACACGTGCGGTAGAGAGCTCAGTTTTTTCATGGAGCGACATTCAATGCTGCTCTATGAAGAAAATGATTGGTGCAGCACAAAGCAAGGCATGTACACCAGAGAGCAATGATGCTTCTCAAAGAAAAGCATCCTATTTGGCCCTGTGATTTCCTCATTTCTACTAAAAAACCGGCATGGCCTGAGTAGGAGCTCGGCAGGAAGTTTTAATGCTAAAAAGGGCTAAAAATAAAATGCACAATTATATAAAAAGGTCCTGAATTTCTGTGCCAGACACATGGAAGGTTATTCCCAAAACCTTTAAAATCAAATATTTCTATGGAAAGTGTCAGCGCAATGAGAGATTCCCCTAAATGTTATACACAAGGGGAGTCTGTTTCAAAAGGACTGTTTTTGTGCAGAGTTTACTTTCCACCTCCAGTGGCGGATATGAGATCTGGGGTGGTCTTAATGTGTTGTCCTTGTTGTAACCAGGTTGTGTGATACTTTGTATTCAAAGTGAATTGTTACATTCTTGTCCCTTAAAAGGATTTTTTCTTTTTTTTTTTTTTAAACTGATATAGTGTGTAACAATTTATTAACACTGAAGTAGCAGAAGTGGTTACGAATAGAAACATTGTGCTTGTTAATATACATGAAAAATTATTACGCTGGAGAATTTTTCTTATAATAATTACCAAAATAAAGTTCTGCTTTCCAAATGTATAAGTAATGCAGTAATTCTGAGTTTAGAGCTATGAGCTGAAACTCTTCATTTATTCTACATAGAGACTTGTTATATTTCTCAATATGGAACTGGACTGTTTGGATCGATGGACTTTGTCTTAGAGCTCAGAATACATTCAACAGACTATACACAATATAAATACAATGTCATATACTACAAAAGAAAGATACAGCTTGAATAACAGTATAGAAAAACATCCTACTACATTATTAAAACAATCATAAAAGGATATGTATGAGAATCATAATATAATTCACTTCTTCATATTATTAAGGAATAGGGGAAAGTATGTAAAGTTAATAGGGAAAAATAAAATAAGATAAAAATACTACTAAAGTATTAGAACAACCATTAAAAAATATCTATACAAAATATACTTTAAAAAGGCTTCTGCAAGGGGGCGCAGCCAACTGTTTAACAGAGCGAATGCAAAGCCCTGAGCTCTGTGCCCAAATCGGCTAAAAATCGAGAAAACTACTGCTAATCAGGCATAAATAAGAGGAGAGAACAGCACCATAACCCGCACCTCAATCTGGAGTAGAAAATGGGTCGCAAAACAAAAAAACCCAGAGCCGATAAAGGCCCCAACACGAAAGACATTGGTGAGCTGCTGAGACACTCACAACAGGCCGCATGGGCAAAGATGGCGCTGGAGGAGGATTTCTCCTCATGCTCCTCGGAGGACGCATCTGCCGACCTAGGCAAGGGGGCGACATGCAGCCGACCGGCAGAACCTGTCCGCAAATTCCCGGGGATGGTAGACCCGGTCACTGCCGAGCAGCTCAGGAGTATTCTTGCCGAGCTGCTCAGGGACATAGCGGCAGACATGGCGTACTATAAGGGCGCCATCGAAGGGGCTACTGTAAAAATCACGCAACTCGAGGCCTCGGCCAACACACAAGACGCTAGGCTGACAGTAATTGAGCAACAGATGGCCAACATGCAACAGCAGCAACTCAACATCAGAGAGCAGATGGACGCACTAGAGGAACAGAGACGGAGGTACAATCTAAAAATCAGGGGCATTCCTGACGCAGTGGGCACTACAGACATACCCCACTTCATCAGTCGCTTGTTTACAGTACTACTGCCTCCCAAACAGGCAAAACTGCTGCATATTGACGGGATGTTTAGATTGCCGAAACCTACAACTGCCCCAGTGTCGGCCCCTGCAGATCTTATCCTTCGCTTTCAGAGCCTCCAAGCCAGGGCTCAGCTACTCAATGCCCTGCGTGGGAAAACCCTGCTACACTTTGAAGGGGCAACGATCCAAGTATTCCCTGACCTGACAAAAGGCACCATCACTTGGCGGAGATCCCTCCAACCTCAACTCCTACAACTCCGCTCCAGGAACATCCTCTACCGATGGGGCACTCCACGTATCCTCCTGATTACACACAAAGGGAAAACATATCGAGCACAAAGCCCCCAAGAGCTGGAGACACACTTGCGCACCATGGGACTGTCAGATCCCCAACCGGTAACCGCTTCAGGACTGTCCCAGCTGAAACCAGCCACCATTGCTGAATTCACCCCCCGGAAGCCACAGCACGCTACACTAGACAGAGAGCCAACTTGAGAGACTGCTCCCGGAGGAGGAGAGAACTGTAGGCCCCCACTTACCCAACAGTGCTCTCAGCCAGGGTTCCGGTTGGATTGCCCTACACCTTGAAAGTTTTGTTCTGTTTATTTTATGCAGACTTTCATGCTTCGATTGTTGTTTGTTTTAAGTTGCCATCCAAGTTACCTGAGTCCTCGCCCACACATAGATCCCCACATGTCTGCGCCACACGGGTCTATGCACCAACACAGCACTCATACACTTGCCAAACTAGACCCATGAAGGTGTACCATGCACCAGTGTTACCAGAGACACCACCATACACCACTCCCTATACAGCTGCAGCATAGCGCAATACACCCGCTCATAACGCAATCAAATACGAGTAATGGTCATCCAAGCAATGGCTCCGATCTTTCCCACCCCCCACTATCCACAATAGCGCTGAAATAACTAGAGACACAACTTCTTAGGGGGGGTTACCCCCTGGATCACTTAGGCCAAAGCGAGACACACTGTCATCGGAGGTATCTGCTAACGTGCCCGAGGGGCTAACTTTACTGTCTTATACCTGCTGATTCACGCTTACAACACACAAAAAATCACCCTGCATGTTAATGTACAAATGCAAATAAATATGTATGTAAAAATGTATGCAAACCTCGAGGGCAATGGCTCATAAACTATATGTTTGAATCCATGCTGAGTGACAAAAAATAAAGAATTATAAAAAAAGGCTTCTGCAAGATGTACATAAAGTGGACTGTGCATATAACTTGGGAGAGTTGGATAGATTAATATGGGGAACTTCTTGCTTTAAAAAAAATCTGGATTTGTAGTGGTTGTGGCGGAACCAACCTCACCACTATGCACTGGAGAAGCCTGGTTGCTCGCCTGCTGCCTTTAGACTATGGCCCCTGGGAGATTGTGAAAACTTATGGACTTTTATTGGGTGTGTATGGCCCTTTAAGACAGTCGTGGGCATATTGGGGCTTATGTACGTTTTATGGGACTGGTGCTGGCCCTTTAAGCACCTTTTTGGGGGCATAGGGAAAATTGGGACACGGCCCCTTTAAGACGGTGTCCCCAGTGTCCCCAGACCTGGTTAGAGCCCTTTGTCCCTAGCTATTTCCCACTTGGTTCAGTAAATGGGTCTTACTGAACCAAGTACCACACAGGCGGACCACCTGTATTGGGAGTGTGTCGGCAATTTACCTCCCAGAAGCTGCGGTTAACCGCAGCTTAATTGGCGAACGCTGGGTGGCCTTTGTTCGTTTGCCAAACACGTGGCGGCGGCCATCTTTGTTCATTCGCACTGTGGCAAACATAGCCACTTGGACACTATAACGAGACTGTGCCTTTAAGGGTTGCCTATATGGTTGGGAGATATGGGCTTAACTATGTTGAATGTATGCGGGTTGTAATTTACATGTATTTGTTGTATTGGCTATCTGCCGCATGCAGATAGCTGTTTGTATTGGGTTTTTCTTTCGTTTCACGAACGGCACTTTTGCGGGCCGTTCGTGAACCGAAAACACCCCCATGTAATAGCCCACACACTTAGAGGTGTGGGGCGCTTGTTAACCGATTGCAACAATGTTGCAATCGGTAATTAGAGGCTCTCCTAGGTGGCCGCCGTTCGACTACCGACCATGCGGCGGTCGGCCATCTTGGATCCTTTGTTCCCGCAGCGGTGTTAGGTCGTCGAGCGCATGGTACTTAAAACGGCTACTCGACGGCGCGAACACCGCTGAGCCTCCGGGCCGTTCGGTATTTTGTTCCCTGGAAGGCAATCGGTCATTTAAACATGTCTTTTAATAAATGTGTTTTTCGTGCGACGTTCGGTTGTTTTAGCTGGGATCTGAGCGGTAATCTCACGAATGATGCGCTCAGACCCCAGCTATCTACCGAACGTCCATTCGTGCAAATAGACCGTATATTACCACAGTTATGCATTTTAATATAAATTGTCGGTTCTGCTGCACGGAGGGATAATCCACTTAACGGTACATTCCAGTGGGAGGATCTCTCTCGTGCAGCAGTACCTGATGGGAGAAATGTCTTGTACAATAAGTCCCCCATGTAGTCCCCTTTGGGACTGCCCCTGGGAAGGGACTCAGGAAACCCCTTGCATGGGGACTGCCCCTGGGAAGGGACTCAGGAAACCCCTTGCATGGGGACTTTTTTAATTGTGGAGCTGAAATAAAAGACCTCAGTTGACTCTCAGAACTGTGTTTCTTCCGGTTACTGGGAGATTTGGGATATTTCCAGCGCTTGACTGTGGATATTTTCCTGAACCAGCGGAATTCGTGGATTTAATATTGGCGTTCCACTACACGCACAAGGTCAGCGGTATGTGTAGCCAAATTCATGGAATGAAATCGGCTACACATTTCCGCGAACGCCGCTGAGCCCTACCTTCTCCCATACTGAACTTTCAGCTGCAAAGACTAAGTCCCATTCGGCGATGGGACTTAGTCGTTTTTTCAGCCTGAAATATACCGACCGCACAGCCCAAATCTATGGAACTGTTTTGGGCAGGAAAATGTGCTTGCGGTCGGTCATAAAGGGACCTCCAGCTAACTTTTTAACCCCTGGATGGATTTTTGGTTATGTTTATATTTGAAGGTTGCTGATTCTAAATATGTAATTTTTATGTAGATTGGATGTGTGGTTTTAAAGTTACAGGATATGTGTAAAAACTGTATTTTTCCTGCCTTTGTTAATTATGTTAAACCATTGTGTACCATAATTAGATCACAGGCAGAGGGGAGGATTTTTGTATGTAATTGCTGGGCGTGTTTCTGTAATATACGTGTATGATTGGTTGTTTTGTAAAACCCTGTGGGTGGTCCTATCTAAGGGAAACCTGCATAAAAGAAGGTTCTTTTGGTGCCAGTAAATAAGTTCTGCTTGACCTCAAAACGAAGTGTCGTCTCGTTACTGGGGGAATCTGCTACAAGGGATTGCTATGCTAGTCATACTCCCTTGCTATATCACTACTAAGCTTTTGTAAGAGCTTGTTCCTATCTTGCTCTCTGGAGGAGTCTACAGTGGTTATGGTGTCGGCTGGAGTGCTTGGAGCCCTCAGGAAGCACTAGGAGCATCCTTCAACGGAGGTACCCAGTCGGGGTGCCAGGTGATCCGTTACAGTGGTTCTACAGGATGTTTGTTGGTTCTTTATAAGATGATTATTAATTCTAATTCGGCATTGATGCCAAACGGGACTAGAGTTTTTAAATTATAAATCCAGAAGATTTCTTGTTTAATACATTTTTTTATTTAGATTCCCTCCATGAATCCCATAATATTTGAAAGTTTCTGGATCACCGTTATGATTTTCAAAAATGTTTAGAGAGAGTATGGTTCTCAAACTTTCTTTTTATATTGTATGTGTTTTCTTACTCTAGTATTTAGCATACATTTTGTTTGCCCCACATATTGGAAACCACACTCGCATTCTAATAGATATATTACTTGTTTAGAATGACAAGGTGCAATCTTCAATATTATATTTTTTGTTTGTTTTATGTGATTGGAAACTAGTAGTTTTTCCAAATGGTTGCCCTGTGATTTTGCAAATATTGCACTGTCCACATTAAAAAAACTTTGTGTTCATTTAAAAAATATTTTTTATTTTTATCGGGAGCTTGACAACTATTTACTACTTTTTTCTTGATGGTAGATGCTCCCCTGAAGACTATCCTAGGTTTAGAGGGTAAGATTGAAACTAGAATAGGGTCTTGGAGTAAGAAATGCCAATTTTTCTGGATAATTCTCTTTAGTTGTGTAGATTGTGAGCTGTAATTAAAAAAAGAGAGGGCAATTAAAATTCTTGTCAGGTTTTTTTTTGTTACGAGGTAATAATAATTATTGTCTGTCCAGGCTATTAACTGTCTGTACAGATCAGTTAAGAAGTTCAATATCATATTCTTTATCTTCAAATAGTTTTTTTACTTTTTCAGTTTGTGTTCAGCACACTGCCACATCTGAGCAGTTTTCCTTAATCCTCTGAAATTGTCCTAGAGGAACGTTATTTAGCCGGAGAGGAGAGGGGGGGGTTATGACAACTTAAATGTAAAATAAAGCATTTACATCAACACTTTTGAAAAGTTTTAGTTTTTAAAACATTTTGTTCTACATAGAGCACTATCTTTGTGCTGTTGTACTTATAGGTAAAAGACAAATTAAAATCATTGCAATTAATATAGGTTAAAAACTCTAGTAAAAGTGACTCTTCTCCTTCCCAAAAAAAAAAAACAAAACAGTCGTCTATGTAGCATCTATAGGACTAGATTCGTCACCAAGGGATGTCATTTCCAGATAAATTAGTTTTCCCAGAAGGTCATAAAGATGTTAGCATAAAAGGGTGCGAATCTAGTCCCCATTGCTGTACCTGAAGATATATCTCTTTATTACGCCAAAAGAATTTGTTCGACAATATAAAATTGATACACTCTATTAAAAATTCTACTTTTTCCATATTCATCTCTGCTTTATCGTAGATAGTATACCTAATGGTTTGTAAACCTAAATGATGTTGAATGACTGTATATAATGATGTTACTAGCCATAGGTTATTGTTCCAAGTATTTCTTTCTATCAATTTTAAAAGCTCACCACTGTTTTTCAAATATGTTTGGGGCATCTTAACATAAGGTTGTAGTAGAACACCTATGTATTTTGATACATCGTAATATGTAATGGCCATGATAACAATACCACCCCCCTCATCTGCAAGCTTTATTATGATGTTTTTATTATCATTCAATTCCTTAAGTGCTTTCCTTTCAAGTATAGTTACATTTTGTACAGTGTTGGGTATCTTGATGGGATATGTTTTAATTCACTAATCACAGCCGTGCTAAATGTTTACATGGAAGTACTAATCTGGTTAGATGGAAATAAAATGGATTTGTTTTTTTAGTTCTGTGTGTATAAAATCATTATTTTTTGGAACGTTATAATTCATAGGAGTGGTAATAAAAAAAGTGTTTTATAGATAAGTTCCTCATGAATTTATGTACATCTAAAAAATTTCGAAAAGGGTCGGAGGAAGTGTTCTTCATCAACTCTGTCTAGGATTACATGCAGTATTGCTGCAGGATGACATGCTGTGGTAGGATTGGCTGCTGAGACACCTCCGTCATTGTGTACAGCGGCAGTACTTTGTGTGGAACATGGTTTAACACTGCATGGTGCCTTGACTCAATTATCTCCCAGACACAGAGGCGCCTGGGCGGGCTTACAATGTAACTGTATGGAGACCCCTGGGGTTCTGGCTATAAAAGACATTGTCTGTGAATAAAAAGTTGTTGTACTCTCAGAATTGTGTGTCTTCCAGTTACTCGGAGGGAAAGAGCTATTCACTATTCCGTATCTTGTTCCAGCTTGTGAAGAATTTAACAGAGAAAGTCCTTGTAAGGGCTATAGTTCCGCTACAGTGCCTATCACACAAAATGCACAGGGATGACACTTACTTACCAACAAAGCTAACAGTGCAAAACAAAAACAAAAAAAACCTACTCATCTGCACACCCTCCCAAATCCCTATACCTATACATTTAAATAACAAAGGTTTTTAGTAGGATTAAGTGGCACTAAACATTTCTACTATTTAAATGTGCAAAGGTATTTGGAGGTTTAAGGATGCGCATGTAAGGTTTCCCCCTCCCCCTACCTTTCCTATATATTTAGGAAGATGACTGCTATGCCACCTAAGAGTAGTGTGAGTTTGAGTGTGGGGCTTATTTATAATTGTTAACACTGCAACCAGACCTACACTAGTTGCTACCCAAGCACACTATTACAGTAGGCAAAAAAGGGAGATATTATTAGTTTGTGACATCATTGCGTGGCACGGGGTTTCCTACAACTGTTAGTGAGCCAGCCATTACTGGTTACGAACATCCCCAGCCTCAGATGATCTCATCTCTCAAAGGTCCAGAGCTAAATAAAAATAAACCCATATGTATTATATATATATATATAGACATATGGCATAGTGGAATCACAATATTACATGCCAGATTTTGTTACAACAGTTTTTGGCGGTTAGAAGAAAGATCACTAGTTTGCACCAATTAAAAGTGTGACGTTACAGCCATGGCATCTCTGCTATGGTTGTTGTAGCAGTTTATAATTTACCATATGCCTATATCCCCACTTAGATAGTGGGTTATTTTGATATGCTTACTGTGACTGAATTGCTATATTTATTAGTTATAACTATACCTGGTGATGTACAAATCTTTGTTTGAAGTGTACAGGGAGGAGGACATATTACCATGTAATATATATATATATATATTGTGTCCTGGGATACGAGCACAGGACACCTGGGGATAATTAGCTAAAAATTAAGGAGTCTTTATATCAAACATGGAGGTTTGTTAGTTTTCTGTTTACTCTAAGTGTACAGTTTGTGACACTTTTGCGCAATTTTCAGTATTTACATGAAAGAAGATGCTATCAGAGAGTTAAATAGATGTATATCATAGATGTATGCAGGAGCAAACATAGAATGTCATTATGAAAATGGCCAGTAGATGGCGGTCACTGATTCTCTACTGTTTTATCTAGAAAACTTACCTTCTGATATCAGAATTTATATTAGTAGAAGGTTTCTGTAGAAAGAGTTAGTGCTGGGGTTAGGGTTAGATTTAAGCGTAGGTATAGTCTTTTATAGGGCAAGGTAAGGGTTAATGCAGGATTTTGGGGTTAGGGATAGTGTAGCGTTAATGGTAAAGTTAGGGTAGGTATTGAGTTAGTGTAAGCATTGAGTAAGGGGTATCGTTGGTATAGGGTTAGCTTTAACTACAAAAAATTTAAGTAGATCCTAGACCTATTACGCATTTTACAATCAGGGCTGATATAGGAATCTATTTTGAGTTATTTTCATTAAGTTGTACTGAATGTGTATATATTATCATAAAAAAGAATGCGTTGTTTTATGTACCTATTTTGTACATTTTATTCACATGTATTGTTGTGTTAGGTATCCATATAGGATATTAAACTAAAGTCCTTTCTGTCATTTACAAAATCTTTCTAATCCGTATGAGAACAGTTAAAATGAGACCCTTAAATTACTGTTGGATAAACACGCAAATTCTAGGTTTTGCTTTAATTCAGAACTTGGACAATTACATCAGTTCTTAAGAGGTTAAGTATCATAGGTGTTCTTGATGTAGGTTGACTACAGTTTCTCTAATGGTTGTTTTAGCAAAACACTAGAGATGGTATCGGTATTTGTTCTCATCCAGGAATTCAGTCCCTACATCCCACCACTAGCAACACCATTGAGCTTACAGGACAAAACAAATTAATGAAAAATAAATAAAACGTATAACTTTGCTCTAGTGGTGGCATGTAGGGACTGAATTCCTGGATGAGTACCTTCCCTACAAGTAGCGCTCTCAGGGCAGGTCTATAAGTGGGGTAAAACAACGGGACAAATAGACCGGGAACTGCGTGGCCAAGTGGCCGAATATAGTTCATGAAGTCGATGGCCAAGTACAGCTGTTAGCATTCAGGAGACAAAATGATTGCCATCTACCAGGGAGTGTACTTTTGGTGATACAAACGGGAGAGTGCTTAGATTACGTTCGGGAGAGGGAAGCTATAGAGCCAGGGGAACACAGTGTTAGACAAACAAATGGGGGGGAAATGAACAAGGGAGTACGGGCAACTGACCAGACATAGCATCAGGTCTGCTACAGGCACCATACAGTGTTAAACCATGTTCCAAAAAAAGTACTGCCGATGTTCACAATGATGGAGGTGTCTCAGCAGCCAGTCCTACCACAGCATGTCAAACTGCAGCAATATGCAAGTATTCTTCATGTAATTGCAGACAGAGTTGATGAAGACCCTGCTCCAACAGTGTAGAGGAGGTACGGTATAAAAACAAAATAGGAAGGGCAGCGTGGGGAACAGCAACCAAGTGACAGGGTGCAAAAGTAGCACCAGAGAAATTCCAACACAGTTAACATGAGTATTTTTTTTTTAAAGATTTAAAGATTCTATCATTAGGAAATACTCATTTTTAGGGGGGCAAGTGACAGTGCCGCTTTAATATTTTGAATTGAATTGAATCCTATAAGCGGGAGGATATCTATTCAGAGATGGAAGAGAGGCAATGGGTGACACATAGTAGGACAGTAGGAGATATATCTAGGAAGAGACAAGAGAGTGTTTTTGGGTGTCATTGGCATATAGGTGATATTGGAATCCAAAAGAATTAGTGTTTGGCAAAGGAGCAGTATAAGTTATGACCTTTGGATTTAGTCATGGTTAGATCATTAGTTACCTTAGTCACAACAGTCTCAGCATAATTTAGAGTGTGGAAACCAGATTGAAGAGGGTCAAGAATAGAGTTAGAGTTGAGAAAGTGTGTTAGACGGTTACAGACAAGTAATTCCAGAAGCCTTTAGGAGAAAGGGAATAGAGATATGGGATGTTAGTTAGATGGGGAAGATAGGTCACCATATTGCCTTTTTCTAGGATATGTAAGACAATGGCATATTTAAAGTGAGTGGGTAAAATGCCAGAACAAAGAGAGCAGTTCAAGACGTGTTAAGGAGAGCACAAGGCAAGGAGAGAGAGGGATAATGTGAGAGGGAATAGGGATCAGTAGTAGGGAGAGAGTAAAGGAGAAGCACAGACATCTCCTGTTCTAAAGGACGTTGGCTGTATGTTTGGGGTCATTATCATGCTGCAGAATAAATTTAGGGCCAGTCAGATTCCTCCCGATAGTACTGTGTGATGAATAAGTATCTTCTGTACTTCTCTGTACTCTGGAGAACAATAATTCTGACCAAATACCCAACACCATTTGAGGATGTGCAAGGAAACTCCACTATGCTACATTGTTGCCTGCAGATACTCATTCTTGTACCACTCTCCAACTCTTCGGAAAACAAACTGCCTTCTGATACAACTATTTCAAATTTTTTTTATCTGTCTGGAGCACCTGCTGCCATTAGTTTTCAGTTCCTGTGTTTTCTTGCATAGTTGAATCACTTGGCATTAGACATGTGCATGGGGGAAATATTCGGCTCAGTTCGGCATTCCGAAATTCGAGACTTCGGCAATTCGACTCTTGGAACTTCGACACTTCGGAACTCCGGCATTTCGGGACCTCTTTTGCAGCCGCTTGGTAGATAACTCCCTAATACCCATGGTATTAGGGAGTTATCTACCAAAAGGCTGAAAGAGCTAAATTGGTCTTTCAGACAAATTTACTAATACTAAGTCAAAATTACTTAGTATTAGCAAATTTTGCCCCTACTCGCTATACCGCGAGTAGAGGCATGTCTAGTAAACAATGGCTGCTCACTGTTAACAAAAAAAAAAGGACCTATTGCCCCGGCTCCCACCCCTGAGTGGCGGGTGGGGGCCCTAAATAAAAATTGGTGTGGGGGAGGGACCTAATGTCCTCCTCCCCCCTGAGCGGTGGGTGGGGGCCCTAAACTAGAATAAGGGGGGCCCCACCCATGAGCGGTGGGTGGGGGCCCTAAATAAAAATTGGAGGGGACCTAATGTCCTCACCTTGGCCCCCACCCCTGAGCGGTGGGTGGGAGCCCTAAGTACAAATTGGGGGGGACCTAATGTCTCCCCCTGGCCCCCACCCCTGAGTGGCGGGTGGGGGCCCTAAACTAGAATGAGGGGGGACCTAATGTCCTCCCTCTGGCCCCAACCCCTGAGCGGTGGGTGGGGGCCCTAAATACAAATTGGGGGGGACCTAATGTACTCCACCCTGGCCCCCACCCCTGAGCGGTAGGTGGAGGCCCTAAACTAGAATAAGGGGGGGACCTAATGTAAGTAAGTCTCTACATTTACCTGTCACAGCACTCTGATTGGTTGGCTTGAAATCCACCAATCAGAGTGCTCTGTGTCATTTTACACAGCATGAGAAAGTTCTTTGGAATTTTCCCACGCTGTTCAGGGGTGGGGGGTGGGGGGGGCAATAGGTCCCCCCTTCAGGGGAGGGGGGTGGGGTTGTTTTGTTTGTTTATTACAGTGAGCAGCCACAGGCCACGGTATAGCGAGTAGAGGCATAATTTACTAATACTAAGTAATGTTTACTTAGTATTAGTAAATTTGGCTGAAAGACCAATTTAGGTCTTTCAGCCTTTTAATAGATAGCTCCCTAATACCGTGGGAATTGGGGAGTTATCTACTTATTCATTCCTGTCATTACATGACTGGCCAAGTAACTTACATTTTATATTGTTTGTTGTAAGTGTTGCAAATGCTTACAGCTGAATCCTGCTATGTTTGTATACTTTTTATTTAAAATTGTATACAGTGTAACCTTCTTCTTCCACTGGGTAAGTATAATAGTACTTAGGCAATACTGTGCTTCGGCAATTCGGTAATTTCTGAACTTCGGGACCTAGGTAATTCGGCACTTTGGACATTCGAAAGTAACCGAATGTCCAAATTGCCCGAAATTCGTCCAAATTCATATTCGGCCCGAAACGAATTGCACATGTCTACAGCAGATCATTTATGTCCTGCTAGTTGCAAGGTGGGGTCTTCATGGACTGGATTTATTGTTCTAGCACATCCCACATACGTTCAATCAGATTGAGATCTGGGGAATTTGCAGGCCAAGGCAACGCCTTGAGCTCTTTGCCGTGTTCCTTAGTTCATTCTTAAAGAATCTTTGCAGTGTGGCAGGATGCATTATCTTGCTGAAAGAGGCCATTGCCATCATGCAACACCATTGCCATGAAGTGATGTGCATCGTCATCAACAAGCTCCAGGTAGGTGGTATGTGTCAAGTAACATCCACATGAGTGCCAGGACCCAAGGTTTCCAAGCTGAACATTGCCCAGAGCATATCACTGCATCCGCCATCCTGCCTACTTCCCAAAGTGCATCCTCTTTACATCTCTTCTCCAGGAAACGACTCACATGCAACCGGCCATCCACCTGATCCACAATAAAACATGTATCTTTAGACCAGGCAATCTCCATTTCCATTGCTCCATGGTTCAATTCTAAGGCCCTTTTGGTGGGGGACAGGACTCATCATGGGCACTCTGACCCGTCTGTGGCTACACAGCCTATATGCAGCAAACTGTGATGCACTGTGTGTTCTGTCACCTTTCTATCATGCAGCAATTTAAACTACAGTAGCTCTTCTGTGTGATTGGACCAGACGAGCTAGCCTTTGCTCCCCATGTGTATCAATGAGCTGTGGGCGCTCAAGACCCTGCTGACGGTTCCCCAGTTGTCCTTCCTTGCACCACTTTTGTTAGGTACTAACCACTGCATACTGGAAACACCCCACAAGACTTGCCTTTTTGGAGATGCTCTGAACCAGTTGTCTAGCCATCACTATTTGGCCCTTGTCCAGGTTATATCTGGATCAGAATCCCAAAGTAGAATCTTCAGAGAGCATTGGGTGGTTTACAGGATAGAACCAAAGGCAAGTTTAAGAACATTATCTTTTGGAAATCTCATCGTATTAGCCTCCTTCTGTGAACTCACAGCTCTTACCATTAAATTCCAAAAATAATTATGTACAGTATATTAAATGGGAGAGGAAATGAAGTTCAATTGTTAGTTTTCCACAGTAGAAAACAAACTAGGACTGAACAAGAATTCCCAGAAAACCTTGATATGCCCATGGAGCACTGTATAAGGGGCAAACTCAGCAGTACCGCAAAGCATTTTCTACTAAGTGCCTCTAGATAAATCAGTTTCTAGAATTCGCTTGTAAATGCTTCCAAGCGTTTTGTGCCATTAAAGGAATTTTCTCAGAGATAGTCTCTAAGGAAGTGCCTTGTACGGCACAAAAAATGTTAGCATCTCCCTCCTTAGTATCACCCTCTGCACATTGTGTTCCAATGTAATACTTCATGTTCAATAAAGGATTTCTTTTAACCATCCTGAGCCCGGTATTTGTGTCCTGCATGTTGACCGAATGCTGTGGAAGAATTTATATATTAAGTGGGAGAAGAATCCACACACCAGGACTTTCTTACTGTAGGAAAATCTTTTTCTTTACCTGCATTGACGCCTATAGACTACATGATATGTCCTAGAATTAGCTTCCCTAATAGAAATACACATACAAAAAATTATAATTAATGATCAAAAGAACAAGCAGTAAGAACTTAACTCATTCAGTTGGAAACATAAATTGTGGCTAAAAGATAATTGCTCGACTGGAGCACAGCAGAAAAATGTTGTTCTGATCGAAGAACATTGTCCACAATAAATAAATAAAACATTTCTAGAGACAGAATTTTGTCCATGTTGTGGCTTTGCTCATCATAATTCTTCAGAATTCACAAAAATTTGATAAAAATTAGATGATATATATATATCAGGATTAAAAAAATAATAATAATAAGTAGTGAGAGAAATGTGTTTTATAATGATTGATTCAATTGACCAACCACTGAGGGCAGCATAGTTTCATTGGCTTAGTGCCCAGCACTATTTCATGATCCTAGTGCACAAATGATGCACTGACATATTATGATTGTTGAGGGAAGTTCTATGGTATTCCGAAAAGCCGCAGTTTCTAATCTCAACTGCTATCAGCAACATTTAACCCCTTAAAGACAACTTCTGGAATAAAAGGGAATCATGACGGAATGTTTGTCCGTCATGTGTCCTTAAGGGGTTAACAGCTAAAAATAATGGAGCAGAAAAAGCTACACCAAAACAGATAAAAGATATACAAAATGCAAAATCTATTTTTTTTCTTCCTTTTTTTCAAATATGCCTCGTAATTTTCCTTATTTTTGTAGCATTTGAAAGTTTTAATCCATTCTATTCTGAATAATAAAGCTGGGAGTGGAGGTTCAGAAATTAAATTGTGAAAAGGGTAGTGATAAGGATATCCTTGGAATCCATATTGTCTCAATGAATACCACTTGTAAAATGCATATGAGAGATTAATCTCCGTATGCATATTCAATGACACTGGCAGCTGTTGGTCATCCTCCTGTAAAAACAAACAAACCATATAGTACATATATAGACATAGATAGGAGATTCCCAAAATATGCCTCATGCTATCATAGTTGACAATTTGCCTTTAACCACTTAAGAACACAACTTCTGGAATAAAAGGGAATCATGACAAATATTTCCGTCATCTGTCCTTAAGGGGTTAATTTAATATGCATTAACACTGTCGGGAAGTACAGTTGCGCTATAGGATAAGAAGAACTTTAACTCTATTGAACACCAGCACACTGACAATTCTGTAGGGCACTCTGATGCTTCTAACAGAGTTAAAGTAAATGATTCAACCAGCAGAAAGACATTCTCCTCTCACAAAACACTCCCAGGGTTCTTATCTGTTGTGTCAGTATGCTTAATACATCCTGGCAACACTATCACTTTAATAGAGTCCTAGCTCCAGTCCAGGCTCTGCCTCTAAATACCCTTGGGAACTTTCTCAAATAGAAGGAAGTGAAACCAGCACAGGCAAAGATATACATGAAACTTTACTAAATTCAATTCATTTTTCTTTTTACAATTTTTTCATTATATTTTTTTACATTAGATTAGCACATGGATGAGTCCTGCATGTGTATAGTAAGAATTCATGCAACATCAATCTTTATTTCTGTCATTTAACCGTCATAAACATGTTATCTCTTCAACGCCATTCCTCTGAGCCATTTTCTTCAATCTCCAAGTTACGGAAGTTATGCAAAGTCAAAACAGGTAGTGTGTTTATACTCCTCTCCAGGGTGTAGTAGAGTACTTGGGAACTGTGACTGGGAATAAGAAAAACGTAAATATAAACCATGTTGTGACAAGTTTATTTTTGACATCTTGTGGTCTCTTCACTAAAGGTTGAATCTGTTTAAGTAGATTCAGCCACTTTCAACGGGCTCAATTAATTTAAGTTTGGCTGATAAAATTCTTCTGATGGTTCAATCCATTCTCTATTGACGGGAATGGTAAAGTGAGCAGAATGGGTCCATGATATTTTTTAATTAGGTTTTGTAGTAGCAATGAAATTAATTTAAAAATAGAAACCAAATACTAAACAATTGGCAGCCAAATGTACCATTTTAAGAAAGGAAAGAAAAAAAAAGGACCAAAAAAGACAACGTAAAATTATTTGTGATGGTGGGTATGTGTGATTGAGGTATCACTATAGTGTACACCCACAAACTAGAGGAAGTGATAATCCAGAGGATTATAAAATACATTTATTTTCCTTAAAAAAAACAGATCTATAGACAAGTAGCCATAAAATGATTAAGTTACGAATACCAACCACGATGTGGAAGGTCCACGTGGGAATGCACTTGCACAGCATTTCTTAGTGGAGACCCAAGTTTGCCCGAAGCATCAAGCAGGAATAATATTACAATGGACATGGAAGTGCTACGGATGTATATTTATGATTACCTCTGCAGCACTTCTCACCACACTAAATGCTTAAATCATAGCTTAAAATTTTCACTCTCTGCTAGTTATCAGCAGGCAACAATACAGCCCTGGCAAGTAGAAATTCACCCTTGGTTAGTGTGCTATGGACCCACTAGGCTTGCAGTGGAGAGAAACTTTTAGGTCATAGTGTAGGAATTGCAATTTTGATCCATTCTTCAATAATAGTCGCTGGATCAAGGGACTCAGGAACAATCACTACATTTTTCTTTCATTTTTGTTATGCTGTATAAGGTCTTAAAGTGATTGCTACTCATGATATTTACCTTGTTAACAGCATCTGGCCACGCTTGCGTTTCCAGACAAAATGCAGAATGCTTTGGATACACGGAACCTCCCTTGCCTTTCAGAGTTCCATCCAAAAAATTAGCTGTGTAAAACTGCACGCCAGGTTGAGTTGTGCTGACAGTAAGCACTCTGCCACTAGCTGGATGATGAACCCTAAAAATAATTTTTAAAAAATCAAATCAAAAAAAATAAATAAATATATATTTATATCTCATTACAACATTACATTAATACATGAACATTTAATACACAATTCCGGTCTTCTCGTCATGGGTTCTCTGTAGACAATTATAGAGGAAACTTCCAAAACTGGAAAAATAAGTAGAAACGTTTTCAATTGGTTTTAATAGTCATTGCTCACCTCTTAAGACTTTGTCCCAGAATTTTAAAATGTAAAAAAGATCACAAATGACTGCAGTTCATATTGGATTTGGGAAATTAAGTTCTCCTTAAAGTTGCAAATCTGCCATTTTCAGTTATTTCCTACTATATTGTACATTTATATAGATCAACGAATCTTGAAGGGACACTATAGTCACCAAAACAACTTTAGCATAATGAAGCAGTTTTGGTGTATAAATCATGACCTTGCAGTTTCAATTCTCTGCCATTTAGGAGTTAAATAACTTTTTTTATGCAGCCTTAGGCACACCTCCCTGCATGTGACTTACACCGCCTTCATAAACTCTTCCTGTAAAGAGTCATCTAATGTTTACACCACCTTTATTGCAAATCTGTTTAATTTGGATTTTCTTATCTCCTGCTGTGTTAATAGCATGCTAGAAACTACAGGAACCTCCTGTATGTAATTAAAGTTAAATTTACAGAGCAGGAGATAAAAACTTTGAAAGAAAGTTACATCTGATTGAAAATGAAACCATTCTGTGTTCATGCAGGCTGTGTCAGTCACAGTTAGGGGAGGTGTGACTAGGGCTGCATAAACAGAAACAAAAGAGATTTAACTTCTAAATAACAGAGAATTGAGCAGTGAAACTGTAGGGGCATATTCTATACGCCATGACAGCTTCATTATGCTATAGTTGTTTTGGTTACTATAGTGTCCCTTTAAGTCTAATTTTTGCAGAGTGATAACACAAGTTAAACTGTGATGTTCTTTCTAATCGTCCAAAAGTAATACTTGATGGTTTCATTCCACATATTAATGAATAAACTATAATTCAAACTAAACTATACCATTAGGAAAAATCATCTCATCTATGCTGGTTTCTAATAAAACTCTGCAAAGAAATAATTACCAAATCCTGTCATTACTGCATTTTATAGATTTGTTTGAGTCTGTAGCCAATGATAGGTTACATTGCCACAGTAGCAGAAGGGGCCTGTTATAGGGTTTGTATATTTCAAAGTATGTAACACAATAATTCAGTATCAGTATAACTATTTTCTATTGCATAAAATGTTTCAATTTAATCATGCATGTTCTAAGGCAGGGGGTTGTAGTTCAGCAACATCTGGGGGGCCGCATGTTTGACACCCCTGTTCTAAGGCGTGATAGAAGTTGCATTCTAAAGGTGAACTGGACTATGAAAAGATTTTTCTTCATAAAATGTTAATTCAAATAATAAAAACAAATTACTTTGCTGTACTAAAGACACCTTCAGAAGGGATAATAAGGAAAATTGTTTCATACATAATTACCGTAATTTTCTTTTCCTGGTCATTATTCATGGTAGCATTTACTCATGGGTTAGCAACTCCCCTTACAGCACAAAGGACAGGAAATAGAATTCAGAAAATGGTATAAATAGATCCTCCCCCTTCCCATCAGGCAGTCTTTGTAACTAGCTTCACAACTCTTATAGTATATGGGTGGGAACGTAATGCTGCCATGAATAATTATCAGGAAAAAAAAATTACGGTAAGTATGAAACAATTTTCCTTATTCTCGATCAATCATGGCAGCATTTACTCATGGGGAATACCCAAGCAGTATATATAGAGGGAGGGACAGAGTTCAAAAACAGCTAATAGCTATAAAACCATTATTGAGCTGCATAAACCTTAGAAGACTTTAAAAAAGCCAAATAAGTCATCAATAGGAAATTGTCATAAAATCTGCTCAGACAAGATAATTTACCGCTGGCATTTAAATCTCTGAAATATCCTGAAGAAATATAGCGCCAGATAGGAATTAAGGCAATGATAGCCAAACCTAGAGAAGGAACAAGGCTAGACTAATACAAGACAAACTCTCGTACGAAATAAGGAACCCATCTTGTAATAGATAAAAACATTTTTTAGAGAACCTCCATGAAACCCAGACACGGTCTAGAAATTATAGATCCGTTATGTCAATGATAGAAGATAATGTAATTCTCTGATATAAATAAAAAAAACAAATGGATGGCATCATCAAATCAGAACCTTGACAAAGGCATAACTTCCAGAGATCATACTGGAACAGGCAGATAATGTTGGATGAGAACGGACACACCATGATATTAAACACGGGGAGAATTACACTGAGAATCCTACTACTTACTGGATGTATTTATTAAAGACAATTCACACTGCTTCATCTTGCCTAGTGAACTACTTACCTATAGATACTGGAAACAAATATCTGCCTGTCAGAAAGAGGCAGAGTCTAGTAGAGAAATAAGAGCGTCTGTTATTAAAACACTGCAACAATGACTATATATTGCAAAAATCAGATTCTCAACCAAACCTCACACTGTAAATAAATTGATACAGTAATGATCGGTTACAGGAGAGGTAGAAACCAATAACACAAATAGATATTACTAGACAAAGGCAAGAAAAATCATATCAAACAGATGTTAAAAAAAAAATATTGGTATTAACCGTAGAATTTGTGGCAACTAATAAATTATAAGTAGGCCAACCACGTCAGTACCTACATTCAAAGATAAACAGATTGTAAATAGTACAGATTATGCCAAACACTGTTGTGCAATATAAGTAGGGGTTATGTAATAGCCGGGATACTGGTGAGAAGGTGGTAACCAAAGACACATGATCCATTGTGGCAACAGACACATAATAAGCAGGATAGTAGAAGATATTCCGTTATCCTTATGAGAACAAACAACCACATACCTACTCTGACCTTATCTTCAGATATTAATGAAGTACTTATGGCAGAACCTATGGTGATAATAAGATCATTCTGCAGCTGGTTTTATCTGCAAGATATCAACACCATTCCAAGCATATAATCCACAAGTATTAAATCAATGCAATGTTAGGAGTGACCATCACTTACACAGATCTAGGTACAGAGACCATGTAAAATATATCAGCCAAATGTTTGTCATCAACAAGCTACAATATTATATTATGCAGGATGAGTCAACAGCTTAAAGCCTCATATTGGTTGCAAATTCCAGATATAAGGACACCTAGAAGAATCCCCATGAACATCAGAACAGAGGTCCGTAATGGAACTTCCTGTTCAGGGATTTCCTTTATTGTTCTGGTAGCAGGTAAATTTTACCTGAAATAGTAAACCTGGTAGAACGGTTTCGGGACAGGAAAGACCTTCCAATGTCAATTAAAATGCCTGCAATACACAGCATCAAAGTTTACCTGGATTAGATGAGCCTAAAAGAATACCTTTTATTGCAGAAAGGAAATTATAATGTTCCCTGTCACAACATGGGAATCTGTGAGGAATTCCGATCCTTACCCCCTTAAAAACCAAAAGCATGCCCCCTGACATATATTAAGGGATTGCCAAACTCCAGGTCCCCAAGGGATGAAATAGCAAAATACTGAATATAACAAATAGCACATTCTCTAACCTATAAAGATTATGCTTTAAGGAAATTTACTCTGTTCTAAAGAATATTTTAAACCAATTCCAGAGCAGCAGACCAGGAGTAGTGAATTTTACAGAGTAGAAGCTTGCAGAAAATAAAATGATTACTAAAGTTATGACCAGCTGAAACAAAAAAACCAATATCAAGAGATTACATATATTTTTTTACACTGATTTTAACTTTATTTTATTTTATTTCCAGCCAGCAGGGGGACTAACTGTCATTACAGGCAGTCCCCCTGCTGGCAATGCAGCAGCCAGCTAACCCGGCCATGTGATTGTGAGGTCCTCCCTATCTTGATCAGAGAGGAGATAATACCTGGCAATAGAAAAACTTTTGTAGAATTATCTCCTGTGTAAATACATAGGTGTGCACACAAAAAAAGCATTAACTCTGTTAAACATTACCATGCTCCATTTTGGAAATCAGATCTCCTTCTCTCCTGGGAGAGGCACACAGACAGGTTCAGTAACACCTGCAATATATCTGAAGTGGTTAATTGTGTTAATTGCTTATCCTGAAGCACCTGTGGGAGAAATCTAATGCAAAGCCAAAGGCAGTATGTCTCTCTTATCTACTTAATTTAACCCCTTAAGGACCAGCCTGTTTTTGCGATGTTGTACGTTAAGGACCAGAGCAGTTTTGACACTTTTGTGGTGTTTGTGTTTAGCTGTAATTTTCCGCTCTCTCATTTACGGTTCCCATACAAATTATATATATTTTTTTTCAGGACAAGAAGGGCTTTCTTTACATACCATTATTTGTATCATGTCATATATTTTATTTAAAAAAAATAATAAAATATGGTGAAAAATTGAAGGAAAAAAAAACATGTTTTTGGACTTTTACTTGAAAAATCTTTTACTTATCTACAAAAGCTAATGAAAAAAACTGCTAAATAGATTCAAAATGTTGTACTGAGTTTAACCCCTTAAGGACTGAGCCAAATGTACACGTTGTGAACAAAACAAAATGTAAACAAAACCTGGCATTTGCGCTACATGTCTGTCCAACCGTAATTCACCTCTTTCATAGTAAATGCACCCACCCTTATTATATATCATTTTATTCAGGGGAAACAGGGCTTTCATTTAATATCAAATATTTAGCTATGACACGTAATTTAATATGAAAAAAAATGGGAGAAAATACGATTTAAAAAAAAAAAAATTCAGTTCTACATGACATTTTAACGGTCCATGTCATAATACTGTTTGCTTTTACTGCAATAAAATACACATATTTGTATTCAGCAAAGTCTCACGTGTAAGACAGTACCCCCTATGTACAGGTTTTATGGCGTTTTGGGAAATTACAGGGTCAAATATAGCACGTTACATTTCAAATTGAAATTCGCCAGATTGGTAACGTTGCCTTTGAGACTGTATAGTAGCCCAGGAATGAAATTTACACCCATAATGGCATACCATTTGCAATAGTAGACAACCCAAGGTATTGCAAATGGGGTATGTCCAGTCTTTTTTAGTAGCCATTTGGTCACAAACACTGGCCAAAGTTAGCATTAGTATTTGTGTGTGAAAAATGCAAAAAACGCCAATTTTGGCCAGTGTTTGTGACTAAGTGGCTACTAAAAAAGACTGGACATACCCCGTTTGCAATACCTTGGGTTGTCTACTATTGCAAATGGTATGCCATCATAGGGGTAATTTTCAATCTTGGGCTACCATAAGGTCTCAAAGGCAACGTAACCAATCTGGCGAATTTTAATGTGAAAAAAATGAAACACAAGCCTTATATTTGACGCTGTAACTTTTGAAAACACCATAAAACCTGTACATGAGGGGTACTGTTGTACTCGGGAGACTTAGCTGAACACAAATATTTGTGTTTCAAAACAGTAAAAAGTATCGCAGCAATAATATCATCCGTGTAAGTGCTGTTTGTGCGTGAAAAACGTCACTTTTACTGGCGATATCATCGTTGTAATACATTTTACTGTTTTGAAACACTAATATCTGTGTTCAGTGAAGTTTCCCGAGTAGAACAGTACCCCCCATTTACTTTTTTTTTTTTTTATTGAAATTTGTCAGATTGGTTAGGTTGTCTTTGAGAGCGTATGGTAGCCCAGGAATGAGAATTACCCCCACGATGGCATACCATTTGCAAAAGAAGACAACCCAAGGTATTGCAAATGGGGTATGTTCAGCCTTTTTTAGTAGCCACTTAGTCACAAACACTGGTCAAATATTAGTTTTTTTCTTTTTTCACACAAAAACAAATATGAATGCTAACTTTGGCCAGTGTTTGTGACTAAGTGGCTACTAAAAAAGACTAAACATACCCCCACTTTTAATACCTTGGGTTGTCTACTTTTTCAAATGGTATGCCATTATGGGAGTAATTCTCATTCCTGGGCTACCACACCATCTCAAAGGTAACATTACTAATCTGGCAAATTTCAATTTGAAAATGGAACATTCTATATTTGACCCTGTAACTTTCCAAAACACCATAAAATGGGGGGTACTGTTGTACTCGTAAGAGATCGCTGATTACAAATATGTGCATTTTTTTGCACTAAAACCTAACAGTATTCAGACATTAACAGCCAAAATGTCAGACGGAAATAGAAATTTTAAAAAAAAATCTTATTTTCTCACATTTTTTAAAATTTTATTCATAATAAATTATGTTCCATATATGAATAATTAATGATAAATGAAAGCCCTGTTTCTCCTGAACAAAATTATATATAATAAGTGTGGGTGCACTTAATGTGACAGCGGTGAATTACGGTTTAACCCCTTCAGGACGGGTGACGGACGAGGTCCGTCACACAGGGGAGACCCTTAACGACGGGTGACGGACCTCGTCCGTCACGCGGTAAAATTAACCCCGGATCGCCGCTATCGCGGCGATCGCGGGGTTAATGGTGCTCCCGGTATGCCTCTGCATTGGAGGCATACCGGGAGCACCCGGCCAAGTCTGCCCAGCACATGTGCTCGCTCTGACCACAAGTCTGAGCGAGCACATGTGCTCTGTATACTCACCTACCGGCTCCCTGCACTTCCGGGTTCTGTGTGAAGTGCAGGGAGCCGGATCAGTGCTGATCCTGCCCCCTGCTGGAAAAAAAAATAAAGTTAATTTAAAGTGTCCCCCCCCTTACCCATTTTAATAAAAAATTAACCCCTTCCCTGCCAATTGATCACTGACTACAGTGATCAATTGGCAGGGATTACATTTTACTATGATCTGATTTTTTTTTTAACCCCTGAGGGTTAATTCTTTTTTTTTTAACCCTCAGGGGTTAAATTAATTAAATTAATTAATTAAATTATTTTTAAATTATATATTTAGATAGCTGGGGTGGGTGGAAGTTAGTGGGGAATTGGGGGATTTGGCGTTAGGCTAACTAGGGGTTAACGTTAAAAAAAGTTTTAAAAGAAACTTTAAAAAGTTAAAAATTAAGCTTAAAAAATGTTTTAATAACATTTAAGTAATAAAAACAAAAAACACACTTTACCTAGTCCAAATAAAAATTAACCCCTTCCCTGCCAGTCGATCACTGCCTACAGCGATCAAATAGAGATCACAGTATTATACTGTGATCTAATTTTTTTTAACCCCTGAGGATTAACTTTTATTTATTTTTTTAACCCTCAGGGGTTCAATTTATTTAATTAATTAATTTAAATATTTTATAACTATATATTTTGCTAGCTGGGGTGGGTGGGAGTTATGGGAAAATGGGGAATTTACTGTTAGTGCTGCGTACTGCTAGTTAGGGGTTAACAGTAAAAAAAATAGCTTAGAAAAATGTTAAATCTGTAAAAAAGTTTTAAGAAAGTTTAGGAAAGTTTAAAAAAAATTTATAAGCAAAACAAAAGTTTAAAAACTAGTTTTTAAAAGTAAAAAAGTTATAAAAAGTAAAAAAATACATTTTAAAAACGCTCATTACCACTACACCTGGAACAAACTAGAGAAAAAATTATCCCACGCCAAGGTTCAAAATATGCCTTTTGAATTACCCCAGGGTGTATTCTTTAATAAATAGTATGTGTTTGTGGGGAAGTTTCAATAACCAACCGTCTAAACTACTCCAAATTGGAACATGGACACAGCGTAAAACTTCAAAGTTAGAAAAAAACTGAATGGCTGCGTCTCAAATGCGCCCCTTCAACATCCACATATACCTGGCAAAGGTACATACGGGGGTATTGCTGTACTCAGCCGACATAGCTGAGCAACATATGAAGTATTATACAGTCGTAGCACACATAAGGTTTGCAAAATATATTGTGCAAACTCACTTTGTATGTCAAAAAGGCAGAAAAATGCTTATTACCACTACACTTGGTACAAGCTAGCGGAAAAATGATCCCACGCTGAGGTTCAAAATATGCCTTTTTGAAATACCCTGGGATGTCTTCTTTAAGAAATGGTATGGCTTTATGGGGAATTTGGATTATATAGCCTGGTAAAATACTCTAAAATGGGACATAGGCACAGCATAAAAATTCAAAGTTTGAAAAAAACTGGAATGGCTGTGTCCCAAATGTGCCCCTCCGATGTCCACACATACCTGGCAAAGGTACATACGGGGGTATTGCTGTACTCAGCCGACATAGCTGAGCAACATATGAAGTATTATACAGTCGTAGCACACATAAGGTTTGCAAAATATACTGTGCAAACTCACTTTGTATGTCAAAAAGGCAGAAAAAATGCTTATTACCACTACATCTGGTACAAGCTAGCGGAAAAATGATCCCACGCTAAGGTTCAAACTATACCTTTTGAAACACCCTGGGGTGTCTACTTTAAGAAATGGTAGGCCTTTGTGGGGTAGATTGAATTTAAAACCTGCGAAGATGCTTGGAAATTGCACATAGGCCCAGCGTCAAAATTCAAAGTTTGGTAAAAACGGATATGGCTTGGTCTCCTATATGGCACTGTAGCTTCACAAAATAGTGACAAAGACATTCATTGGGGGTGTATTTTTACTCAAAAGACTTAGCTGAGCATAATTTGGGAGGTTTGAACTTAGTGGCACATATGAAATATACAAAACGCCCAGCAAAAATGCAATCCGTATGTAAAAAATGCACAAAATAATTTTTTTACCACATACTTTGGCATATATTGGTGAAAAAATGGGGGTATGTTAAGGCACAATATGCACCTTATGAGATACCCTGGAGTGTCTACTTTTACAAATGGTAGGCCTTTGTGGGGTTTTTTTGAACAGTCAAACTGTTATAATACCCCAAATGGAAGCTAAGGCTCATTAAATCCGTCTCTCAAAATTCTACTGTGAATACTGTAAAGGACAGGTCTCCTATATGGCACTGTAGCTTCACGAAATAGTGCCAAAGACATTCATATGGGGTGTCATTTTTCTCAGAAGACTTAGCTGAGCATAATTTGGGGGGTTTGAACTTAGTGGCACATATGAAATATACAAAACGCCCAGCAAAAATGCAATCCGTATGTAAAAAATCCACAAATTTTTTTTTTACCACATACTTTGGCATATATTGGTGAAAAAATGGGGGCATGTTAAGGCACAATATGCACCTTATAAGATACCCTGGAGTGTCTACTTTTACAAATGGTAGGCCTTTGTGGGGTTTTTTTGAACAGTCAAACTGTTATCATACCCCAAATGGAAGCTAAGGCTCATTAAATTCATCTCTCAAAATTCTACTGTGAATACTGAAAAGGACATGTATCCTGTATGGCACTGTAACTTCACGAAATAGTGCAAAAGACATACAATGGGGGTGTCATTTTACTCAGCAGATGTAACTGAACACAAAATAAAACTTTGTACAGGAATAGCACACACCAACTTTACAAAATATACACGAGAATTTCTCTGTTATAAGTTTGTGTGCCAAAAACCAAAAAGAACACAATTTTACTCCAATATTTAGCAGAGGTTGGCGGTGAAATGGCTACGTAGAAAGTGTCAAAACAACCTTAGGTAAATAGCCCGTGATGTCTACTTTATATAAATATTTACTTTTGTGTGGCAATTTTGTTTTCTTTTATGGCTATTAAGCTTACAAGACAAACATACCAAATTCTAAAATCGCTCCACATTAAAATTTTATTTTACTCCTTGTGCTTTGTGACCTGTAACTACCAAAAAAAACTTAAAATCCCAGACACATTATATATTCTGTAAATCAGAACAAATAAATAAATTTATTTTTAATTACTTTCCTTAACCTGCACTAATTATGCACACATTATTATTGCAAAAACTGTAAAAAAAACAAACAATATTTTTCATTTTTTTTGCATTTTTCTGTATTTTTTTTATAATAAGTAAGCATTTATATATATATATGTTATATCAAATTAAAGCCCTTTCTGTCCTTTAAAAAACAGTATATAATATGTGTCGGTGCAATAAATGAGAGAGATGCAAATTGCAGTTGAACGCAAACAGCAAGAAAATGCAAAAATTGCTTGTGTCATTAAGCGTAAGTCAAGCTTCTGAAGCTGTGTCCTTAAGGGGTTAAAAGACATATAGAGCAAATTCCGTTTTTTGTTTACGTTTTATTTTGAACAGAACGTGTACTATTGACTCCGTCCTGAAGAGCTATTTTAACACTTTTGTGGTGTTTGTGTTTAGCTGTAATTTTCCGCTCTCTCATTTACTGTTCCGATACAAATTATATATTGTTTTTTTCAGGACAAAAAGGGCTTTCTTTACATACTTTTATTTTTATCATGTCATATAATAAAAAAATGTAAAAAAATATGGTGAAAAAAAAAGTTTTTTGAATTTTACTTACAAAATCTTTTACTGATCTACAAACTGATATTCAAAATTTTGTCCTGAGTTTAAAGACACCGAATGTTTATGTGTTTTTTTGCTTCTATTTGCAAGTTATAGGGCTATAAGTACAAGTAGGAAATTGCTGTTTCAAAATGTACATTTTTCAAATGTATCAATAGTGACATTGTAACACCGTTATGTCATAAATCTCCAAAAAAACACCCCACATGTATATATTTTTCTTAAACTAGATAACCCGGGGTATTCATCTAAGAATATTTTGATACTTTCTATGCAGCCATTTTACCACAAACCTTTGCCAAACTTTGCATAGGTAGTTTATTTTTTTTTCACATACATTCCAATTCAGGTATAAATTTACAGATTCTGTTAGGTGTCACTACCAAACAACACCCCAATATGTGTTCAGCAACATCTCCCGAGTACAGGGATACCCCCCATGTATAGGTGTGTTGGGTTGTTGGGGGGCTAAAAGGCCACATTTTGCAGGTACGCATATCAGTTTCCCAGCTTGGAATTTTGACATGTAGTCAACCTGCATGCATGTCCTATTTGGGAAATTTTTGAAGGCGGCCAATGTATTTTACCGCCATCAATCCATATATTTTTGAAAAGTAGACACCCTAGGGTATTTCACATGGTGGTATTTTAACACTTTCCATGCACTAATTCTACCACCAGGCTTTGTCAAACATTGAGTTAGTAAAACAAAATTCAGTTTTTTTGACACATTGTACTTTAGGCATGAATTAACAGATCCTGTTATGTGTCACTGCCAAACAACACCCCAATATGTGTTCAGCAAGATCTCCTGAGTACAGTGATCCACCCATGCATAGGCCTGTCTGGGGCTAAAAGGCCACGTTTGGCAGGTGCGCTTATCAGTTTCCCAACTTGGAATTTTGACATGTAATCAACCTGCGCCCATGTCCCATTTGAGCCAATGTATTTTACCCCCATCAAACCATATATTTTTGAAAAGTAGACAACCCAGGGTATTTTAAATGGTGGTATTTTAACACTTTTCATGCACTGAATTCTACCACCAGCCTTTGTCAAACTTTTGGGTAGTAATTTTTTTTGTTTCTTTGTCACACACATTGTACTTTAGGCATGAATTAACATATCCTGTTATGTGTCACTGCCAAACACTGCCCAATATGTTCAGCAACATCTCCCGAGTACAGTGATACCCCCCATGTATAGAGTTGCTGGGTTTATTGGGGGCCAAAAGGCAACAATCAGAACTTGTACATGTCAGTTTTTCAACTTGATATATAGGTATGCTTGGTCTATCTTCAGTTTGACATATTTTTGCACCCCCCAGTTAATGTTACCATCATGACAGTACATATAGTATATATTTTTATAAAGTAGACATCAAAGGTTAAAGAAGATGGGGTGTTTTGACTTCTTTCCCCCAAAGAAAGTGTAATGGTAATTTTTTAATTCTGGTTTTTATGCACACGTCATCTGGTTTTGGTCAGCTGGTTATGTGTTAGTGCCAGAAAACTTGTTAGACCAAATGTGCAGGTAGCAAATGTACACTTAGCAGCAATCTTTAAACTGACTCCTGCAAATAGAAACTAACTGGAGATTTCGGGGAAGGAAACTGACTAACAAAAAAATGTCTGCTTTCCAAAGAAACAAAAAATAAAATAAAAATTCAGGAACACTTCTTACAACTGTTCTGTGTGGTACAGCTTGAAACATGTTCCTACACACAGTCCTGGTTTCGAAGGGCAATCAGGACAGTGAAAAGGGGTGTCTGTCCTTTTCCCGTTTTTAAAACAGACCTGGCAACGTTTCTGTTTTTTTTTTTTCTAGCAGTTGTCTTTATATTTGCCTTTTTTTAATCTTGCCTCTATGAGAGAGCGTGGAAAGTCTTTTAAATTTTTTCTGGCAATGCCGCAGGCCAGTGTTTGTACACCAGTAGTCTGTACACTACTATAAAAATTATCCACATAAAGGTGGTAACCTTTATTAAACAAGGGGTTTAGTAGGTCCCATACAAGTTTCCCACTCGTCCCCAGGGAGTCAGAACAGCCAGGAGGGTCCAGTTGACCATCTTTCCCCTCATATACACGAAAGGCAAACGTGTATCCACTTTCGCTCTCGCACAGTTTGTACAGTTTTATGTCATACCTAGAGCGCTTTGAGGTGATGTATTGTCTGAACCCTAATCTCCCTTTGAATTTCATTAGCGATTCCTGAAAATGGTCTAGCAGTGGGCGTATTTTATGAAGCCTATCGTATTGGGGGTGATCTCTAGGGTGACAGAGGGTATTGTCACTAAAATGTAAAAATCTCAGCAGTAACTCTTATCTGGCTCTAGGCATGGTTTGGGAGAATACTGGACTAGACATTATTAGGTTGGTGCTCCAGTATGAGCGAATCGATGGCTTCTTTATAATCCCCATGAGCATTGTAAGAGCCCAGAATTTTTTAAGCTCTGGGACATCTGTGGGATGCCAGTCATGCTCCCTGACTGTATAGCTACCTGGATTGTTATCAATAAATTGGGTAGCATACAAGTTAGTCTGGGAAGCAATCTCCTCCCAGATGGTATCCCCTAAAAATAGTTCTACATACTGCATTGGGGAGAAGCCATCCACATTAACATTAATGCCTGCGTTGGCACTAGAAGGGGGGACGTTGGGCTGGGCTAACTGTGGAGGTACCCAGTCCTCCTCCACATTCGGCGTAGCAGAGGAAGCACAGCTTCTTTCTTCAGCCGGCTCACACACAGATGACATGTCGTCTTGACTAGACGTGTCAGAAAACTGATCTGGGTCAAAATCTGACGCAGTGTCAGTGGCGTCAGAGTCTGACGCCAAGAAGGCATATGCCTCCTGCAAGTTATACATAGGCTGCATGTTTTACACACGACTAAAACTAATTACAAACACACAAAAAAAAATTTATACTTTTTTTTTTTCTACTAAAACAGACTAAACAGCAATCCCTAAACTAACTCCTGTCACAAAAATCTAATGGAGATTTGGGGGAAGGAAACTGACAGACTAAGAAAGACCAAGACAGACCAAAACACAGATTTTTAAAACAAATTTAACCCTTTAAGGGCAAAAAAAAAAAATACAGACAGTACAAATGCACTGCTGTAACAGATCTGGCAGGTAAGGGGTTAAAAAGGATTTTTTAATTCACTTTAGATACTGTATAAAGCTCTGGAACACTTCTACTGCAAAAAACTATCACGATCTCTGTCTCTCTCGCCTCACAAAACGCTACAGAGGAGAGAGGGGCAGAGATCACTGTCAAAGTGAGTGTTTGTAACACCCACTTTGACAGCAGCCAATTGTGAGCGATCACGGATCGCTCACACGCCGCAATTGGCTGTTACTATCTGCCTGGGATGTCTGGCAGGTAGTTACAGCAGCCCGTTTTTCGCTATGATGGTTCAGGACCGTCAGCGGTCCAAATGCACGTTTTACCGCTGACGGTCCTGAAGGGGTTAAGATTATATGAGTGAGATAAATTGGGGCTGTGTTTTCACACAACTTCATGCACAGATTATACCACTCACATATACTGAGGTTGTGAATAACAGCAATCCACACACAGAGCTTGTATTAGATTGGACTCATATATAGAGGATGTGTCCTATATCATTCACATATTGTTGTGTTTCCACCGATACATCCAGCATATAGTGGACACATATACTGAAGCAATGTCTTCACACCAACTTACATATAGAGCATGTAGAGGACATATACTGAGGCTGAGTCTTCAGACCAACTCACACATGAGGCTGAGGCGGTGTCATCATAGTAACCCATACATTGAGCATATAGTTGATAGTTATACTGAGGCTATGTCCTCATAGAAACTCATACATAGAGCATATACTGGACACACACACACACTGAGACTGAGTCTTCATACCAATTCATACATAGAGCATATAGTGGAAACATACTGATGCTGTGCCACAAACCAGTTCATGTACAGATACTGAGGCCCAGTGGTCTAATATGCGGTATATTTTCTTCCACTCTCTGAAAAAGCATGCTATTTGCTATAATGCACTGATAACAGCAATCAATGCCACATGCCTTGATAGAAACCAGTGTCTGTGTGGACTTAGAGCTAGATTCTAACCTGTCATATACATGTGTGTACTTTAATCAGTCATCCAGGAAAGTTTTCTCTTACCTTGGATATTTCTCTGTCTTCAGGACTGTGGAATTCCAGCAGACTTTATACAGCCAGGATATCCATTATCAGCACGCTTTTGCACAATGTCTCATTGCATTACCAGCACTCTTTTGCATCCTTTCGTGTATAAACCTACCTAGATGTTCACCACACAAACCTCCTAAATGTGACCTATTTGTTAGAAGGAAGCCTAATGTAAGCAGCTGGGAGGGACTATAAGAACAGAGACCCAGGTGCCTATACTAGTTTTAATCTAAATTACTAATGCACTTACCTGAACAGCTGCAGGCCTGTGTTTCAGCGGCAAAATGGGGATTTGAACAACTGACAGCCTAAACTGTTTAAACTATAGGCTTCCATCTGTACCCCATATGCCATTTGTCATCACCAGTGGGAGAAGATTTAAACCAAACCCAAGACAAGGTGGAATACATAGAAGAGGCATACCCAGGTATTCACCCTATGGAGGTGCGGTTTACTGGGTCTTCAGGGATAAAGGCTTGGACTCGGTTGGGCCTCGTGTATGCAGTAGACCGCTGTCATCACCTCAGGGAGAGAGATAGGACAGACCCCTGGTTGCTGAAGGAGGTACCCAGGCTGGCAACTCTTACAGATGTGCTGTTTGCTGGGTCTTCAGGGTTGGGAGGCTGAACCTTGGAATGGCTTCATGTAGGCAGTAGATCACATTCATCCCCTGAGGGGTTACCCAGGCTGGCGACTCAGAGATATGCTGTTGCTGGGTCTTCAGGGATAAGAGGCTGAACCCTGGCATGCTGTGGACCATTTTCATCCACTCAGGGGGAGAGGTTGGGTCTGACCCCCGGTCACTAAAAGACTAGCCACTTTTACAATAGTGCATTGCTGGGTCTTCAGGGCTTAGAGGCTGAACCCCGGCAAGGCTACAAAAATATTGCCTGGTGAGCATAAAAGAAAAATCTAGGCCTGCATAAGCAGACTCCTTCCAAACTGCTGTGAAGGACAGGAAAAAAGACTGCCTGATGGGAAGGGGGAGGATCTATGTATACCTATTTCAGAATTCTATTTTCTGTCCTTTCTGCTGTAAGGGGAGGAGCCAACCCATAAATAAATGCTGCCATGATTGATCAGGAAATATTACCTTGCACACTGCTTTAGTTCATTGTTTACCGCCAAACAAAAGTTGTGATCGAAACCATTTAAATTGAAATTCTTTATATGATTTTCAAGTTCAACTGGTGTCCTTAAATCAAAGGCTGTTCCTTCAACTGGTGCCACCTGTCCTGTAAGAAAAGTGAAATGATAACATGGCGTCAATACAGGAAGGGTAGTACACCACTCAATTATTTTCTCTGTATGTATCATACCGTTCTCAAGTACTTCAAATCACTCAGCTATTTTGCCCAATGTACACACATGCACACTCTCTGCAATGTCATATTTTCAAACCCAGAGACCTATCATCAAATATTTCAAATTGCCCAAAGAAACCATGTTTTTTGGGGACTTTCCTTGAGACATGAGTGATACACAGGGTATTACCTAGATTTTTTTTAAAAGTGTCTGCATGACATATTGAGTCTTAATTATGGAATGTAAAACTTTTAGAAGAATACTAAATGTATTTATTTTGCATCAACTAATAAAGAGACCAATTTAAAACCATGAGATTGGTAAACAGTCTTGATTGGGTGATCTGGTGAAATTCTCTGTTAAGCTCAGGCTGTCAGGAACACCACTACTCCCAGACAGGCACATGACTTGCTTCAGTGGGTAAGAGTTAAAAATTCGTATTAGTCTGCACTAGACCCAAAATAATGATACAAATTCCTCTTAACACCACCCTCACCTATTTTAGTATTAAAGTTGCCACCACCCAGACAATTTATTACTTGAGCCTCTTGGGTTATTTAAAAAACAAATCAGATTAAAAAACTCATAAACCGGGGGCGAGCCTGACTGCTGAGCAAGGTGACTGCATGTTGGAGGGGTCTACTCTGAAGCAACGTCCAAATTGCATGCTATTTCTGCTGCTTTCTGTAGCTATTTCTCGTTAAAAGAGTTAAGAAACCTCTCTGGTCTGGCCCTGGAGTGACTCAACCATGGAGTTTTCCAATTTGCGTTTGCAGCCTGGAGCAGCCCATGGATGGGAGAGAGACTGGTGGGGGTTATCCTGGTCCTCGACAGGGAATTTTCATATGACTGTGTCCTGCTATCCTCATTGTGCATTTACAACTCCTAATCCGATATGGTAGACGTCATGTGTCGTTCTGAATTCCAAGGTCAGACACCTATTACATCTACATTGGATGCGATATTTGCAAAGTTCTGGATGACATTAGCCTATTGACTACAACCTGTCACCGAGCTGAGGAATCCCACCTTACCTCAGAGTTCACCTCATGATACACTGGCCCTGGCAATGGGTTAAATCTGTGGGAGGAAGTCTGTCCTGGACTGCTTGTGCTGCAGCTGTGAATCCATCCCCCATATCACGATAGTGACAGAGTATGCATAGGCCTTGGTCCTGCTCTAGCTACGGTGGGAGCAGTCATGATGCTACGTCAGTGTTGCTATTGGAGCTGGTGAGCCTTTATCACCATACCTTTTTGATGGAGCTACTGCTTATACTAGAACCATGGGACACTTGTCAACATATTACGCAGTTATTTTTAATTTTTTAAAGAAAGGGTTTCTGCTTTTTCCAAGCCTGGGAATTGGCAAAACCGTTTTTTCTTTTTCCTTAAACCTGGCACAAGTTTTGCTATTGGAGGACTTTAATATCAGGCTCTATCAGCTAGTTTATTTGTTGTTCTTAATGTCATATTTTCATGTGGCTCCTTGGTGGTTTTCTCCTCACCTCAGCAGAGTTGACAGCTGCTTTTTATTCATTTGAATCTGCTTATAGTCTGTTGTGAGCATTATTATATAAAAGAGAGTATGTAACTGCTGACACTTGCATTTTGATATATCTGTTTATGCATTGTATGTGTAGCCACATATAAAAATAAATAGAAATAAAATTATTTACTTTTTCAAATTAAAATCAAAAACCATATATAAGTCCCTCTGGCAATGTGATTCGTATACAGTAAAGAGGCAGAACTTAATAAAGGTACATTTATTAAAAGAAAATCAACACAAACGTCCTTGCACTCAATCTACAAGCGAAGTATCAGAATATCTGTCGCAAAATAGTTTTTGGTAAGAAAAGGGCACATTCGATTTTGTTCTCAAAATTAATAACCACACTTTTTTTTCAGGTTTCATTAAGGATATCATGAATAAAGGATTATATCACACACACGTGAATAAAAGTGAGTGACTATTTCTATTTATACATTTGTAAGTGCTGTGTTGTTTCTCAACTTATCTGAACCCAGTAATAAAGATCACTGAACATCAGAACTAGGTACGGTCAGGTCCACACTCTGACTGTGGCTCTTTTACCTCTCCCACGCCACATCTCTCCCTTCTTTCTACAATTCATCGGGTGAGAGGGCATCGGAGCCTCTTCCCATGAGGTGTCTTTCTGAGGACCAGGAAAGCTCACACAGTATCTGGCAAGCCACTACAGCTCATAGTCTGGCACAGTTGATGCTTTACATCATTGCTGGGGGATATGTGCTCATTCCACTTGGCACCCTGGCTTCTTAGGCATGTGCCTGCATCTGAGTGTATCTTAAAGGAGAAGGGTGGGGGATATGTTTGGGAAAGTGCCAGTGATGGAGGGGGGTATATACTCTCCTCCCTATAAATTCCCCCAGTCCTCCATGCTCAGTTCTACTGTGCTTCCTCTCCTTGCTAGTTGTGCCTCATTCTCCTGCTCTTATTATTGATTCCCTGTTATTAGACCTTCCTGCCTGAATTCCATCTACAAACCAGCTGCTTGAACTGACCCATTGCTATCCTTGACTTTGCCTATTCCTCATTCTTATCAGTACTTCACCTTGCTTTCCTCGAACCAGCTTATTGTCACATTCTAAGATCTGTCTACACACAATCCTGACAGATACAGACCTGGAACTAGACAGCCGTTTTAAATGCCTCTACCGGATTTTCTTTACACTCAACATAGTAAAATAGGCCTTAATTTACAACCCTTTTCCTGTGACCAACAACTAGGGGCTAATTCTTATAGCTCAACATAGCCAAATTTAACCCTTACCACACTGAAATCAATCATATGAGCTTTAATGGATAACCATTCCATGCTTCCACTATTCACATCAACCTAAATCATGCCCCCCACCCCGGTCAATACACCAATTCTGGACTCCTAGAAAAATCACACCATTGTAATCATGCGGGACCAAGGGATTTGGATCCCAAAGAAGAACAGTCTCTTCAAAAAACTAAAAGCTCTTTTCAGGGCTATAAAGAAAAGCTGATTATTAAGAAACTTATTAGCACACGCCACACTTGCTAACACTGAATCATGGTGGCTAGCAGACGTGGAACTCATGCAATAAGACAGAAGCATGAGGAAGTGGGAGGAAGATTTCAGAATTTCCAGTACACATGCCTCATTTTGAGAAGGAGAAAAAAAAGAGAGATGGGTGGATTTGCTGGTGTAGGATCTTTGCAAAGTGTTACTAGATGAGTGGCACCAGTAGGTGTGCCGGTATGTGAGACGACTGATCTGATATGGGAAATGAAAGAAAACCCACTCAATGGGTGCTCTCGTTTGCTGAGCCTAGCGAGGCACCTACACAGTTCAAGAATAGACCGTTCTAGAGTTGACTTCTACTGTTTCAACACTAACCACTGGCATCACGGCAAGTGACAGGAGGGTGCTTATAACTGACCACCTTGTAGATATCATCTGGAAATGTTTTAGGATCCACTGAGAACAAATGCCTAGATGGGAAACAATCCACCTAATATTTGTTAATGGGCTCTAGTGAATACGTATATTTTCTTCATCAACCATAAAAGAGAATACTTTAGATCAAGCTCCATAATGAGGAAAGGATTAGGTCTAGGAGTGAGGTAATTATAAGACTTGTTCACACATTCTACATATATTACATCCCAACACAATGCTTGGGAAAGATAAAGGCACCGATATTTTTTACTCTTCTGATTAATTGTTCTTATACTGATACAGCAAGTAAGTTGCAAGATGCAGGTTGCACTTCTTAGTAACACGATCAAAGCACATAAAAAATGTATAGCCATTGTTTGCTTCCCTCGGGTATTGCAGACACTCAACATCCTTAGGGCTGCAAAGAATGATGTTCTCTCTTTTCTGCTCTGTCAAATCTTTGAAGCTGAACAGAAAATCAAACATCCTGGTTGGCTTGTGACTTCACGTGCTGTTCTCAGGACTCTACACGTACATTTTTTTATTTTATTTAATTAGTAGCGGTCAGTGTGCACTGAACAAATGTGATGCAATTTCAATATGGCCAATTCATTTGAAATATGCTAAATTAACTCTAGTGGTTATGGTGCTTGGATGCTTAAAATGCCCTTTTCAAATATTTCAAATTGCCCAAAGAAACCATGTTTTTTGGGGACTTTCCTTGAGACATGAGTGATACACAGGGTATTACCTAGATTTTTTTTAAAAGTGTCTGCATGACATATTGAGTCTTAATTATGGAATGTAAAACTTTTAGAAGAATACTAAATGTATTTATTTTGCATCAACTAATAAAGAGACCAATTTAAAACCATGAGATTGGTAAACAGTCTTGATTGGGTGATCTGGTGAAATTCTCTGTTAAGCTCAGGCTGTCAGGAACACCACTACTCCCAGACAGGCACATGACTTGCTTCAGTGGGTAAGAGTTAAAAATTCGTATTAGTCTGCACTAGACCCAAAATAATGATACAAATTCCTCTTAACACCACCCTCACCTATTTTAGTATTAAAGTTGCCACCACCCAGACAATTTATTACTTGAGCCTCTTGGGTTATTTAAAAAACAAATCAGATTAAAAAACTCATAAACCGGGGGCGAGCCTGACTGCTGAGCAGGGTGACTGCATGTTGGAGGGGTCTACTCTGAAGCAACGTCCAAATTGCATGCTATTTCTGCTGCTTTCTGTAGCTATTTCTCGTTAAAAGAGTTAAGAAACCTCTCTGGTCTGGCCCTGGAGTGACTCAACCATGGAGTTTTCCAATTTGCGTTTGCAGCCTGGAGCAGCCCATGGATGGGAGAGAGACTGGTGGGGGTTATCCTGGTCCTCGACAGGGAATTTTCATATGACTGTGTCCTGCTATCCTCATTGTGCATTTACAACTCCTAATCCGATATGGTAGACGTCATGTGTCGTTCTGAATTCCAAGGTCAGACACCTATTACATCTACATTGGATGCGATATTTGCAAAGTTCTGGATGACATTAGCCTATTGACTACAACCTGTCACCGAGCTGAGGAATCCCACCTTACCTCAGAGTTCACCTCATGATACACTGGCCCTGGCAATGGGTTAAATCTGTGGGAGGAAGTCTGTCCTGGACTGCTTGTGCCGCAGCTGTGAATCCATCCCCCATATCACGATAGTGACAGAGTATGCATAGGCCTTGGTCCTGCTCTAGCTACGGTGGGAGCAGTCATGATGCTACGTCAGTGTTGCTATTGGAGCTGGTGAGCCTTTATCACCATACCTTTTTGATGGAGCTACTGCTTATACTAGAACCATGGGACACTTGTCAACGCAGTTATTTTTAATTTTTTAAAGAAATGGTTTCTGCTTTTTCCAAGCCTGGGAATTGGCAAAACCGTTTTTTCTTTTTCCTTAAACCTGGCACAAGTTTTGCTATTGGAGGACTTTAATATCAGGCTCTATCAGCTAGTTTATTTGTTGTTCTTAATGTCATATTTTCATGTGGCTCCTTGGTGGTTTTCTCCTCACCTCAGCAGAGTTGACAGCTGCTTTTTATTCATTTGAATCTGCTTATAGTCTGTTGTGAGCATTATTATATAAAAGAGAGTATGTAACTGCTGACACTTGCATATTGATATATCTGTTTATGCATTGTATGTGTAGCCACATATAAAAATAAATAGAAATAAAATTATTTACTTTTTCAAATTAAAATCAAAAACCATATGTAAGTCCCTCTGGCAATGTGATTCGTATACATTAAAGAGGCAGAACTTAATAAAGGAACATTTATTAAAAGAAAATCAACACAAACGTCCTTGCACTCAATCTACAAGCGAAGTATCAGAATATCTGTCGCAAAATAGTTTTTGGTAAGAAAAGGGCACATTCGATTTTGTTCTCAAAATGAATAACCGCACTTTTTTTTTCAGGTTTCATTAAGGATAATATCATGAATAAAGGATTATATCACACACACGTGAATAAAAGTGAGTGACTATTTCTTTATATACATTTGTAAGTGCTGTGTTGTTTCTCAACTTATCTGAACCCAGTAATAAAGATCACTGAACATCAGAACTAGGTACGGTCAGGTCCACACTCTGACTGTGGCTCTTTTACCTCTCCCACGCCACATCTCTCCCTTCTTTCTACAATTCATCGGGTGAGAGGGCATCGGAGCCTCTCCCCATGAGGTGTCTTTCTGAGGACCAGGAAAGTTCACACAGTATCTGGCAAGACACTACAGCTCATAGTCTGGCACGGTTGATGCTTTACATCATTGCTGGGGGATATGTGCTCATTCCACTTGGCACCCTGGCTTCTTAGGCATGTGCCTGCATCTGAGTGTATCTTAAAGGAGACGGGTGGGGGACATGTTTGGGAAAGTGCCAGTGATGGAGGGGGGTATATACTCTCCTCCCTGTAAATTCCCCCAGTCCTCCATGCTCAGTTCTACTGTGCTTCCTCTCCTTGCTAGTTGTGCCTCATTCTCCTGCTCTTATTATTGATTCCCTGTTATTAGACCTTCCTGCCTGAATTCCATCTACAAACCAGCTGCTTGAACTGACCCATTGCTATCCTTGACTTTGCCTATTCCTCATTCTTATCAGTACTTCACCTTGCTTTCCTCGAACCAGCTTATTGTCACATTCTAAGATCTGTCAGATACACACCTGGAACTAGACAGCCGTTTTAAAGGCCTCTACCGGATTTTCTTTACACTCAACATGGTAAAATAGGCCTTCATTTACAACCCTTTTCCTGTGACCAACAACTAGGGGCTAATTCTTATAGCTCAACATAGCCAAATTTAACCCTTACCACACTGAAATCAATCATATGAGCTTTAATGGATATCCATTCCATGCTTCCACTACTCACATCAACCTAAATCATGCCCCCCCCGCCGCCCCAGACAATACACCAATTCTGGACTCCTAGATTACCATTGTAATCATACGGGACCAAGGGATTTGGATCCCAAAGAAGAACAGTCTCTTAAAAAATAAAAGCTCTTTTCAGGGCTATAAAGAAAAACTAAACTTTTACTAAAGTCGGTTTTAGGTACAGATTAGCCGACTTACCTTCGATACAGTTTTCTATTTTTGCCACAAGCTGATTATTAAGAAACTTATTAGCACACGCCACACTTGCTAACACTGAATCATGGTGGCTAGCAGACGTGGAACTCATGCAATAAGACACAAGCATGAGGAAGTGGGAGGAAGATTTCAGAATTTCCAGTACACATGCCTCATTTTGAGAAGGAGAAAAAAAAGAGAGATGGGTGGATTTGCTGGTGTAGGATCTTTGCAAAGTGTTACTAGATGAGTGGCACCAGTAGGTGTGCCGGTATGTGAGACGACTGATCTGATATGGGAAATGAAAGAAAACCCACTCAATGGGTGCTCTCGTTTGCTGAGCCTAGCGAGGCACCTACACAGTTCAAGAATAGACCATTCTAGAGTTGACTTCTACTGTTTCAACACTAATCACTGGCATCACGGCAAGTGACAGGAGGGTGCTTATAATTGACCACCTTGTAGATATCATCTGGAAATGTTTTAGGATCCACTGAGAACAAATGCCTAGATGGGAAACAATCCACCTAGTATTTGTTAATGGGCTCTAGTGAATACGTATATTTTCTTCATCAACCATCAAAGAGAATATTTTAAATCAAGCTCCATCATGAGGAAAGGATTAGGTCTAGGAGTGAGGTAATTATAAGACTTGTTCACACATTCTACATATATTACATCCCAACACAATGCTTGGGAAAGATAAATGCACCGATATTTTTTACTCTACGGATTAATTTTTCTTATACTGATACAGCAAGTAAGTTGCAAGATGCAGGTTGCACTTCTTAGTAACATGATCAAAGCAAATAAAAAATGTATAGCCATTGTTTGCTTCCCTCGGGTATTGCAGACACTCAACATCCTTAGGGCTGCAAAGAACAATTTTCTCTCTTTTCTGCTCTGTCAAATCTTTGAAGCTGCACAGAAAATCAAACATCCTGGTTGGCTTGTGACTTCACGTGCTGTTCTCAGGACTCTACACGTACACTTTTTGTTTTATTTTTATTTATTTTTATTTAATTAGTAGCGGTCAGTGTGCACTGAACAAATGTGATGCAATTTCAATATGGCCAATTCATTTGAAATATGCTAAATGAACTCTAGTGGTTATGGTGCTTGGATGCTTAAAATGCCCTTTTAAGATTAGAAATTCCAACTTTTATGAGTTATAACATCGGCATGAAAAAGAAAAATGCAAATACATTTTTTCAAAATAATTAACAGTTTACAGAAAACACTTGGATCTCAAATATCACTGCCACTGCAGAGGTTCAGAAATGTTATAAAAATCTATTCAACTTTCTGTACAACTAACATTGCACCTGTGATCAGACAGTGCATACCGTTAATGTGGATAGGCCTATGCATTTTGATGTGAAATTGTATTGTATTGCAGTTATTTAAAGGTAATGGCACCTGCAATTCTGGGTCACTAATAGGGTTTGCAAACTGGAAGACGGGAAGTCAATTAAAATAATGTGGTCTAGTTAGCTGTAGATGCCTAACCTCTTCAAAGGGAGGTGAGGCAGTAGAAACTGAAGCTAATTACACCAATTAACAAATGAAACACTGAATGTACAAACGCCTGAATGAATCAGTTACTTGAACGGAAAAAAAACAAACATTGTTATGTACAGTTGCTTCCTGCAAAGCATACGGTAGGTTTGTGTCTGCAGATATATCGCTAGAGAAATCTGCTACATGCTAGGCAATGCATCAATGACTTTGTGATTCATCATGTGTAATAGTTTGAAAGTAATATAAAAAGGAAATAGATGGCAATCATACTCCAGTATATAACCGCAGAGCCTAATTTATAACTGTCAGCAATTCTAAATGCACTTACCATGCATCTTTAGTATGATATAAAGTATACATATTAAAAGATTCTGTTGACTTTCCTATGTTCCAATGTGGCAGTTAGAATGTACAGATGTCTAGTTTATTTATAAAACTTCTGTTTCACCTACTTACTGGATGGTAAAGTGACAGAGCCAATAAGAACATTCCAATTCCACATTATTTTTGAAGCAAAATAGACCACTGGTTCCCAAACTTTTTATGTTCAATGCACCCTTAATATTTCAGTATTTTTCCAAGACACTCCAAGTCAAAATGTCTAGGTTGCATATCTGTACAGCGCTGCGGTATTTACTGGCGCTATAGTGTAATGTACAGTGTTGGTGTTTGAAGGGGTGCTTGTATACATTTGTGTTTTAATAAAGGGGTGTGTCTGAATATAATGTTCACTTTTAAATATGGAAGTATTTGTGTTTAATTGAAGTGGTGTGTTTGTATATTTTTTGGGGGGAGTGTGTGTATGTATATAATATTTGTGTTAGATTGCAGGAGTGTGCTTGTATGTTGTGCTGGTGTTTGACTGATTGGATGTATGCACATACACTACCACATACATACATACATACTTACACAGATTGTGGCGGAACCAGCCTCGCCACTGAGCATTGGAGAAGACGGATTGCCAGCCTCCTGCCCTGTGACTATGGCCCCATGTTGAAATGCTTGATTTTCCACTGCAAAGACCCGAAAGCCGGGTCATTCGGTACTTTCTCTATGTGAGCAGTGTTACCCCAGATAGCTATGCCATGGAGCCCATTTGTATAACGAAAGACTATGTGAAAGACTTTGGCACCATGGTAATTGAACTGTATGTATGTGATATGAGCGCCATTCAATAATAATGCGCGATCAAATCTAAGCTATCTGGGGATATGTTGAACGTACCTATTTTATGCAATAGCTGCACAGTTATATATTTTTATGTATTTTATTGTATTTTGCTACCATGTGGCTAATGGAGTTTTGCCTCTGTCCTTGGAGATAATTGGATTACTTCCCAATTATCTCCAGGATAGAAGACTCTGTGGAACAGGTTTTGGGCAGAAAAGCAGAAAAGCCATGATTCATTTGGTCACAAAGGACGTCGATCTAACTTTTGACCCACTGGACCAATTTGTATGATTTTGACGTATGTGTGTATTTGGAGTATGCTTTTTATGTGAATGTGATGCATACATTTAAAGTTATGAATATTGTGTAAAACTGTGTATTTTCCTGCCTGTGATAATTATATTAACCCATTGTGTAAGGTAATTGTATCACAGGCAGAGGGGAGGATTTTGTGTGGGAGTGTCTGAGTGTATTGTACGTGTTTATTGGTTGTTCTTCAAAACTCTGTGGGCAGTACTATGTTTGTAGAATGTGAATAAAAGAGGCTGTATGGGCCAGTACAGTTAGCTCTACTTCACCCTCAATTTGGAGTGCCATCTCTTATTGGGGGAATCTGCTACAAGGGATTGCTATGCTTGTCATACTCCCTTGCTAAATCACTACTAAGCTCTTGTAAGAGCTTGTTCTTGCCTTGCTCTCTGAAAGAGTCTACGGTGGTTATGGTGTCTGCTGCAGTGCTTGGAGTCCTCAGGAAGTGCTAGGAGCATCCTTCAACGGAGGTACCCAGTCGGGGTGCCCGTTGATCTGTTACATTGGTGGCAAGCGGTGGGATGGCGTCCTATTGCGAGGTAAAGCAGCTCAGAGACACCGTTCGTGGATTTACAAATTGAGGGCGACGCTAGTGTTCATACAGCGTCCCTGTCTACAGAAAGATTTGGGAAAATGGGGTTTGTGGATCCCTGGGCAGCACACACACCTGAGGAAGAAAGTGAATTGGAATGGAGAGATATTGCCGGAAAGAATTATGGTACGATGCCCTGGAGGAAGTCCAGTATCAACGGCAGCAGCGCCTTCCTGCTGTCGCATACCAGTTGGAGGAACAAATGGCCTGGCGGATGCCGCTTCTGGGAGACCAACCCAAAGGGGAGCGGGTAAGACAACTTGGTGTACCTTGTGGAAAGGGAACTGAGCCTGGACGCCTCATACCGGGCACTGAGGTGGTGCACCGTCCAGCCAGAGATGTGGAGGGAAGAGGGCATCCAGCCGGAGGGGGAGAACTACACTAGCCCTGCCCTGTTGTGGAAGGCCTAAGAGCTTGTTCCTGCCTTGCTCTCTGGAGGAGTCTACGTTGGTTATGGTGTCTGCTGCAGTGCTTGGAGTCCTCAGGAAGTGCTAGGAGCATCCTTCAACGGAGGTACCCAGTCGGGGTGCCCGTTGATCTGTTACATTGGTGGCAAGCGGTGGGATGGCGTCCTATTGCGAGGTAAAGCAGCTCAGAGACACCGTTCGTGGATTTACAAATTGAGGGCGACGCTAGTGTTCATACAGCGTCCCTGTCTACAGAAAGATTTGGGAAAATGGGGTTTGTGGATCCCTGGGCAGCACACACACCTGAGGAAGAAAGTGAATTGGAATGGAGAGATATTGCCGGAAAGAATTATGGTACGATGCCCTGGAGGAAGTCCAGTATCAACGGCAGCAGCGCCTTCCTGCTGTCGCATACCAGTTGGAGGAACAAATGGCCTGGCGGATGCCGCTTCTGGGAGACCAACCCAGAGGGGAGCGGGTAAGACAACTTGGTGTACCTTGTGGAAAGGGAACTGAGCCTGGACGCCTCATACCGGGCACTGTGGTGGTGCACCGTCCAGCCAGAGATGTGGAGGGAAGAGGGCATCCAGCCGGAGGGGGAGAACTACACTAGCCCTGCCCTGTTGTGGAAGGCCTAAGAGCTTGTTCCTGCCTTGCTCTCTGGAGGAGTCTACGTTGGTTATGGTGTCTGCTGCAGTGCTTGGAGTCCTCAGGAAGTGCTAGGAGCATCCTTCAACGGAGGTACCCAGTCGGGGTGCCCGTTGATCTGTTACATTGGTGGCAAGCGGTGGGATGGCGTCCTATTGCGAGGTAAAGCAGCTCAGAGACACCGTTCGTGGATTTACAAATTGAGGGCGACGCTAGTGTTCATACAGCGTCCCTGTCTACAGAAAGATTTGGGAAAATGGGGTTTGTGGATCCCTGGGCAGCACACACACCTGAGGAAGAAAGTGAATTGGAATGGAGAGATATTGCCGGAAAGAATTATGGTACGATGCCCTGGACGAAGTCCAGTATCAACGGCAGCAGCGCCTTCCTGCTGTCGCATACCAGTTGGAGGAACAAATGGCCTGGCGGATGCCGCTTCTGGGAGACCAACCCAGAGGGGAGCGGGTAAGACAACTTGGTGTACCTTGTGGAAAGGGAACTGAGCCTGGACGCCTCATACCGGGCACTATGGTGGTGCACCGTCCAGCCAGAGATGTGGAGGGAAGAGGGCATCCAGCCGGAGGGGGAGAACTACACTAGCCCTGCCCTGTTGTGGAAGGCCTAAGAGCTTGTTCCTGCCTTGCTCTCTGGAGGAGTCTACGTTGGTTATGGTGTCTGCTGCAGTGCTTGGAGTCCGCAGGAAGCGCTAGGAGCATCCTTCAACGGAGGTACCCAGTCGGGGTGCCCGTCGATCCGTTACACAGATATTCATGCACATTAACACACAGATGCATATAAATACACTGACACATACACACAAATTCATATACCGACACCTACACACACATAGATACATATCGACATATACACATATGCACCCTGACACACACAAACATTGATACATGCCCACACCATGACACAGATACACACCCTGACACGCACACACAGACACAGAAGCACACTGATATATATATATATATATATATATAAAAACACACACACACACACACACACACACACAGATGCACACCCTGACACACTAATACACATACATACACTCATACACATACTAATACACACTCACACACACTTATGGACACACACACTCATACATATACTAATACATACACTCACACGAATACACACACTCACACTCTGTCACGGCGCAGGGGGTCTGTATCGACGCAGTAACGTCTGATCAGTGCGGCCACGCCAATACTTAAGATAAAAGTAAGTCCCTGATCCCCGCAGCCACACACGAGCAGGGCGCTTGCGCCAAAAAGGAAAAAATGAACTTATCTGGATTGCGGCGGAGTGCCACCCGATCCTCCAAGAAGACAGGTTCCGGCTGGTGCGGTGTTCTAAGGGACGCTGGTCGCTGCGGTGCCATTCTTAATGTTAATGGGCACACTGCCCACATTAAAGATGGCGCCGGCATGCGTGTGATGTCACGTTATCGACGCACACGTACGTTTTGGGGTCAAAGGACATGTACTAATTAATCACAGCACTGAGCGGCATATTTAAACCCTGTAATGCCTTTTCTCAGAGCCCTGTCGTGGTTTCCACTTGTTGGTTGTCAGAGAGCACGTTCTTGGTATATTTTTCTGGTTATTGACTTTGGCTATTGTTTTTGACTTTCCCTTCTTCTGGTATCCTGACCCTTGTCTAGTAATTCATATGGTCCCATTCTAATTCCCCAACCATGGCTTGTTCTTTGACCATTCTCTTTTACGTTAAGTCTGGCCATTCCAAGGTCCGGTATACGTTGTTTGTGTTAATATATTTCTGCGTGTTGGGTCACACAGTAATCGTGATACACTCATACACAAGATTTTTTTTTTTTTTTTTTATATAAATCTCCTGTTAGCTTACCTTGTGTTTCCAGGACGGTGGCTTGGAGTCCTGGTCTTGCTGCTGCTGCTGGGAGGAGTGAAGGGGACTGGAGCTCTTCGTGCTTCTCTCCCCTTGTGCTGCTGCTGCTGCCTCCTCCCACACTGTCTCCCTGCAGGATATTGGGAGGAAGTGACAGGCTGTCACTTCCTCCCAGCTGACATTACAGGGTCCCGGTCACTGTCTTAAAGGACCGCGGCACTCGAAAGGGTCCATATTGAGCAGAAACATTCCGCAGCATGCCTGTGTGCATGTCTCAGCGCCCCAGGGCGCCGCAGCCCACAGTTTGGGAACCGTTGAGTTAGACTATAATGAGATGTATTGGCTATCACAGATGAAGAAATTAGTTTTCATTTTTAAACATTTAAAGGGACCCTCCGGACAGCCAGGTAAATTAAAAGCAGCACACTCAGGGCTGTTAGGGCTGAACTGTGTGAATATATTTGATTAGGACGGTGTTCTGCCATGAATGCCTAGTGTCACTTTATTATTGCATTCACGGAATATTAATGGAGACCTAGATTAACATTTCCTATGTGAATCAATAAATTGTGTACATTACCCCTAAAACTGCTATTGCTATCTGCGATGAGCTTTACAGCAGGCACTAGCTCACGCAGTACACTTTTACTTCCTGTACATGTACATCCTATATGTTGTGTATGTACACAGATAAAAGATTGGCAACATTATAGACATGTGCCTATCACAAGGTTTGAAACAATTACATGGCACAGCCTAATAATAACCTGGTACACACACACACACACAATTAAATATTACTCTGCATGTGTAAACATTCATTATTTCATGTAAAATAAAGTGACAAAGAAAATCCATACATAACTTAGAGTTAATCCTACCATATACACCTGAAATTGGTTAATTTCTTATTAACAAAGTAAAAGTGCACTTACCTGTGGGTATCATAGTGTCATCTACAGGCAAATAATGGTCAGCATCAATAGTAACCTGATGGTCATATATTACACCAGAGCCCTATGTAACGTAGAACAATACACAAATTAATAAATGCTGCCCTTCACATCTCAGTAATGTTTTCATGCTGCCTAACCAAAGAGGATGTTGAAAAAAAAGAGGTACTTTTCTATCAAACCCTGACCTATGCAGTTTGCGGTATGGTCATTAGAGTGGAGGGCACTTCTGCTAACGGAATTCAGCTGTGGTGGTTGTAGACGAGTACTAGAAACCCACAATGCTTAGTAGGCCTCTTCTATATGATGGAATACTGATGAAGGAGTGCTTGGGATGGGGAGGGTATCAGAGAAAGGTCAACAGCAATAAATATGTATTTTCTCTTACATTATTTCTTAATGGTAGATACAATACCATGTGTGAGAATGATTGCAATCTCCCTAATAAAACTCCTCCATCAATTAGATTTTGAAAGTGCTACATTAAAAAAGCAACATTTACACATCAAAAATAATGGAATTATTTTGAAATAGGAGCTTACTTTATGTGTGAGTCCACATTTGTGGCTTCTCTGGAAGTGACAGTTCTTCATTCGTTCACCTGACTAAATGCTACTGAAGCTCTAACAGGAGAAAATAATGGAGTGGAGGTAAGTAATAAACCCTCTTTGTTCCATTGCACTTCTGTGTTCTAAGAGATTTCTCAACTCCCACACTTGATGCACCCACAGGGAAATCCTGGACAAGCTCATGTACGCTTGGGCATGCTTTCAGTAACTAGCGCTATATGTTACATGCGCAAGGTACTGCCTGGATTATTTTATTTAAATGCCATGAGTAGCAGGATATTTAAATAATAATTTTAAAAAAATTAAAGGACCACTATAGGCACCCAGACCACTTCAGCTTAATGACAGCCAAAGAAGGAGGAGAGTCCAGAGCGCAGAGGGAGCCTGGCGCTGGAGAAAGGTGAGTGTTTAACCCCCTTCCTCCCCCTTCAGCCCGGTGGGAGTGGGACCCTGAGGGTGGGGGGGGGGGACCCATTAACACTATAGTGCCAGGAAAACGAGTTTGTTTTGCTGGCACTATAGTGGTCCTTAAACTATTGATAATTCAATAAATAGCAATAACATATAGGTAACTTTTTGTGAAAGAATCTCACAAGTGGCATTTCTGTATTAAAATGTTTCTTTTGAAGAGACCACACTGAGATATTGGTGATGCAGTCCAAACAAATTAACCATTAGGACCAAACCACTAGCTTTGACAATTTTGGACACTTTACATGAACAATATTCTACAATTAAGGCTTCAAATAACCAATCATTCGTTGAGATGACACCCTAGAATTTTAAAAATGTTAAACTGAAAATAGGTTACTAAAGCCTAGGGTAATGTGTGATTTAAGACAATGGCTATCACATATGGAATTGATGGTGCATTAGTGGAATTCTTAGTAAATATATTAGTAAAAATAAGTGTCAAGCAAATGATATTATCAGTGTCACAAATCAAACTGTAGTAAAAGAAAGTTACTATTCAACATGCACTAGTTTTTCAGCAGGTCCACAGCGTCAAATACAGAAATAAAAAAAAAGAAAAGGTGTTTTTATTTTATTAAACTTTTTTTATTTCAAGTGCATTTCAATTTAAGGCATTTCACTGCTTTGTGATTAATCTTTACATTTGTGCAGCAACCAATTCACAATATTCATACTACACCAATGTGTTCACCGCAAGACATTAGGCAGAACTTGTCCCTCTCTCATTATCCAAATGCAGTTCTGTCACATTATTCCCCCTTAGGCATCCCAAACTCCTCCTCTGATGCTCCATTTTTTTGGTTTGTTTTCATTAAACAAAGCTTATTTTTAAACGTTATACTTAAACTATTTTTCGTTAGTACAACTTCAGGTTGACAAAGTTGACCAAGGGTGCTGCTTTAGCCAAGCTTCACAGCCTTTGTGATTTGAGAGCAGTGCATAATCAGCACTCTCGTGAGACTCAACATAGGTCCATTGGAAGCCTTGGGCAACAAGCATGCTCAAAGAACGTTAAAAAAATGGACCTCCATGCTGCCACCATCTTAGGAACACAACGATAGCGGCGCTGGGGAGATGGACAAAACAAATTTGTGACAAAGCCGATTTAATGGATTTTAGTTCATTCCAGTTTAAACCATAATGTTACGTGATCTTTGTTTTTGCATTTAATAGATCAAACCATAGATTAAGAAGTATTTTCTTAAGAAGTTTGCTTGTGGAGACTGCTGGTAGATCTTCAATTGATCACATATGGACAAATATAAGATTAAATACTGTACATTATGAGAAAGAGAAAGTTCACAAATTTAGTAATGTTTATTTTACAGTAAAGATGATTTTAATTCAAAAATTATTTTTTCAAAAGTAAATAAATTTACATCAACTGGTTGAGTTAAGCCATTATTGGTCAAACACAATAGTCACAAAAAGCTGAAGTAATCATGCTTTTGGAGACACAACTTTCCTTCAATTCATAAATTTGAAATATTCAAAAACCTTACTTAGCAACCACACTAAAAATAAGGGGACTTACTGTCTTTGAAGTAGTATGAAATTTAGCATAAAAAAAATGAAAAGCTTTATTGCTCTGACTACTTTTAAAACCACTCGAGTCTGAGCGGTAATGTGGGGGAAGGAAGGTATGACTGAAGGCAAGTGTGGTTTGCAAGTCTCTCAGATTCTTATACAATGCAATAGCATGATGTTGTGGGAAACCATATTAACAAAAAAAAAAATAGTTTTCTCATCCAGAATATTCCTGTATAGCTTTTATAGGAAAACATAAAAAACTTAAAAAGAAAAGAACTTATTGCAATGCTCCACTTCCCAACCACGTAACTATACACTTGTAAGGAAACATAAGGTTAATTTACTCTATGACCCTCCTCTATGAAGGAGAATCGAGCCTAAGACTAGATTTTAATTAACTTCTAGTGCTTAAGCCATTTTCTTTGCAATCAATAAAAGTCAACTCCTTTATTACCTCAAAATTAAATCGTTACCCCAAGCACCCTGATCACTTCACTGATTTGAGGTGGTCATGGTGCCTGGAGGTTTTGTGGCATATTTCACTATAACATTTTTTTTAAAAAAAAGAAGAGTTCTGGGTTGGCTAATTTGAATACTGTGCAAATTTGGTGTCTGACACCAGCAAGCACAGCCAATGGCAGCACCAAACTCCTCCCCCATGTCATGTGCCACCTATACCATCCCCTCAACCACTCTCCCTGACCTCCAACTGGCGAGGAGGAGAACGTCAAACATGGAGGACTGGGCTGCAGGTAGAACATCGAGTGCTGGATCAAGGTGAGTTTTAGCATTACTTCTAAAATTTGTTTGTCTTTTTTTTGTTTTGTTTTTAAATTGAGAAGTGGGGGGGAGGGAGGGTCAGCAAGGGTTACTCTAACCAAAACTAGTGTTATATGAAAACACTTGTTTTTCGTTGGAGAAACCCTTTAAATCAAATCAACTTTGCAGCGCAAGCCAATCAACATTGTGACAGTATTTACAGGATGCACAAACCATGATTCTAAGTACGGTTTACATTTATACAATAAATGTAAACCAAGTCTATTTAAAAATATAAAAATAAATAAAAACATCTAGGTATCTATTTCTGGAGAATTTTATCATGGCAGGTTAACTTTTAACATAAGCATAATACGTTTGCTCCATGAAATTAAATAAAATAAATTAAAGTCCGCATCCATTTAAATCACTATGAGGCATATTTTACCATTTCAATAATATTAAAAGCCATTACATTACGGGGGGCTGAGCAAAGCTACTGAACTAAATGGCAGCATGCCGTCACGAAATAGCCACTTTTGCCACTCTTACAGAGCCCAAACCCCAAGTACCAGATACCAAACGGATCTCCAGGCTGCTGTCGGCAAGATGGGTCAAAGATAAAAAAAAAGCCCAAACCCAACAAGCCACGGCAGAGCATGAAATCAGCGACCTCTGGAGACAAGCACACAGCACCATGGGTCCAAACATAGCCGCCTTTGCAGATGACCACATTGACATCTCGGACGATTTTACACCAAGAATAGGGATGGAACTCCCACCCACCTCACAGTTCCCTCTCCCGACTCTCCCACAGTCAGACTCCCCTCCAGTTACCACGGCGATCATGAAAGAACTGCTGGCTGGGGTACATCTTGCCATACAGGCTGACATTGCCCAAACCCGCAAAGACCTACAGGGCCTGACAGGCCGCATGAGCGTCTTGGAGGAAGACTCCAGCCAAAACGCACAGCACACAAAGCACCTGCAGCAAATGACCTGCAGCAGCAGAATATTAAATATGACCAGCGGTTTGCAGCGTTAGAAGAAACCTGAATATTAAGATCGGGGGGACCACTGAGGAGATAGTAGAGGCTGACAAACTGCACATTGTAAGGCAACTCCTGATAGCCCTTCTATCCCCCAAGCACACAGAACAGGTGACCCCCGGAGGGGATGTTCTGTCTACCGAGGCCTGCCAAGGCTCCAAGCACGTCACCAAGAGATCTCCTAGTGCGCTTCCTAAGTAACAGGGATAAAACAGCTGTGATGAACGGAACATGAAATCACTCACCTTATCTATTCGAGAACATGTCGCTATCGTTCTATGCAGATCTGTCTGGGTCCACACTGGCTTGGTGACACTCTCCAGCCCTTCACATCTCTCCTCCGCTCGCATAATGTTAACTACAGGTACAAGGGACCTCACATGTTGCTGGTACATCACGGCAACTCCTCGTTTACCATCCACGACATGCAGGGCGCAAGAGATCTTGTACCCACCCTGGGTCTACAGCAGGATTCTAACTCCGACAGGACCACGCACCACCCTGTATCTGGGACCCCGCAACGATTTCCCCATTTGGGTGTATATTTTGTTACTTTTGTTGTTTATTGATCAGCTATACACATGCCGGGCCATAATGGGCCCAACTGCTCCCCCAAGGTGAAGTGGTACTTTTTCACAACTTACGTTCACAGTCTAATTGCCTCAACTACGCCGAAAAGTAGCCCAGTGGACTAAGGTTATCTGACCACATATTTTTTTTCTATTACTAGCGCCCCAACCTCCCAGCCTATAGCTCACCTGCTATATTTGACACATCTCCCAAAATTCTCTAAACCGGGCTGGAGGGATCCCAGACCAAGCTGTAGCACCCTTATAATACAAAAAAAAAAAACTCAGTTTATGGCGTGTCAGTTGATCTGTTTGTCATGTAACACCAATTGTTTATACGGTCTCACACATGATGTTGTCATGAAATGTTTTATATCAGAACTATGTCCTGAGACAAAAATAAAGAATTTAAATAAATAAACTTAAAAGCTATTACATTACTTTAAACTAGCAAAGTCAGAATATGAAGCAGTTCTTACCTGTCCTGCTAGGTTAAAGTAGGAGTGATTGGTCAGATTGATGGGAGTGGCCTTGCTGCTTTGAGCTTTGTAATTAATTGTTAATTTACTGCCTTCGACTACATACGTCACCCAGACTTTTAATTCTCCAGGGTATCCCTCTTCACCATCTGCACTAGTATAAGAGAAACGCACACCATTCTGAATCACCTCGGGAATCCAGAGCACCTGAAATGTAATATTTGATATATGTAATTTCTTCCCAAAAAAATGCATAGGCAAACATGTAGCCATTCTTGTTATTCCATCCTACATCATGAAAACAGTCAATGCATAAAGTCCTCCTCAATAATTAAATATATCAATAATAGGTATGACCGACAGCAAGACTCCCCACCACCCCCCATCCCATCCTTCTATACTAAGTGGCCAACTTTATTAGCAACACTAATCCAGAATGGGTAAAACTCATGTGTGCCTCGAGCAGTACAATTAGGAGCGATATAATACTAAGCTCTATGGATTTATGCCAAATTCTGGCCGTTAGAGTAAAATGAAAGAGCTCCAGGCACTTTATTGGAACCACAGCTGCAACGTTGCGACCCGAAGATCTTTATCAAGCTTGACAAAGACCCTCGGGTCGAAACGTTGCTGCTGTGGTTCCAAAAAAAGTGCCTGTCTTGAACAAAGGAGTGCTTGGACCTCTTTCATTTTACTCTACTAAATTGGGAATCTGGTGTTTGGTTCTGGTACAGCGAGCACCCTGGCTCAGATTGATGGGAGTGAGTGCAGTTCCACACATACTGCAAAAATTCTGGCCCTTAAACCAGACCCAACCAGGCTATTTTGGTGATAATGCATCCACTGTAATCTCATCTCCCTGCTCTTACTTGACAGTAATGGAACCAAGAACTGTTTTAAGGACATTCATTTAAAGGTTCGTTAGATATGTCCATAGGAACAGCACTGTTGTAAATGGATATGTGTGGCCTTTCGGTCATCTGACCTCAATCATTAATAGCATCTTTTTGCCCACAGAGTTGCTTCCATTGGGATGTTTTTGTTTATCGCAGCATTTTGAGTACGCTGTAGGGATTCCAGTGGTCATGGTAAGCTGCTGCTGCAATACTGGAGACACAATGCCTGATGCCAACAATCATACTATAGACAGAATCGCACAGATCATGTCACCTCCTTTCTAATGTTTGGGGAAATGAAAATTAAACATTTCTACCAAGTCACATGGTACACGGCTTTTTGCTTTAACGGGTAAAAGGTGTGCTAAAAAGTATCTGTACACAACAGAACAGGGATGGCTAATGTTAGCATTGCAAAGGTTTCCAGACCAGGATGGCTGCACATCATGGTAAATGTACAGCACATGAGGTCTGGCTTGATCAACACTGGAAATGTAGTATTTCAATGGGCAGCCATTTCTACTTAGTACAAGTATCTGTCATTTCCGACTTTTGCATGAAACACTACTGAATCTTAACTTTCAGTTAAATGTTGCTTTCAGAATTGTTGGGAATTCAAAGTGAATTTTAAATTTAAAGCCAAAAGAGGAATTGGAAAAATGTAAGTCTGTTCTCTGGGGGCGTGTCTGACTGCTGAGCCAGACGGACGCACAGCACTTTTGCTCCTCTGATGTATCACTCAAGTGTCTATCTTTCAGTAATCAGGGGCTTCCTTTTTGTGTCAGAATGATGGTCTGTGCCCTAATAAAGACACTGGTGACATTTGTGCGCTGTCATGGTCCAGGTTTGGCACACATGCACGGATACTGCAACTCTGGGGTCTGAGGCCTATTCAGGGAGCAGCCGTTTCTCTTGCTCACCCTCCAAACATCTGGAATATGACTTTCTTCGCCTCTTGTTTCAATAAGTGCAGTCTCCACCGTGATGGGTAAAGGCCAACACAGAAGATAAAAGATACATTGAAACAGTAGAGTGAAGGTGCATGTTGCAAGATGGCCACGAGGCCGTGTGATCAACGACCTTGCCCTGAGTCAGGAGATGTCATCTGGAGAGGAGTAAAAGATGTCATCTGGAGAGGAGTAAAAGTCAGTACTGAGAGAGGCCTCAGACGCCGATACTGGGCAAATCTGCTAATCTAAGTGGTGTTTTTTTATATATAACTTTACAGTAAGTGGTGTCTTTTTAATGGAGCCCAGCTGGGGTGAGAGCTACTCGAGGGTTAACCCTATTACACTACCTACACCTGGCCATTTAGAGGAGACGCTAGAGATATTCTCGGTTCCTGCACAGACTCACTAAGGGGAAGGGCTTGAGCACTTTGTGCAGCTAGGTTAGTGAAGACAAGGTGTCAGCTCCTATATTGGCAGGAGCTGGTATTGGGTCCTTTATTTGTACCACCTGCAGTGCAACCTTTGGTGATTTTTGGGAGGCAGTTGTACCGCTACCTAGTTTGAGCATTGGATAATTGTACTCAATAGCGACACTCCTATTTCAGGACCCAACACAGTGCCTAACATATAGCACCCTGTCTTTTTTGTGTTGTCATTTTTGAAGTAATTTTTTTGTTTCCATTATTTTTTAGTTTCTGGACTACATTTCCCATGATGCTCAGCTAGCTTTTAGACTCTAAAAGCTAGCTGAGCTTCATGGGAAATGTAGTCCAGAAACAATTTATGGTGTCAGGGTTAGCCATCACTGTCCTAAACCCTGTCAGTGTGTGTGGGGGAGGTGACAAAACAAAACACAAAACTGTCTTAACCAAACATAAAAAGAATGACCAAAAGGACACTGACTGCTTTGTACAATCTGAAATCTATAGCCACACACTTAAATTAACTTTTTTTTTCCCCAGTACTTTATAACAAAATTTAAAAGGCATTCAATGTACATGGGTAGGTGTGACTAGGACTGCAGTAATATAACTCTTTGTTGGCAGAGAGTTGAGCAGTTAAACCAGAGGCAAATTATCTATACACCAAAATTGCTTCATTAAGTTGTTTTAATACTTAGAATATCACTTTAAATGAGTCCACGTCTTTATGTCATTCATTTGATTCAACAGGGTTGACATTAATCATTTCCAGTTTTAGAAACCATGGCTGAAATTAGAGGTTTCCATATTGAAGAAAGATTGCACCCACAGCTACGTAGGAGGGAATTACTTCTATTTACCTTATCAAACCCTTTGAGTCCGCCATGAATGCTGTTTGGCCCATTATTGATGGCTAGCTGATAATCTTTTCCATCCACTGAAAACTTGCCATTGGCAATACGGTTTGCCACACGTCCAACCACTGCTCCAAAATAGGGGTGTTTGTTCAAATAACCTGGTAACAAAGTTATTAGAATAACTTAATAAACTTAAAGTGGACACGATCATACTATGGTAGAAATGTGCTAAGTACTCATTACTTGTGTTTAAAATTGGAAAGTTATTTCCTACAGAGAATTGGCAGATGTGAATTTTGTAAGTTTGTCTGCTGCTTTCTAGGTATTGACTTTATTGGTTTCCTTCGTGTGTAGTGCCTCCATACTCCTTTGTATTATTATTTTTTAATGTATACAGCGCCAGCAAATTCCATGGCGCTGTACAATGGGATTCTTTCAAAGTACATACCCTACTGGCATGCACTGGTATTTATTGCCTCTGTGTGCTGTAATGGGCGAGTATGGGGTCACTGCACTCAAGAAGAGTCGGTGCCAACCTACCCATTCTCAGATAGCAACCAAACATGGATATCTAACAAATTTGGACTATTACATGACCAATACAGACCATATAAAAACCTATACTGAAATTCTGCTAGTCAGAAACTCATTAAAAAAAAACTCAGGTCAGCCTAATTTACCTAAAGCTAAGCTTGTATACACAACATGACCTTAGTGAGCAGAGAAGTTTTCGGCACTTTGCCTGATGGTGGAGGCAACGGCCCATGATGTGGAGGCTTAGAAGATGTGTAATCCTCAATACTACTCCTGGGGACCACACATTTTCTCAAACTACATAAACTCAGGTACTGGTGAATATTCCACCAAATCTCACTCATACAGGGTTATTCAAGGTTAAAAGTGAATTTCAAATGTAAGGTCAAAATAGCCGAACTGTGAAAAATCTCAAAGTCAGCAACTCTGGCATTAAAATTTAAATTCTTTTGGAATTCAGTTTGAATTCTTACTTTAATGAAAAAGTCATATTCAGACAGAATCTCTGTCCTGGTTGTCTTACATATCACAGTGTATATTTTGGATTTAGATAAAACATGTCTATCAGTGTCCATGCCATTCTTTTCTGTCTATGCACTGTCTTATTCACCTTTATCAAAGGGACACTTCAAGTACCATAACCACTATAGTAACAATGCCGAGTTTGTGTTCTGAACAGCACAACTCATGCAATCAAATGAAGCCGATTTCTATAGTATGAGATTCTTATAAAAGAAATGGACAGGAATAAGAATTTTATTTTGATGTTGAATTCCTATCATAATCACTACAACAAGCTGCAGTGATAATTAGTGCTTGCATTATCATTTTAACTCTGTATCCTCTAAGCCTACACATTCAGCCCTGTGTATATTCTTTACTTGGTTTCCAAAATCTCTCTCTGCCATGTCTAATTTATTCTCATAAATTGTGATTTTTCTTTCTCCCTCCGTCTCTTTCTTACACTAGCATTCATTTTCACAGTTTTGCCTCTCTCTCATGGTCACTTAGTATTTCCTGCCACAGTCTGATGTTTTTTTTTTTTTTTAATAAAAATAGAATGTCATGACCAATACTACGTCACAAGCTAGCCAACCACTATGGCTCAACATTCATATATAAATATGTACACACACGCATTAGCGAATTGTGGATATGTAGTGTATTATTTTTGAACACGTTTAGAAGATATATTTAAAGTAACGGTCTGTAGGATTTATATATTGTAAAACAAAGCAGCGTATCTGTTATGTACACTTTAGTGAAAGACGGACTGCTTTGGCTTATATTTTACACTCTGAACAACATATTATGGCGATTATTCTATATCCGAACAGACTACCCAACCATTATTAAAGGGACACTATAGTCACCAGAACAACTACAGCTTATTGAATTTGTTCTGGTGAGTAGAATCATTACCTTCAGGCTTTTTGCTGTAAACACTGTCTTTTCAGAGAAAATGCAGTGTTTACATTACAGCCTAGTGATAACTTCACTGGCCACTCCTTAGGTGGCTGTTAGAGATCCTTCCTGGGTCATGGCTGCCTAAAATGCATCCAAACATTCAGTATCTCCTCCCTCTGCATGCAGACACTGAACTTTCCTCATAGAGATTCATTGATTCAATTCATCTCTACGAGGAGATGCTGATTGGCCAGAGCTGTGTTTGAATCATGCTGGCTCTGCCCCTGATCAGCCTCTTTGTCAGTCTCAGCCAATCCTATGAAGAAGCACTGTGATTGGATCAGGCTACAACTTCTGATCATGTCAGCAGACTGCTTGTTTTTCTGAGTCTAACAGCATGCAGAGTTACAGCTTCAGGCTTGAATACAGTAAGATTTTGCTATATTTATGGAGGCATGAGGGACCCAGGGGGCTAGATGATGGTGTTAACACTATAGGGTCAGGAATACATGTTTGTGTTCCTGACCCTATAGTGATCCTTTAAATAAATAATTAAACAAAGCTAAATTGTAGCAGCTTATTTTTGTTAATTTGGACAAGGGGCATGTGGACTAGTTTTGTTTTGTTTGATTTTACTGCTCGGAGTGTTGGGTTTGTTCTTTATAAATAATACAAATGTTATGTATTTCTGAATATACTGAGATATCCCTTTGTAGTATTCCACATTAGCATTGTTTTTTCTGTCAAATGATCACTTCAAACACCATAAACACTACAGTTACAGGACAGCCAGAAGCTTTTGCTTAGGAGATGCCATTTGCTCTCCCGAGGCAGGCTTAGTTCAGACAGAGAGCAATTATCTATCCTGTTGCTGTAGTGGAGGTGGGAAGAAGCACCTGGTGGATACAAGAAGTCAAAATATTCTAAACAACGTTTTGACTATTTAAAATGGATGACACTAGGGCACTGTTGGAACCATAATCATTACAGCACACCGTAATCATTATTATGATTGGAGTGTGTCTTTAAATATAAAGCAAATTATTATAAATAATGACAGGAGTCATTGTTAAAAAATATCAATAGGTACTGTGCGTGTAATAAGGTTCTCAGTGAATGTGTCTATACCCAGTCCATAGGCCATCCATTACAATTGTTTTGGAAACAGAGGTAAATTTAATGATCTTCTAATCCAAGAGAAGCGGACCCTTACACTAACACTCTGTGATTGGGATAGGGCTCATCAACTTGAGCAGTGTTATTGTTAATTTATGGGAAGCTGATAGTTAATGGTGTGTAAGAAAACATCAGAACTATGCACAACATGCACTTCCTCCCAGATTTCATTCTAGAGGCTGGGTCAATCTTCACTCATACCTTCCAAGTGTTCCTATCTAGGAGGGACAGTCCCTATTTGGGTCCTAATCCCTCTGTCCATCTTTTCTCTCCTATGGTCCCACTTTTCTAGGAGCTCAATATTGTTGGTGTGTCTGAGTGTATAATAGAGCTCCACAGCAATAATACTCCCAGTAGTGTGTCTTTAGACTACTATAAATGTGTTTTAGAAATGTGTAAATAAGAGACATTGGTCTAGTTCTAAATTATATTTTAGCTGCCAAAATAGCTATTAGTTAGTCAACTAAAATTTCCCAAAACAGAGTTGCCTCTAGCTACACCCCCCAGTCACACCCCTAAAATTAAAGTGTTCCTGTTTGTCCATTTGACATTAAACAAAGAACATTGCAGAACATTAAATAAAGTACAGTAACCCACCTTCTAAATCATCAAATCCAAGAACGATATCAGAGAAATTTCCATGACTGTCTTTAGTTTCTAAGCGAGTTAGTATGCATCCATATGATATGACATCTGCTCTTAAGAGGTCTGATTCAAGATGGAACTTTTCCACTGTGCCTCCACCATCAGGCAAAGTGCCGAAAACCTCTCTGCTCACTAAGGTCATTGTAGAGTCACTGCATGAGTAAGAACAGGTTAAAGAAATGAACACTAGCATAATAAATCTTCCTAATGTCTACTAGTCAATGTTTAGCAAGTAGCTTATCAGCAGAAGGAATATCTTTAACCACATTGCAGTTATTCCCAAACCAAAAATATGGAAACAACAAAAGTCTATTGCAAGCCACTCAACTACTTTTTCGCCCCCACTAATGTGTATCTTGTATACTCCAATTCATTACAGTAAAACTCCTGCTGCTAGTGAAAAGTAGTCATTACAATTATTACTAGCACAACAGATTTCTGATATTCCTTTACCCAACTGGAGATGTAGAAACCCTCTCAGAAACCTTGAGATACCTCGTTCTTCCTGCTCCACAGGAAATCCTCCTTAACCAACCTACTGGGTTAAATAGACGATAGACAGAGGATGGACAGATGGATGGATGAACCGACAGACAGATTCTTTTTATTTACATTCTGCACTTCCATGGAAAAATTGATAGTATAAATTTAAAGGGGGACTCTAGCACCTAAACTGTTACAGTAGGATGTAGTGGTTATGGTGCCAGGAGTCCCGTGGTTTAAACCCATGGTAAGTAGCAAAACAATTTTCAAATGATTTGACACTTACCTGGGTCTTTAAGGCTGCCAAATGGTATGGCCTGATATTCTGAGATCGCTAGTGTGGAGGGGGTTCCTAAGTTTTACTGCCTTACATATAACATGTGCTCTTTAAATAGTAATTTATTAATGGTTTCAATGCTTGACTGCTCTAAAGAGAATTTTATATGTATAGACCACTATACATGAAAATATATATATATATATATATATATATATATATATACACATACATATATAAACACACACATATATATATATCGACATATTAGCTTTAGTTAATAGCTCTTATGGATTCAGCCGTAAGGGTCTAATAGCATGAGTATTGTAGCATAGCCAGTCTACTATCACTTCTTTCATTAGCTCATCCTTTGTAAATAACATGTAGATTTACAGTTCCCCAGAGTAGCCAGCAATTATCTGTACTGTGAGCAATGTCTAACGTTATGGCAGTGATTGTACAAACCGTTCTCCTTTTTTGGTTAGTCACTGTATTTCTTGACTTAAAAGGACACTATAGGCACAATAACAATTTAATTGAAGTGGTTATAATGCCTGGAGTCCCCTGATGCTCTGCATCCATTCAATGTTAAATCATTTTTGAGAAGTTTAACATTAACAGAGTCTTTAACTTAAAGGGACACTATAGCTCATTGAAGTGGTCTGGGTGCAATGTCCCTTTTGCACTTGGTGCTGCAAAGTTAAACATTGCAGTTCCAGAGAAACTGCAATGTTTATGTTGCAGCACTAAGTCTTCCTCCAGTGGCTGTCTCCCCGACAGCCACAGGAGGCGCTTCCTACATTGTAACGGACCTTTGGTCCAGTATCTGACGCTGGACGTCCTCACGCTCTGCATGAGGACCTCTAGCATCAGATTGTTCCCCATAGGAAAGCATTAATTCATTGCTTTACTATGGGGAGGTCTAATGCACGCGCGGCACTTGTCTCACATGCGCATTAGTGCCCGCTCATTCCAGGACGTCGGAGGGGGCAGAGCGTTGTTCTTCAGCGCTGGGATCAAGTTTTTGACCCTTTATTTACCGGTTGGGGGGGAGCAAGGGAGGGTATTCCTTTATGTCTAAATAGACTGCAAGATCCGGGCATTGTTCACACTATTCAACATTTCCATATGTTGCACACAAGGACCGTGAATTTGGTCCAAATCCCTCCAGATTGCTGAAATCCAGACAGAATTATTTAAATCCGGACTCACCCACCCGATTTAAAAAAAAATCCAAACTATTTGTCATTTAGCATACTTTACTGAAAAGCAGGTCGGTCATGACGCAGAAGCCCCACAGGAAAGCATTGGGAAAGTTTGAATGTGTGGATGGCGAAGGCCACGCATGCACATAAAGACCCCAAGCACTGGATTACACCCTCACAGAGGAGGCAGGGGGCCAAGGAACAAGGTAAGTAAAAGGTTTTTTCTTTTTCTTTTAAGCAGCAACTCAACATTCTGCAGGGCAACATGACATTGTTGGAAACCTTACGATGAGTATTACAGGACAATGTGAGTTTCCATGGTGATTACTCTTTATTTAGGACTTGTTCCCAGAATGCCACATGTTTGCCTTGATGGGACTGTGCATTTGAGCCAATGATGGCCATACTGCTATGCACCAGTTTGATATGCACTTTGCTGATCTTTCTACTAGTATATACGTTTATATAGGTTTGTTAAATTACACCAATATTGCATATAGATATAGACCCATGACAAGAGCATTAATACGTTTGCCAGATCCAATAAGAATGTCCTGGATGTACATTACATTTACATGGTGATAGGCAGCACACAGAACGTTCTGCCCTAAAGTATGTAGAACCCATATACTGCAGAATTCCTTAGTGATTACTTAATTTTCCACCTGCAGCATTTGAGTTCTACATACTGGAGGGTGGCAATAAGCATGTTCTGCCCTTCAAAGAATATCAGTAAACATATGTGTCCAATAACACATGCAGAATCTGGCAAAATTAAGCATAGCATATCAGATTTAGTAACCATGACTACAAGCAGCTGACTGCTGTAAAGGGGAGGGGGGCACAAGTCAAATTATTAGCTGAATCAACTGGTAATCTAATGCAAAAACATTGTACTAAACTCTCAGTGAGGTTGCTGATTTTTTTTTGATTTTTTTTTTAGTAATGCAATACCTCCTCTGTTATCAGCAACAAGAGAACGCTTACCTTCTAATCCAGTGGACACTAAAAGCAGGAACTAAGAAGGCTATTGTAACACTGTATCAGCTCTTCCTCAATGAGCTGCCAAGATCCAGGACACACCTCCTTGAAAGAGAAAACTTTATTGAGTTTTCATACAAATAGTGCAAACTGTTTTCCATACTCCCTTTAATAGTAACCATATACTTTTTTTTTTTTTTTTACAGTAAAGATTATTTATTTACAGAGAGGTACATATATAAATAGACGAGATCAAATATTACTGCTTAAAAAAGTATGACAGAGGTTCATGTTCGTATATCAGTAATAAGCGTGTCAAAACAAATTACGACCATGGCATAACATGAAACATCAATCCCTTCATGAATAAGGCAATTTTTACCATAGGACCAGGGCAATTCGGACATTTTTGTTTGTATTTGTGCAACCATAATCTTCCAGATTCATATTTATTCATACACATTGTTATTGTTTTAAAAGGAGATGGACACTATTTTAAAACCCCTCTGTGTGTATTAATATTAAACCCATGGCCTCTAAAGTACTTTGGCTTGCTGAAGTGCTTTATGTGTGAATAGTGTGTCTTCTTTTTTTTTATTTCACAAAAAGTGTATATTTCAATAGTTATTGGTACTTTTATAAATTAACCTGATCAGACAACTAGTCCTGTTAGTTCCTCATAGTTTATCTTAGTAGATCAGTAGAACTAAACTCAAGAAGCAATTGGCCAGAGCCTTGCAAATACTTTTTATTGAGCTGCTTTGGGAAGTCTGTGATTGGACAGACACAGAAGGTCTGGGTGGGGTTAGAAAGGGAGGGCTTGCAAAGGCTTCAGACAAGAGATCTGCAACTTATGCAGGTTGGTTTTAGATATACCCTTAATAATAAAAATGCATACTTAAACGCATGCATGTTTTCATTAGGGGACATGTCTACTAAACAGTAGTTGTATGAATCCCTTTATATTTGTATTTGAACAGCGGAGCGCCCCTTTAACCCCTTAAGGCCACATGACATGTGTGACATGTCATGATTACCTTTTATTCCAGAAGTTTGGGGTTAAACATTTATTATGTAGCATTGTTATCTAATGTGTTTCATAAACTTAAAGGGTTACTCAAAGCACCATCACAAGTAACTTTGTATGCAGCCACTCTCAATGCTGAAATTAGTATTGAATTTAGAATCCTCAGAGCTATCAATCCAACAGCTGAAATCCTCAGTCCTGGCTGTCAGATTTTATTTATTACTTACTTTTTTATGGCTATTTTCAGTGGCAGCATCACCCTTTGTTAGCCCTCAACTTTCCAACAGTACAGGAAATCAATCAATAGAATATTAAAAATAATGATAAAAGCAGGTATACATGTCAGCCTCTCCCTCCTCCTGTTTCATAATAAGGTGTCCATAAGACCTTCAGTAAAGGAGGTCATTGGTGATGTTTCTGTGAAAAATGGTCAGGAAAAGAAAATTATAGTAAGTAATGAGTACGTTAGAAGAAATTGTTTAATAAAAGTTTATGCAGTAAACCAAACATATTTATTTGGAATTAACCGAAATTATAAAATCTTGAGGCTTTCCTATATCGAAACTGAGGTATTATTAGCATGTAAAAGCTTTACATGCAACCCTTGAAGCTGAGATTGCTCTTGTGATGTGAGCTTTTCTCCTGAAGATATAAGGAGGCCTGCTATCTTGTATGGAATTCTAATTAAAAACATAATAGTAGACATGGATGCTGCCTCTCCTCTCTTTTTCACTGCAGGGAGCACAAGCTCTCCAATTTATGAATATATTTGATCTTTTTAGACATATTCTGCGAACCAAATTCAAAACAAGCAGCTTATGAACTTGGATTTGGGAAAAAAGGAATGGAGGATAATATATTGACAGCTATGAAATGGTGTCTTCACCTGCAGACAAATTTACCTGACTCTTCTCAGGATAAAATTTATGTGATATCCTTTTTGTATGATTGATTACACCCTTAAATGGCTGCGGAGCCTAGCTTTAGAACAGTGGTGACATGTTGAGCTTGAGTTCCTGTGAATCAGATCAATTTTGGGGTAATAACCCTGGTTAAGCAACCCCTACACTCCGTCAAGGGCTCTATCTAATTCAGAGGCTCTTGAAGGATCACACTGATACCCTGCCGGAGAAGTTGTGGCCTGATGGGGACAGAGCTAGGGAGAGGCAATCTATCTCCTCACGGACTCTCTATCTGTTCTTACTGTGCTCCTACTGCCCCCCAGAACAGCAGAGGATATCCCTGTCCTCACTGGATGCCTGGGGCTGTCTACACTGTCCATACATTGAGCTCTAGGCTGCAAGCCGGTGGTGCATCTTCTGCATGGAGTAATCAAAATGGCGCCTGCTCCTTCATCAAACATGCAAGACCTGAGTCTATCCCAAAGGCCACAATCTGACTCCATCGAGTCAAACTTGCGGTGCCTGGGCAAAGTCTTTTAATACTTCTGGCAAAGAATACAGGAGCACATAGGCAACCCTGATTAAGTGGCTGGTAGATTTTAAGAGCAGCATCCACATGGAGCGGAGCGGACCTCCTCTGGGCGATATTCCCATTCAAGCACCTGCCAATCATGATATTTGCTTGCCTGAGCTGAGAGCCCCTTGAAGAATTGCCCCCAAGCATCATCCACAGAAGCGGAGGATCAGCCGCCGGAAACAGCTACCACAATCCATAACCTCTGTTTTCCCTGGATGGGGAAAGGACTTGATCCTTAAGGATACCGAGTCCATGGACTAGGGAAGCTGGATCTCATACAGGTCTGGGATTGGCGGAGAACCCTACTTTGCTGCACTTCCGCTATTCATTTCCTGAACTTTCTCACACAATCTCCACTCCTGCTGCTGGCAGGGATCAGTTGGTCCTTCTACTGGTCTGAGCCCACACCCTGTGGTCCACTATGTTACTGGTGGAAGTTGCACCATGGGCCATCTTAGATATGCAAATGTATCTTCTCTGTTTAAAAACGTATTATTACATTTTCTCTTATATCTGTGAATTAATTATACACTTTGTACAGTACATTAATGAAGGAGTGATTCTATGTCCAGTGGTCTTATACGTTACCTAATGCCTATATATATTTTGAGGGATATGTCTTCTTAATTCATGTTGTCTAGCATAGGCAGTCAGCCTTTTCTTATACTTATCTACTGGGTATTGGATATCTAATTCAGTTATTAACCCCTTAAGGACTGGACTGTTTTTGCGATGTTGTACATTTGCGACCAGGCATATTTTTACACTTTTGTGGTGTTTGTGTTTGGCTGTAATTTTCCGCTCTCTCATCTACTGTTCCCATACAAATTATATATTGTTTTTTTCAGGACAAAATGGGCTTTCTTTACATACCATTATTTATATAATCTCATGTATTTTAATTTAAAAAAAATAAAAAAATATGATGAAAAATTGAAAAAAATACATGTTTTTGACTTTTACTTGAAAAATCTTTTACTCATCTACAAAAGCGAATGAAAAAAACTGCTAAATAGATAAAAAAAATTGTCCTGAGTTTAAAAATACCCAGTGTTTACATGCTTTTTTGCTTTTTTTTGCATGTTATAGGGCTATAGGTACAAGTAGGATATTGCGGTTTCAAAACATACATTTTTAAAATTTATCAATAGTGACATTGTAACACTATTATCTGTCATAAATCTCTGAATAACACCCAACATGTACATATTTTTTTTAAAGTAGACAACCCAGGGTATTCAATATGGGGTATGTCCAGTCTTTTTTAGTAGCCACTTAGTCGAAAACACTGGCCAAAGTAAGCATTCATATTTGTTTGTGTGTGAAAAAAGTAAAAAAACTAAATTGAACACTAATTTTGGCCAGTGTTTGTGACCAAGTGGTTACTAAAAAAGACTGGACATACCCCATTTGCAATACCTTGGGTTGTCTTCTTTTGCAAATGGTATGCCATCATGGGGGTAATTCTCATTCCTGGGCTACCATACGCTCTCAAAGGCAACATAACCAACCTGGCCATTTTCAATGTAAAAATATTTGACCCATATGTTTGACCTTGTAACTTTCAAAAATGCTATAAAACTTGTACATGGGGGGTACTGTTTTACTCGGGAGACATCGCTGAACACAAATATTAGTGTTTAAAAACTGGAAAACGTATCACAACAATTATATCATCAGTAAAAGTGCTGTTTGTGTGTGAAAAATGCAAAAAAAGTAACTTTCACTGACAATATCATCGCTGTGATATGTTTTACTGTTTTGAATCACTAATATTTGTGTTCAGCGAAGTCTCCCGAGTAAAACAGTACCCCCCATGTACAGGTTTTAGGGTGTCGTAGAACGTTACAGGGTAAAATACAGTGCTAGCAAATTAAATTCTCTGGAATTTCGGCCTGGGTTGGCAGGCAGGTCCCTCAAATTGCAATCAATAAAATTACTGAATTATGTAAAAATATGACATAAATACGCACATAGAATTTAAATATATATGCATATTTATATATTTGAAGTCTACGTGTATATTTATATAATTATTTATGTAATTTTGTATATGGACATATGTATATTTTGTATTATTTTTATTTATATATACATAGATATATATACAAATTCATTCTAAGTGTATTTTGATATAAATATATATATATATAAATTTTAAAATACAGTTAGAATAAAATTTCATATAGATATATAATTTTTTTTAAATTTTTATTATTATTTAAAAACATTTTTATTTAATTTAAATTACTTATTATTTATATGTTATAATAATATATATATACAATATATATAGTTATTATATATATTATATATATACGTGTGTAATTTAATTATAAGTGTATTTTTATATTAATATAAGTACATATTAATATAAAAATACACTTAGTATGGCATTATATATATAATGCCATACTAAGTGTATATATATGATATATAGACATATATTATATAGATATAATATATGTCTATATATCATATATACACATATATAATTTTTTTATTTTTAATTAACATTAACTTACATTTTTTTAAATTGATTTTACACTAGCAGGGAGACTGCCTGTCAGCACAGGCAGTCCCCCTGCAGGCAGACACA